ATTTAATTTTAATTAATAATATAATTAATTACCTTTTTAAAAAAAAATTATAAATATAAATTAAATATTTATAAAATTAATTAATAAATTTATATATTTTATTTATTTTATTAATTTAAATAGTTTTATATTTTTATAATATAGAATTATAGTTTTATTATTTTTTATATTATTTTAAATAATTTTAATTTTAAATTAATAATTTTTATAAATAATTTAAATTTTTTTATTATAAATTATAAAACTATTTTATATATATTAATATAAAATAAAAATTTATAATTATAATTTTTAATTTTATATTTAATATATATATAATTAATATATTTATTTAAATTTATTATTAAATTAAAATAATTAATTAAAATTTTAAAAATAAAATAAAATATATTTTATAAAATTTAATTTTATTATATTTATTATATAAAAATTTTATAATAATTTTATAATTATTTATATTATTATTTATTATTAAAAATATTTTTTATATTAATATATTAAATTATATTTAATTAATTTAAATTAATATTATTAATTTTAATATAAATTAATTTATTAAAATTAAAGTTATTATAAATTATAAATTATTTAATTTAATATTAATAAATTATATATAAATATTAAATTTATTATATAATTTAAATTTTTTTAATTAATATTTTTAAATTAATTAAAATAATAAAAATAAAGTTTTTATTTTAATTAAAAATATATATAAACTTTAATTTTATTTAAATAAATATTTATTTAATAAATTTAAAAATTATTAATTTTATAAATAAAATTATTTAAAAATAATTATTTAATTTTATTATATAATTTATTAAATTAAAAATAATTTTTATATAAAATAATTATAATTTATTATTTAAATTTATAATTTTAAAATTTTATTATATAAAAAAATAATTATTAATAATTAAATTTATAATTATATAAAATAAATTTTTATTTAAAAATATTATTATAATTAAAATAATTAATATATTTTTAAAATAATTAAAAACTTTAAATTTAATTTAAAATATATTAAAATTTATAAAAGTTTTAAATTTAAATTTAAAAATATAAAGTTTTAATTTATTTAAAAATAAAAAAAATTAAAAAAATTAAAAAAGAATTTAAATTACATTAAAATTAAAATTAAATTATAATATAATAAAATAATTAAATAAAAATTAATTAAAATTTTATAATTATCTTTTAATTTTAAATTTAAAAAATATATATATAAAATTAAAAATATTTAAATAATTAATTTTTATTTAATTATTTAATAATTAAAATTTATTATATATAAATAATTTTTAAATTATATTTTATAATTAATAATTTATTAATTTAATTTATTTTAATAAAATTTAATAAAAATTATATTTTTATAAATATATAATATAATAATATATTTTATAATATTATATATTTAATATATAAAACTTTATATTTAAATAAAAGTTTTTTAATAATAAAATTAAATTATTTATAATTATAATTTTTAATTATTTTATTTAATTATTTTATTATATTATAATTTAATTTAATTTTTTAATTTTTTAAATTTTATAAAACTTTTATTTTTATAAAATATAAATTTTAAATTAAAATTTAAATTTAAATTTAAAAGTTTTATAAATTTTAAAATATTTTAAATTAATTTATATTATTTTAATTTTTTAAATTATATTAATTATTTTAAATATTAATAATTCTTTTAAATAAAATTTATTTTTATATAATTATAAATTTAATTATTAATAATTTTTTAATTATAATAAAATTATTAAAATTATAAATTAAAATAATATTATATATAATAATAAAATATAATTATTTTATTTAATTATTTTTAATTTAATAAAATAAAATAATTATTTTTAAATAATTTTATTATAATTTAATAAAATAAAATAATTATTTTTAAATAAATTTATTTATAATATAATAAAAGTAATAAATAAATATTTAGTTATAAAATAAAATTAAATTTTAATTAAAAAAATAATAATTTTATTTTTATTTATTTAAATTAATTTATTTAAATTATATAATAATATTATATATAATATTTAATAATATTAAAATTAATTATAATTTATAATAATTTTAATTTTAATAATAAATAATATAAATATAAATTATAAAATTATTAAAAAAATTTATATAATAAATTTAATTAAATTAATTTTTAAAAATATATTATATTTAATATTTTCAAAATTTTAATTATTTATTTTAATTTAATAATAAAATTAAAAATATAAATAATTTATAAAATTAAATTATTATTTTAAAATTATAATATAATATTTTATAAATATTTATATTAATTTTAATATAATTCTTTTATATTATTATTTTTATTATATTTTTAAATATTTAAAAATTAAAATTAAATAATTAAAATTTTAATTTAAAAAATAATAATTTAATTAAATAATTAAATTTAAATTTAATATTTAAAAATTTAAATTAATTTTTAAAATTTAAAATAAAATATTTTAAAATAAAGTTTTATATATATTTTATTATATTTATTTTTAATATAAAATTAAAAAATTTATAATTATTATTTTTAATTAATTTTTATTTAATTAGTTTTTATTATAATATAATCTAATTTAATTTAAGTTTTTAAATTATATAAATATTTTTATTTTATAACTATAAATATTAAATTAAAATTTAAATTTAAATTTAAAATGTTTTTAAATTTTAATTTTTTTAAATTAAATTTATAATTTTTAATTTTAAAAATATATTAATTATTTTAAATATTAATAACTTTTTTAATAATAAAATTTATTTTTATATAATTATAAATTTAATTATTAATAAATATTTTTATAAAATTATTAAAATTATAAATTTAAATATTATATATAATAATAAAATATAATTATTTTATTTAATTATTTTTAATTTAATAATATAATAAATTAAATAATTATTTTTAAATAGTTTTATTTATAAAGTTAATAATTTTTAAATTTATTAAATAAATATTTATTTAAATAAAATTAAAATTTATATATATATTATAATTAAAAAAATAATAACTTTATTTTTATTTATTTTAATTAATTTATTTAAATTATATAATAAATTTAATATTTATATATAATATTTATTAGTATTAAATTAAATAATTATAATTTATAATAATTTTGATTTTTAATAAATTAATTTATATTAAAATTAATAATATTAATTTAAATTAATATAATTTAATATATTAATATAAAATATTTTTAATAATAAATAATATTATAAATAATTATAAAGTTATTATAAAAGTTTTATATAATAAATTTAATTAAATTAATTTTTAAAAATATATTATATTTTATTTTTTAATTTTTAATTATTTATTTTAATTTAATAATAAAATTAAAAAAATATAAATAATTTATATTTTATTATATTTAATTTTAAAATATTTTTATTTAATATTTTTATATAAAATATTATATTAATTTTAATATATTAATATATTATATAATAATATAATTATTATATTATTTTAAATATTTTTAATAATCTTATATTAATATATAAAATAAAATAATTAAATTAAAAATATAAATTTAAATAAATTATAAATTATTTTTAATTTATTAATTTTAAAATTAAAATATATTTAATTATTAAAATAATTAATATATATAATTTAATTAAATAATGTTTTTATATATTTTATAAATATTTTTATAATTATATAAATTATAAATATAAATTTAATTTTATTATAATTTATAAATTATTAAATTAAAAAAATTTATTTATAAAAAATTTTATTAATTTTTGATTTTCTTTTATTTTAATTTTAATTTTTTAATTTTAATTATTTAATATAATTAAATTTTAAAAATTATTATTTTTAATTATAATTTAATTAAAAATTAAAAATTAAAAATAAATTTAATTAAATTAAAAATTAAAAATAAATTTATAATTTTATTTAAAAAATATATTTTAATATTTTAATTTTAAATTTATAAATTTAATATTATTATAATTATATTTATATAACTTTTTAAAAAGTTATTATTAATAAAAATATAAAATCTTTTTAAAAAAATTATATTAATTAATTATAATATTTTAAAAAATAAAATAAAAAAGTTATAACTTTTTATTTATAAATTAAAATAATAAAAAAATAATTAATAATTTAAAGTCTAAATAAATATTAAAAAACTTTATTAAAATCTCTTTAAATTCTACTTTATAAATTATATTTATAAATTTAACTTATTTTAGAGCTAGTTATTCTTAGGAGTTCCTATCTACTAGCCGCCTAGACCTATAATAGTAGGTACGTATAGCCGGCTGCATACCTAAGTACCTACCTAGGTACCTAGGTAGATATGCAGTAAATGGGCAGCACGGGCCTGAAGGGATATGATGAGCGATGGTATATCCAATCGCTCATATATGTAAAATACACATAGTGCCTTCATACTATGGTGAACGCTTAAGACCTAGCACTGGAAAGAAAATACAGTGCTAATAACTATATATAAAGGTTACCGGTTGTGCTCTTAATCCGTATACATCCCGAAGGCGTACGGTCCCTTCACATAGTGGTAAACACTCAAAGACCCAGTGTTAGAAAAACAACAATGCTAACAATAGTGTAAAAATCTCTGCCTGGGCACGTGGCCACAGCCCTGTGCCGCACAGACAAGGCTAGGAAGCATCGCTTCTGACGGCACTGTAGACTAGACTTGCTTGTCGACATATATCCCGGGGGATAATCTGCCACAGCGAGACGGCGAAGCATAAAAATAATATAGTAAGAAGTACGCCTACGGGCACATGGCCTTAGACATGTGCCGCACAGACGAGGCTAAGAAGCATCGTCATTACGTTCTCCATAGCTACTCGTATTTCTAGACCTACGAAACAGTCTGTAAGCCTAGCATAATGGCCCTAAAAAGAAAGTGAAACAATATTTGAAGGCTGTAAGTCCACCGAACTACCCCTTCCTAGCGACCTCTTCACTTGTCAACCTTCTTAAGCAGTGAACTAGACCCCGCAGCCCTCTCCGCGACTTTATCCAAGCTTGCCTGGCCAGTAATGTCAAAAACGGCCACATCCGCCTTGAATAACTGGCTGAACCAGTTCCTCAGCTCGACAGCAAGCAAGGAGTCAACCCCGTACGCGTGAAGTGGTCGCGTGCGATCGATCTCCGCGGCAGGAATGGACGTGGCGTTCGACAATCTCTGCACCAGAGCCTCCGCAACTATGTGGATCGCTTCCTCACGGGAGGCAGAATGAAGTAATTCGGCAACCCAATCACGATCGTTCGTGATTTCCAAGGCTCCACCGACGCCGTCTTGTTCCTTAGCTTCCTGTTCTAAACCCCAGAACAGGGGACGCTGGACCAACCAGTCTGGGGGCTTCATTCCATTTGTACGGAACTGGGCCGGCGTCATGAGTCCAATGACGGGCTGCGCTTGTTGTGGCGCGAGGACTGGTAGCTCTGGGTCGCAGTAGAAATCTAACAATGCGAGGAACTCGTTCTCGTATATGGATGCCATATCCGCCGTGTCCTCTTTAAACTTTTTCAGGTCGGCGTTCTCTGCCACGGCGCCAATATCTCGCATCCAGCCGAGGTCGATTGAGACGGCTCTCTCCCCGAGTGCTACCCGGTGAGCGGCAAATCCGTCTTGGAACGTGTTCCCGGCTGCGTAATTCGATTGGCCGATGGAGCCAGCAACACCAGCCACGGATGCGAGCATAACAAAGAACGAGAGACCCTGTGGAAGCTGTCTGTGGAGGTTCCACGTGCTGTTCACTTTGGAGCGGGTAGAAATGGACCACTGATCCCACGTCATCGATTCGAACAATGTATCCTGTCGGAGTCAGTTCAACAGATTTTTTTGAGCGTTCAGGGGCCTCGAATACTGACCTTAAGCACCATCGTAGCTTGTAAACATCCCTTGATGGGAGGAAGGTCGGAGCACATGGCCAGCGCGGATGTAAGTGATGATGTATCTGATATGTCACACCTCGGCGTTCGCACTATACATCCAGCCTTCTTTAGCTCATCAAGAAGAGCGTAAGCTGGTGTCGATTTCGGCCCTGAGCGGGACAATAGGATCAGGTTTCTTGCCCCTTGCCGGACCATCCACCGCGCGGCACTTCTACCTAGGCCTCCCAGGCCGCCAGCGATGAGATAGGTCACGTCTGGATCTAATGAACAGGAGTGTTTGGGGCTCAGCCACGTCTGTAGATGTCAGTTTCGAGTAACGCATGGCCACGAAACATATGCGTGTAGCCTTGCGCAGTCATAATCGGGGGATACGGTACGTACGCGCACGATATCGGAGGGACTGAACGTCAATATAATCTTCCCGGTATTCTTTCCAGATTGCATAAATCTGAAAGCGCTTTCAAGGTCCGAGACTGGATATTGTTGCAGAGGCGAAGCGATTCTCATCGAGCCATGCACGATCATGTCCAGGACAGACTGCAATGCCCTGCCGACAACCTGGGGCTTTTGGAACGAGAGGTGGTCTATAGCGACAGCATGGAATGTGACATTTTTGGAGAATCGTGACATCGGTAACTTCGAATTTTCCTCGATGTCCATTTTGCCCAGTTCGACGAAGCGACCAAAAGGGGCAATACATTCCCAAGATGCAAGTAGCAAATCTTTGGACAACGAGTTGAGCACGATATCAACACCCCTTCCTTTGGTGGCGTAGTATATGTCACTCGCAAAACTTGTGTCCCTGCTGTTGAAGATATGGTCGTCGGGGATCCCGTAGAGTTGCTCGATGAGTCGTCTCTTCTCCTCATTGCCGACCGTAACAAAGATCTCAGATCCGACGGCTACCGCAATCTGTACTGCCATCTGCCCAGTAGCACCAGTTGCGCTATGAATCAAGATTGAATCTTCACTGCTTATATGTGCCAATGATATGAGGGAGTGATAGGCCGTCACACCGGTGCAAGGGAGTGATGCAGCTTCGGCCATGGAAAGGGAGTCGGGAATTTCGACCGCCAGCTGATAGTTGCAGCGAGCATGGGTATTGCTGCAGCCGATGACAAAAGCACACACGCGATCCCCGGGTTTGAGAGCATTGCAATGCGCTCCGATCCTGGTCACAATACCAGCACATTCACAGCCAACAGTGCTTTCGCTGTATTTGCCCAGCACGACAAGCAGGTCGCGGAAGTTGACTCCGACTGCCTGAACCTTGATCTCAATTTCATTGGGATCCAGATCAGTGTGATATTGTGGGTCTGCCTCCCAGCGAATGGAATCCAAAAGCCCTGAATTAGCTATTGAAAGTTTCAATGGAGGGCTGTCTGAAAGAGCCAGCCGCCTGCCGATAGTTTGGGTTTTGTCGCAGACTCTTTCGTTGAGTTCATCCGAATCCACGACTCTGCCGATCAATAAGGTGCCGTCTCGCTCCACGTACTCCAGGTCGCGGCCAGAGCACGACAACTTTGCAACTGTATCCGAGGTCACTTGGCTGATGCACCGGACGAAAAGTTCCATATCATGTGCAGGACTGCTGAAGCTGAGGGTAACGAATTGAAGACTAGGTTTCTCAACGAAGAGGACCCGAGCAAGACCGAGAACCATCTGTACTTCCGGGAACGTAGGAGAAGAAACAGCGGAAGATGTAACCCAGAGGATCTTCTGCACTTTGGTAAGGATAGCTTGCAGAAAATTAAAAGAGGACTGGTCCAAGCTCGCAAGAAAAGGCTGGTCGATCTCAGCCAAAATGATCATGACCGTGTGGGCTAGGTTGACCAAGCCGGGATCTTCGATGGATATTATCGAGCATGAGCCAAGTCCCTGATTCTCGATCTCCGCCTGGACCCCGGAGGCCACGTCTCGTTGGAAAGACGAATTAGGAGAAATGACGATAGTGAAATAAGTCGGAAGTCCAGTCGTTGCACCCCTATCGCCTGGGATACTCTCCTGAGCAGCTGTGGCGATCAAAATGCTATTTTCATGGCATATGTCGCTTTCGTAGTCAGGAAGAAAGAGATCAACTCCGTTGAACCCATTACCCGCAAGCGCTTCTCTCCACTGCGCTTCGGTAAGACATGGACTCAATTGACGCTCGGGCTCAGTACTGAGCCACCAGCCGGGGAGGGTGCCGAAAGCGAAGGTGTTCCGCAGGAGAGCCGGCTCCGTGATCTCCAATAAGATCAATTTACCTCCAGACTTGAGTAGGCTGTGGGCATTGAATATTGTAGCCGCGAGATCTCGAGTCGCGTGGAATACCGAAGCGGCGACCACAACGTCGTAGCTGTGAAGCTCAAAGCCTTGCTCAGAGGGGTCCTTCTCGATGTCGAGCACTTTGTAGGTCATATTTTTTAGACCAGCGAACTTCCCTTTAGCCTGCTCGAAGAACGATCCAGAGATGTCCGTGTAGTCGTAGCGCGCGAATCGGTTTTGGAGACCCTGCAACAAATGTTTTGTGATGGAACCGGTCCCGGCTCCAACCTCGAGGACCTTAAGCTGTGGATTCCCGTGGCAAAGAGCCCCCAAGTAGTTCTTGAGTTGCTTGCAACACATAGATTTGTCACAAGTGGCCTCGTAGAACCTCTCAGCCAGTTCGTTCTGGAAGATGACCTCAAGAGGGTCGGTGAGGCCGTGGATGATGGGGTGTAAACTCCTTCCAACATGAATGAAGAATTCCCCTTCAGGTTTCATGGCCGCCAAGCGTTCCAGCAGACCTTCCATCGCCCCCGAGTCCTCAGTACGTTCAATCCAATCAGGTCGACTATGAGGAATTTCGCCGCTATAGTACTTTTCAACTTGCCTTCTGAGCCAGGATAGATATTTGACAATGTTAGATCCCATGTCATCGACGCGGATGTCCATTGTCTCGATATAGTCCAACGCTCGGAGAATGAAGTAGAAGAGGGCCAGGTCAAGGTCTTCATAGAAAGATATAGGCGGTGATTCGGGTTCGAGGCCTTCGTTGACAAGATCCTGCATTTGCGCAGCATCCAGCATTCCAAGGTCTGGCTGGTAGCTCGTCTTGTAAGCGATTCTCCTCGGGCTGTGGACGAGAGATGCCGTTTCATTTCCTCCGACAGCAGTTGTTTCAATGTGAGAGACGCGAAGAACCAGTCTCCCGTTCGCGTCCAACGCAAAAATGGAAGTATCCGATCCACGGAGACCCTTGAGGGCTGTTGTACAACATGCATTGATGTACGAGGAATCTGGATACGACAGTCCTGAGCTCGCGATCCATGCTTCCCGAATCCGAGTAACTGCAAAGCCATTGAAGACAGCCTTCTCAGCACCTTCGGTGAGACATAGCCATGGTAGCTGTCCTGCACCGTCTAGCACAGTAGGGTGCATTATGTGCGGCTGGAGATCATGCTCAGAGAGCTCGCTGTCCGATTTGAAACACTTCACAGTACCAATGGCCGTATGTGCACCATCCCAGGCTAGATCGCTGAGGGGCTGGAAGGCGTTATCGTATTGCATGCCATTTGATCTGAGCTGTTCATACAACTTCTTTGTCGATACTTGAAGAGTGGATCTTTTCACGGCCTCGGAATACCTTTTTCGATAGAACTGTTGTTCTTTCTGGAGTGTTGACGTGTTGGAAGCATCCTCGTCATCTCGCTGATAGACAACTTGAACACTGCCACTGCAGTTCAGGAACCATCCTGTTTCACTCATGGAATAGACACGGAAGTCCAGTGAAGTAGCATGATGTTCGGAATGTGCCCGATCAAGGCGCATGTGCAGTTGCACTTCACACTTCTCAGTCTTGCTAATAGTGATGGGTGCAGTGAATACAGCATCCCGGATTTGGAACGCCGCGATGCATCTGTTGCGATCAGCAACCTGCTCTGCGCCTTGGAGAGCCATCGTGACCATGCCGGCCGCAGGATAGATGATTCTGCCGTTGACTCGATGGCCGCCCACCCATGGCATCTCGTTCAGATCGAAGAACTTGCGCCAGCGAGGTTCCAGTGGGTTCCAATCTGGAACTGGAACTCCCAAAAGTTCATGTATGGCAACACCATTTCTGAGACGAGTGTTCCTGCTGATGAGCGATTCGTGCCAATAGGTCTTTGAGTGGTTGAATGGGTAATATGGTAGATCAGTGAGAAGCCGTGCACTCCCAGAGGCCTCGGTTCTCAGCTCGTTGGCCTTTTGAGTCTTGACAGGATATCCTCGACAGTGTAGTCTTCCAATGAGATCCATAATGCATTTTATGGCAGGACTTCCACGGAACAAAACCGAATGATATCGGGACTCCGCTTGAGGGACTCCGTAGTGTTTCAGGCAATCAAGGATGGGCCGGCGAAGAGCTGAATGCGGACCAATCTCGACTATGTCCTGGATATCAAGTTTTGCTTCGCCCAGTCTTCGTGTCCTTTTCTTGTCCATCTCTGATGAGATGACGGCCATGGCCTTGAAGAACTGCACGGGAGACAATAAGTTTGCAACCCAATATGCCGGGGTGCACACTAGACTTGAATCGAAGACATATTCTCCAGAAACCGAAGTCACCATAATCGGCCTCTTGTTACCTTCCCCGGGCTTCTCTCTTCCGAGACAACTGAGGTTCTTTGCATATTGTTGCCCGATCGCATTCATGTGCGGTGAGTGGTATGCCACACCGGTGTTGAGCTTGCGCGTGCGGATCTTCCCAGCGATTAATGTGAGTTGGATTGCGTCGATTGATTCCTTGTCACCCGAGATCGTCACATTGGACGGGCTGTTGACACAAGCGATGTAAAGCATGCCCCGTGATGGTTGGCTCGCCATGAATTGGCTGATCGCCTTTTGCATTTCTGCCTCTGGCAGATCGACAGACATCATTGCACCAGACACCTGATCCTTTGCAAGCTTTAGAGAACTCACACATTTGCCGCGGTAGTATGAAACTTTGCAGGCGGAACTCAGGCTCAATGCGCCTGAAGCGTAAGCTGCAGCGATCTCGCCGGAGGAATGTCCGACAACTAATGAGGGATGGACGCCGAGCGCTTGCAAAAGATTGTACAGCGCGATTTGTAACGCAGTCGTGGATGTTTGACTCACTTCGGGGTCATCGATAGCAATGGACGAATCGACCCCTTCCAAGACGTCCCAAACAGACCATGCGCATCCCAGATGGGAAAGCTGTTCATCGAATTGCTCGATGGTTGCCCGAAACACGGGATTTGAGATGAGGCTTTGACCCATGTTCCGGTATTGAGCGCCCTGGCCGGTGAAGACGAACACAGTCTTCGCGTTTCCTCTCGAAACAGTAGGCGTTGAAAGGATAGTGCCCAAGGCTTTTAATGAGTCAAATGAGTTCACCACGGCATACGATTTCCAAGCCAAGGAGCTCCGGCGCGCACAAAGCGTGTAGCATAGATCGTCAAGGACTGTCTCATATGCCTCTGCATTCTCAAGCTTTTGAAAATATGACTCGTACGTCTTTACTAGACGCTGGATTCCATGCTCATCCGCAGCCGAAAAGACGAGAAGCCTTTCTTGAAGGCTTTCCACGGTGTGGAGTTTCTGACTTCCGTCGCTACTCCTGGTCTTTAGCTGAGAGCCGGTCACATGCGTGGCGTTTTTCATGTCATGGCCGTTGACCAAACGTTCAGAGCGACGGTGACGTGATCGAAGTGAGCCTTCGTGGCATGAAACGTTATAGGTGGTATTATGCTTCTGCGTGCGATGATAGTTCGGTAAGGTCGGTATTGTTGCGTGTTTTCCCTCGAGGTCTCGAGAGTTGAGGTAGTTGTACGCGTCGTCGAGTACAACATGAGAGTTAGAGCCGCCGAAGCCGAATGAAGCTATTGAAGCTCTACGCAGACCAGCACATGGCCAAGGGGTAATTTCCGTTGGGAACTGATGCCATAAAGTCAGACTCGGATAGTCGTGGAACACAGTTCTGGTCTTCCTAAGCAGCGACTGACCTTGAGATTCAGGAACTCGGCATCAATTCTGGGATTGAGCCTCTCGAAATTCGCATTCGGAGGTATCAGCCCTTTCTCGAGAACCATCACTGTCTTGATGACTGCGGCAATACCACTACCGCCCTCCAAATGTCCCACGTTTGATTTGAGGGCTCCTCTGATTAGAGTCAACATTCATCAGCCGTTTCGAAAATTTCTTTAGTTTCATACTCACACATAAAGGGGCTCATCCGGGGCTCTGGACGTCCGGAACACACTACCGATGGCTTCGGCTTCAATCGGGTCCCCCAAGGGGGTTCCAGTCCCTGTAGGTCGCGTTAGAAAACCGCGCTAGATGATTGCTCATACAACGAGAATACGCAATTACCGTGTGCTTCAAAAAACCTCGTAGAAGCCGTGTCCAAGCCAGCCTTGGTGTAAGTCTCCCTGATAAGTGCCGCCTGCATCTCGCGGCTCGGCTGGGTTATCCCTTGGGTGTGACCGTCTTGGTTCGAGCCACTTGACCGGACAACGGCCCTGACAGTATCTCCGTCGTGAATTGCGTCAGACAATCTCTTCAGTATGACGACTCCGAAGCCCTCGCCTCTGGAATATCCATCAGCACGATCATCAAACGAGTGACATCGTCCGCTTGGCGAGAGAAAGCTCATGTTGATCAACGATATGGATCCTTCTGGGGAGAACACGAGACTGGACCCCGTGACAGCCGCCTGAGGTAAAGTGTTAGCCGCGGAATGCTAAATACGCTGGCTTCTCTCAGTCATGACTTAGATTCTACTCACCATGTCACAGTCCTTATTCCGCAGGCCTTGGCAGGCGAAGTCAAATGCCATGAGACTACTAGAACACGCAGAGTCCATGCAGATACTTGGACCATGGAAGTTATAAAACCAGCTAATGCGATTCGCAACCATAGCCTTTGCGTATCCGGATGCACTGTACTTGGGCAAGTTATCAATATCTTTGGCCAGAATCTGCTGGTAGTCATCAGACATGGAGCCGCTATAGACACCAGTCCTCGAGCCATAAAATGTATCCATCGGTATCCCAGCTGATTCCAATTAGTTGTGGTCGCAATCTTTTTGATCTTCCATCTCACTTACCATTTTCAAACGCGTGATAAGTCACCTCCAGCAACTTTCTCTGCTGGATGTCTAACGCCATTGCCTCCGTGGCACTAATTTCGAAGAACGAGGCATCGAAAGCACCGAGATCTTCGGTAAGGAAATGAGCTCCTGCAACACGCTTCTGATCCAGCATCAGCATTGCGAAACGAGGCAAGATCTGATGATGATCTGTTCTACAAATGGGCTCAGGTTCCAATTGCATACGTACCTGCGTTCTCTGACCCTCATCACGAAAAAAGAAAGCGTCAAGGTTGAGTCGGTCAGAAGCCCATTCGGTCATAACGTCTCGCTTCTCCGACAAGACCTTCCAAAACCCTTGTGCCGTATTCGCATCCTGTGGGTATTCAAGAGCAAAGCCGATTATCGCAAGAGGCTCCAATACGTCGCCATTGTGTCCAAACGTCGAACAGCCATCCGCACCGGAAACTGGCTTGGGAGAAGAAGCTTGACAAGATCTCGGTGACATTTCCTCTGTCAGCTGCCTACTGTGGACTCAATGTGTCGCTGGAGCAGGTGGTATTTAGCTTCAAGATTGCTGTGATTGTTGCTAGGAAGGTCTTCGAGCTGATGACATTTAACATACTGGCAAATATAGGGCAAAACGATGTTGAAGAACTCTGAGATCTTGATGCTACCGGACGATTTTATTGCGTTCACTCCTCTCTGATCGCAAGTGCATGGGAGAGAAGTATATTGAAAGATCTTCTTGTAGTAGTCTTACGCAGGAAACTACTCTCCGCACTTTGAAAAAACTGTGCTGGCATCACTCCCACAATCAATATCTATTCCACGCTGGATTCCGATTTCTCCCACTTCGATGCTGACATAATTCTCTCGAGCTGTTGAGGCCTGGCCTCGCCTGGCCCATTCAATTACGCTGAGCGACAGGGCTTCAGGTTGTTCACAGGGCGCCATAAAAGACCGGTTGGTTCCAATTGTGGAGTAACAATGCACCAGAGTGTCCCTTGTGATTTGGGAGCGACCACTACGCAGATCATCAAGGCAGTTCTCATTGTGAACGTTTGAGTCCAACCAGGTTAGTCACATAGTCGCACTGGGTACACAGTGCTCAAGACGCAAGAGAGTGTGACGGCAAGTTGGAAGGATTGTAGCACCGAGGCACATGCAACCAAGTGGTGCCCAGAGGCCAGACGAGGCCAACAAGTGGAGGCGCATTGCGACGGATGTTACTGTTGACAAATCGGCGCATGATTTGTGGGGACTTGTGGGATCGTTTGAAAAGCCCCAGGAAGGGTGAATTGTTGCATTTGATAATCATACTCTGCGACACCTTTGCCAAAAAGGGGAGGTCGTCCTTGTTTGGCGAGCGGTAAACAACTGGCGTGGCGCGACAACTGAGCGTGTACGAAAGCTAATGCTGCTGTTGGCGACAGAGTTCAGTAGTAGCGTCTCCATATCACCCCGAGGAGGGGCAGAAGAACGAAGGTGCTTGCGCCCCTACGACACAAGAGCGATCAGGTGAGGCGGGTGTTGGTTCTACACGTAGCTATCACCCTATCGCATGCGCAGCCGGCTGTCCGACACATTAGCTTCGGCCAATATTCCCAATAAAGGTTTAGGTAGTAGTCAAGGTAGTCAACGTTGGCTGCGATACGAATGTTGGCAATGTTATCTGTCTAGCCTCCAAGAAGTGTATCATCATTCTCTGCTGCATGCAGTGAGTGGTCTTGCAACTGTGCCCCAGGGTGACTTTTGTTGATGTGACTGTTGGTATGCAACTGGTTTTGTGTGACCAATGAGAATTAGGGTCTCCTTTTCTTGATGCCATTGTTGGTCTGCAACTAGTCTGGTGCGGCTGATGAAGATTGAGGTCTCCTTTTTTGATGTAACTGTCGGTCTATAAGTGGTCTTATATGACTAACAAGATCCAGGTCTCGCTTTCTTGATGTGACTGTTGGTCTTTGACTGTTCTTGTACGACCAATGAAGATTACGGTGTCGTTTTCTCGGTGGGACCGTTGGTATTCAACTATTCTCGCACAAATAATGCCGATCGGGGCGTCCTTTTCTTGATGTGACTGTTGGTCTGCAACTGGGCTTGTACGACCAATGAAGAAAATGACCTACCCGCTTGCTTTCGCAAAGTGACGTTATGGACCAACCTCCCAAGGTTGGAGGCTTCGCAGTCTCTTTGACAATTTGCCGAATGGAATGTGAAAATCGCACGAATGGTAGACTAAGCTTCAAGTTTACGGAAATTAGACCTGAGGAGTAAGTGTTTGGACAGCTATGTACAGTACTCTCCTGGCCCGGAAGCAAGAACCCATTTTCCGATGTTACGCCATCAGTTCTCACCAACAACCGATGCTACACATGAACACCACTCCTATTTGGGATAGTCACATCACCCCTGCAGGATCTCCCGCTGGCGGTTCCAAATCCCACGGCAACGACCCTTCGCTAATCTGCTTGGCATCGTTGCTCCATTCGATCGGGATCTGAGAAATCGGTTGCATCGGAAGGGGGAAGGGGAAAGAGCCAAGGCCGACGCTGACGCTCGACATCTGAGGTCAACTGATGGCCTACATTGATTGATGACTGCAGGTCAGCCAATTCCAGCACCACGGCAATGAAACACTGCTAAGGGGCTTTTCGGCCATCCGTTCAGATTTGCACTTGGTTGATTCTTGATTGAAATGTTCAACTCTCAGGGTTTCGATCTTTGGTTTTAATGGCCAAGGGAAACGACAACCACATCGTACAGCACTCGAGTTATGCTTGAGAGACTCCTCATATCGCTTCTAATGCTCAACACTGACGTAATTACCACGTTGCTCCGAATGGACATCCTGAGCCGGCTTAGGCTCGTCAACCGAGGCCAGAGTGTCCAGTCCAATTACCCCGTAAGTCTTCACCCACGATATTCCATGTGTGGTTTCTGGAGCACCATCTGTACAAAGGTATGGGTCAACATGTTTGCGGTCCTCCAAGCCGTATGCCGCTGTGTCCTGGCCAGCACTCATTTTCCTCCAACTCGTCATTCCTCTCAGAGAAGTTGAGATTTTGGAGTAGAAAGCGCTCTGGCCGAAATGTCGAAAGAACGCGCCTGAAGCAGGAAGACAAGCTACTATGATTCCAAAATCCATCTCAACCAGTGCCCATATTCCCTGATTCCATGTCAACCAAGTGATGTCGTTAGAGTTGGTAAGCTGAATTGTGTAGTGTAAACGAATCGCAGCAGAAGCAATGGCCCTAAAAATATTAATCGTGATTAGCACGCGAAAGTAATGCGGAAAGACTTCGACACTTACAAAATAGCAATAAAGAATATTAACGAGACAGCCACCTTTTGCTTCGTTGGCATGTGAAGACGCCAGATAACAGCCTGCGGAAGTAAAAATATAATACTGTCGGATATGACGTTAATACTGCTCGCAGCGACGTTCAGGGCCTCTATATCAAGACAGTAACCACCAGTTACAAAAGGATCCCAGGCTTTCCTCATGGGGTTGCATGACCAGATCTGTAAACATGCAAGAACTGTGTAGCTGCAGAAATTGCCTCCAATTAGGAGAATCGTCGTCCAGTATAGAAGATGGGGCTGCCTATTTGGCATAAAGACCTGGATATATTGTAAAAGGATCGAGAGCTTGATCAAGAAGATGGTGGGTGCATAGATGACGGAGCCGATACGGAGATACTGTGACGGAGCAGGACTAGGGTCAGTGGCCAGCTCACTGAGGTCATGGGGACTGAGGGCACTGAGGGCGTTGGGTTCAGAGATGGTTTAGGACTCACGTAGAGGTATGGTGAAAGATGCATCAATCGCAAGTCCCAAATGTGGACGCCGGGTGCAATGTTGCTGATAACGATACACAGAGCAACAAAAACAATGAAGCAGCCCTGAGTTGTGTTAGTCCAGTCCGATCCAGGGTGCAGTGGTAGAATGGTGCAAATACAAGACTCAATAGGAGCGAATCTAACGTAGGTCAGACCAATTATCCAATAAATTAGTTGACAGAGTATGGAGACTGACAATCTGCAACACCAACCCGTCGAGTAACGAAGACAGTTGTGTAAAGACGCATAGCAACCAAAACCGTTGCCAGAACAATAGATAGAGGTGGCACAATGTGAGTGACGCCTTTCTCGTTCGGAGGGTCGTCAAGCTGTGGACTGATGCCGGGCGGAGGAATTCCGGCAGGGCCGCTGAGGAGAGCTTTCATATCCGCGGACATTTTCCAGATTGTGATGGAGAAGATCAGTGTCGAAAAGTGGTTTGATACAGTGAGAGCCGGAACTTTACCGAAAGCTCGAGATTTCAGGACAGTAGGTTGCTGGAATGTCGACATCCAATACTGACGGGCACGAGTCCCTCAAGTAGGGCAATAAGGACATTGCACTAGGCACTCACTTGGTATCGGTCTATAGTTCTAAATTTAACATCGAGAGAAACGATCATTCACGCAGATTGTGTTGTGTATCCTGGCCAGGCGTCTGCAGTAGCATTTGAGAAGGCAGCAGAAGGATGACAATCCTTGACATCAATTACTGGGGGAGCCATTCGAGGCAGCCTTGTCAGGCTGCGGCTGGGGTTGGCGATCCTCTGCTCATCAGGTGGAGAGAAAGTGGACCCTCTGGCGAGAGCGACAGGATAAATCACTGCTAGACCGGATGAATGAGCGAGGCATCGTTTTTGCGCGCTACTGTGTACTTTTCTGAAGAATTTAGTGGAAGGACAGGGAGGATGGGAAGATTGTTGGTTCCTAGTGCATTCTCGACTGGATCCAGAGCCCAAAAAACAGCCACATGTCCAGCGTCCGAAGGTACTGACTGTACTTATCCGCCAATCTTGCAAAATCTGGGCATTCTCATTTTTGCTGCAAGCAGGGATGATGCGTTCGGCAGATTGACGGCCACGGCACCGAGGCATGCACGCAGCAACCAACGCTCAACCCGGTTCAAATCCTGGTCGAACGTCCAACCCACCCTTCCACATTTTCTCGCCTTCGTGCTCACAGTGCCAGAATCCTTGGCCATATTGTGACAGAGCTGCATGCTGATGGCCTGGACGCGGCCGGTGTAGCATCAGTTGAGACCCCACCATTGGCTAGCCTAGGGTAGTGCGAGGAAATCTTTCTGGCAACGCAACATGAAATTGAAGGCCGAGGGCACCCAATGTTCAGCCGATGTGTGGGTCGGCTTCAGTTACCTACCAAGACACCATTTTCAATCCAACAGCCAGTGGATTCCAAATTCAATTGAGTTGGAGGCATGCGTGCGCCAAAGTGCTCTTGATCACGCAAAACTCGGTGATATCGCGCTGAATGCTCAAATGTGCCATATCCGTACCTCCACTCCGAGTCCTCTCTGAACATCATAATCCCTTCTTCAAGTCTTATTCAACGAGCGTCGATTCTGAATTTGCACACTTGTAATATTGGTGTTCTTGCATACGAAAAGCAATCGTTGTCACCATTGTGCCATTCTTTTTACCTCGTATAGGGCTGTTTCATGATGTCGACTACCTCAGACCCGAAGAAAGACGTGATAGACGACCGGGTCACAGCTAGCCCTGTCATAGCCCTTAGAAAAGATGTCGGGGCGACGAGCGCTGATTACGAAAGCCAACAGTCATATCTACAAGGGGCAAGATTGCATCTCACCACCGCGGCGTATGTAGAACACCATCAGCCCTTTTGGGACAACGAGCTCACTTTGATTCACAGTATATGCATGGTGATGTTTCTGTCCAATCTCGAAATCCCAGTCGTCACGACTGCGCTGGTGGGAATCACGGATGATCTTGGTGAATTCAGAAAAACAAGCTGGGTTACGACTTCATATTTGCTGGGTTACGCTGGTAAGACCATTGATCCTGCTTCATAATGACGACTTAAACTTTCACCAGGATTTATCATCATGTTCTCCAAGATTAGTGATGTGTACGGCCGAAAGTCTATGCTTGTCATGACAACGCTGGCATTCTGTATCTTCTCCGGTGCATGTGGAGCGGCTCAGTCCATGGATCAACTGTGAGTATCTCCCCTGACTCACTATGCGTGTATTGAGCTGATCTTTGTCCTGAAATCAGCATAGTCTTCCGTGCTTTGCAGGGCCTCGGAGCTTCCGGGGATTTCGCGTTGTGCTCGGTGATTATCATAGAGCTGGTCCCTTCACACAAGTACGCAGAGTACACCGGCAATATTTCTATTGTGTACGCAATCTCGTTGTGTGTGGGCCCAATTATTGGCGGCGCGATCACAGAGACCTCGACGTGGAGGTGGATATTCTTGCTCAAGTACGTGTACAAGCACTATGATCGAGATGATCCTTTTGGGTGAACGCATGAGTTAAACTGACTCGAAAATTACTGCACAGTGTGCCAGCCGCCGCGGTGACCGCCATCGTTCTCATATTCAGCATGCCCAATGGGTTTCCATTCCATCATCGGCCGCAACATGACAGACCCAATTCCAAAAGGACTTTCTCCCGAGAGTCTACAGAACGGCTGGACTTTATTGGCACGGCTTTACTCATCGCATCTAATGTCTTGCTTGTCGCAGCACTAGAACAGGCCGGTGTGGCCTTTCCTTGGAAGTCTCCGTTCGTATGTCTTGTCAACCAGATGTTTTCTCTCAGGGCAGTTTTGGACGGCGGAGCTTCCGTGTCAACTTTTCCCGGGGACCTCCTAGTATACAATGCATGAAGCTTACAATTTTACTATGCAACAGGTCATCACTTTACTCATTATTGCCGGTGGGAGCTGGATCCTTTTTCTCCTCTGGGAACGGCACATAACCCTACGAGAAAAGGCTCAAGAGCCTGTCTTCCCCTGGCGTTTTGCACAAAATCGTGTGTTCATAGGCATACTTCTGTAAGTAATTTGGGACTTGAGACGTCAATTGAGATTCGATCTCCGTGCTGAGACTTGTGTAATTGCAGCTGCTCTATCTTTCTTGGCGCCCCCTGGATCTGCGCCATGTTCCAACTTCCCCAACGACTTCAAATCGTCAATGGGTTCTCTCCTATTCAAGCCGGTGTCCATCTAATTCCATTCAGCCTGGCCGCTCCTTTTGGATCTGTGGTGGCTGCAGTTCTGGCAAAGTCTGTCAGAATGCCGCTGGTCTACATGATCATTTTTGCAGCAGCGCTTCAGGTTATAGGATTCTCCTTGTTATCCACGTTGCCTACCTCTAAGGCTATAACACCAGCTCAGTATGGCTACCAAATTATTGCCGGGTTTGGTTGCGGCACAAACATCACACTACTAGTACTCATCACACCATTTTGTGTTCAAGAACGAGACAAAGGTGCGCAGTCATGCACAGCCCGTCGATCAAACAACGGCTAACCCTCTTGAAATAGCTGTGGCTATGGGCTCGGTCGCACAATATCGCATTCTCGGCTCGGCAATAGGTCTTGCCATTGTTACTGCAGCCTTCAACGGTCTCGTGAGGGGAAAGCTCGAAGAATTCCTTCCATCGGGTCCAGTCGACGATCTCCTGCGGTCTCCAGGCACTATTGCGCTTTTCGCAGACGATGTTCAGGCAAGAATTTCAGCAGCATTCGGAGAAGGTTACAATCTGCAAATGAAGGTTTTGGCTGGTATAGCGTCTGTGCAGATACTTTCTGCTCTTTTGATCTGGAGAAAACAGCAAATTGTTGCCTCGTGAAGACAGAAAGGCGGAGCTTGGCTCCACTGCCTGGGCTTTGTCTGATACTTACCACTTTCATTCAAGATTTTAGATGGTACTTGCAGCAGAAGGCGGTGGTTGGGAACGTTACATACGTTGGCCTGTATAGATTTTGAAGCCTTGCTTGAGGTTTGTACTGATCGATGAGGACACAACAAGGAATTTGAAAACACATGATGGCGTTGTTGTCTTCAAAAGAGAACGCGAAAATACATGCGTCCTGGAACGGGTTCCTGAGGACTTCAGTAGATCCGAGGAGTTCAAGTATTTTCTGTGCTGTACCCGGTGTGAAAGCTCGAACGCATCTGGTCAATGCCCTGCTTTGGGCTTAGAAAGATGGCGTCCGCTGGAATTTACTTGACTTCTTTGAGATTGAACTCGGATTTTTGAACATTGTCATGATTGAGGAAGCTATCACCAGGTCTTTCGTCACTATACTAGTGAAAAATGACCGAGGAATTGAAAGAGCTACTGCTCTTCATCAGCCCTCGCGATCGTTCTTTTGATGACGCGGATAGCCTGCTGTAACGAGTCCGGGTCTCTGGGGCCAGGGATTTCATGGCCGCCCTGATGAACAAACACGGATCTCTTGCTCTCCTTACATAGTTGACTCAACACAGGCCCAAAAGTGGGATACAACTCATCTTTAGCGCCCCAAATATGGGCGGTTGGCATGTCAATTAATTCCCCATCAACCTCAAAACTTAGCGTCCGCCTGTTCACACCGTTGTCGGTAGTGATTATCTCGGGAATACCTCCGCAGAAGAAGATGGCACATCGGAAGGTCGGCTGGAGTCGCTCCTTTCGCGGATCCTTGAACACCTTGTGCGCGATCAGTGAAGCTGCCGCCGTTGCCCCCTGGGAAAAGCATATCACACCGTCAAACGGCCCCTCTTCATCCACAAGCCTCTCAAGGTTATGCAGCCCTTTCAAGCAGCTTTCCGTGGAATTGAAGTCGGCGTATTGGAGGAATTCATCGTCGGGCCCGACAAATAAGCTGACTTCTATTGGCGTGGCACTCGCATGTCAGTCAAGGCACACCTCATGGCTTGACATTCGTAATTGCAACCGCCATGCTACTAGAAACAGGGAGTCGGGAGCTGGTTCATGTCTTACCGGGTGCCATTTTGGCGGGTACTGCGCCGTCAATGAACTCAAAGGTGTGCTGGCTGCCTAGACCCTCGCGTATTGCAGCTGGGTCAGTGGTCAGTGAATATTAACATCGCATCTTTCTCAGGAAGATGCACACCTGTCTGCATCTCAAACATCTGTGTAGAATTATTAGTAAAAGGTACGATTGGACATCGCGCAACTGCAAGAGAATGTCGTGGCCATACCTTGCTGTTCGTGCCCATGCCGTGAAGGCACAGGAAGCGCATCGTGAGGGCTGAAGAAATGGACAAATTTGACAAGAGAGGTCACTTGCGGCGCACTGTTTATCCGTAAGGTAGTAAAGCCTTTATTTACTTTAGTTATTTAATGGAGAATTTCGTAATTTAGCTATGTAAAGTAATAGGGTGTGTCAAATGGCGGGGTCCCGAAGCGCTCGCCGTGGACTCACCCTGTAACACAGTCGGATCACCGTGACATGCCGATAGCATTACCCTGCAGGTTTGAAGCCTTCATTACCCGAATAATGCAGGCCTATTCGCTCTGTTCTTTGACCACAAATCTGATGCCCTGTGGGTATCAGTCGATATGAGCCGAGGCATGTTGGATTACCAAGCAATGTTGCGGCACCCTTGGTCGCAGTGCCCAGATTTTGGCAAGTCACATTGAAATGATCTAGATTGATCGAAGGAGCCAAGACTGGTGGTATGCGGGCTCTGGTCGCGTTCCCATGACTGTTGGCTCTAATTGCTTACATCGAACTACAACTTGTCCTTGGTGCACAGTGTCCACTTTAGCTAGGTACTTACCTACTTAAGTAGGTAAGTTGCCCTAGGGTACGTGACGATCATTTGCCAGGGTCCGGCTGCATCCCGCCAGCCTGCCAGGCCGCATGATTTTGTTAGCGCCGAACAGGGTCTCATCGTTTGGTCCTGATCATGGCGTGAATGACCCCTTCCTTCGGCGCAGTCACTCATCGGACGCGGTTGGAAGTTAGCTCGGAAATCTCGGTGCCACGCCAAGGAGGACCATGAATATCCTCGACCCAACCATCGCGGCAAAGTTCCCATTGGTTGCTGTTGTTTCAGCGGCTACTTGCGGTGGGTCAACTGCAGCAATGCGGAAGAAACCAAGTGTTGTAAGGGCTGTTGGGCGTGAGAATGTTATTGAAATAACCAGAGGACCAACTACTAGGGAAGCAGTGTGCCTGGGTAGACACGTTTCTCTTTCTTTTACTCCCAGGAAAAAATAAACACACCGTCAGTCCAATGGCTTCCAAATTGACCTTAGATGGCGGCATCGCCTTGGTGACTGGAGTAAGTCAATGTCGATCCCTTCTACATTGTGTCTCTGCCCCAATCTATTCAGCAAGTGCCATCTGGCTAACTCATTCATGAAAGGCCGCTTCCGGTATCGGCAAGGAGGCCGCACTGGCCTTTGCGGAAGCTGGGGCAAAAGGTGTTGTCCTCGCGGATATCAACGTGGAAGGCCTCAAGAAAGTCGCCGAAGAAAGCAAAGGCGTTGCTAAGCACACCAACTACCAAGCCCTTGTTGTCGAGCTGGATATAGGTGATGAGCAGAGCGTTCAGAACCTAGTTGCAACGACGGTTGAGGAACTTGGACGTATCGACTACGCCGTCAACAGCGCCGGGGTGAGCATTCTACCCGCGATCTGTTTGTGCATCTCCTGTGAATTAAGCATGGATACTAATCTTGTGTTGCTTCTAGGTTGATTTAGAACAATACCGGCAATTGACTCCATTTGTCGACCTTAATGTCTTCTCTAAGATGGTCGATGTCAACATCAAGGGCGCTGTGTATTTTGTCAGGGCTGTCATGGCTGCAATGTCCAAGCAGGAACCCCTCTCATACACGGGGCGCTATGGTATACGCAGTCTCGGCAGAGGCTCCATCGTTCTACTCGGCTCATCGAATTCCTACATTGGCGCGCCGGGAATGGTTTCGTACACAACCGGAAAACACGCTATTATCGGTCTCATGAAGGCCGCCGGTAAGTCTTTGTCCGCTTTCAATGGCCCAGAATCAGCAGCTAATAAATTCGCCTGCACAGCTGTCGACTCCTTGGCATTGCAGAGCCACATTCGAGTCAACACCGTGTGCCCTGCTTGGGTTGATACCACTAGTAAGTCGATTCGGTCAAGACAATTCCATTGTTGAGCAAGATTTGTCAATTATTGAGACAGACTGAGATCTGATGATGAGTCCGAGCGGCTTCTTTTGTTTCAAACGTTTCGATGCTGTGTGATGATGGCTAACCCCAGACACTGCAGTGGTGCAAGACTGCGTTAAGGTCAACCCACTGATTGGGCATGCCATATCCAACATGACCCCCCTGAAGCGGGCAGCCACTCCCGATGAAGTGGCTGACACCATTGTCTTCCTGTCCAGTCCTTATGCCAGCTTCATCAATGGGACTGATATGAAAATTGACGCAGGCATGACTTTGCCGCCCCCTCCCCCTCTTCCAGTGGACTACATTCCCTAGGCTTATTGTCCCAGAGGCATGCCGGTCTGCGCATTGCCCAACTGCAAGCCAATTTTTGAGATGTGTGTTTGTTTGATCCCGTTTGAAGAACATATTCCCATTTGGTGTTTGAATTAGTCAGTGCGATGAACCCCAAAAGGGGCTTCGAGAGCTCCTGACAAGGCGGGCAATCACTTCTGTACCTAGGTACGTATGAAAGCTAGGATTCTGGTGCAATATTCTGGAATAAATTTTCTCCGAAGCTGCTTGAAAAGTTAATATCAGGGATTGAGATCTTGGTCTCAAAAAAATAAACAAAAGCCAAGGAGGCTGCAAAACCTCTATCGCTGACGCTTTGCAATGATCACGCAACAGAAACTGAATGAATTTGAAAATTGAAAGCAAAATTGTGAGACAAGTCTAGAAGATCGATTCTCTCCTGGGAACAGCGCTTGCAAGACTGAGATGAGACCCTGGTGAATTCCGATTCGAGGGTGAACTACACGTCCGTTCCTGACGAGACAGCCCTTTTCCGGGTCAAATAGTATACACCCACGGTGATTAGAGTATCTGGGCACTTCAAATTGAGTACCCTAAGGTTTGGCGCCACGAAATAGAATAATTGGATCGAAGAACCCCACAATTTAGTCCTTGCAAGCATGATGACATTTAAAGCCAACTGGACCCCAGAACACGCGGGGCTCTCCCTCGCTCTTTTTCTTCCATGCCTAATTTAATACTGCCGCATCACTCACATCCAAAAATTATCCGTCACACTCTCAAAGCATCTCTTCCGCAATGGAGCGCCAAATCGGTCACCCATTATGGTCCCACACACCCTTTCGTCAGGTTTACAAGACTTATCGTCTCTGTTTTTTCCTGCTGCGACTTCCGTTCTGGGCCGCGTTGTCAGCCATACCATTCACACGTCCTCAGCGCAAATGGAGTTTCAAGCAGTCTTTGACGCTGCGGATCGCCCATGACATCCTGGATACGCAGGCCAGGATCGGGGTAACCGATGAGCTGACTTTGGAGCCCGGACCGGATGCCGAACGGTTTCAGGTGATGAACCCGTTCCCGTCCGAGTTGTATCAGGGGCCGCTTATTTCGTCGACTGTAAAGCCGGCCAAGATAGCAGGCGTGTGGTTCCCTGCGAGGCCCATCGAGTTGGACTGCACCGTTGTTCTATGGATCCATGGCGGCGCTTTTGTCACTGGAGCAGGACGAAGCGACACCTGTGGATATGTGTCGCGCAACATGCTCGAATTCTCGCGCATTGGAGCCGTGTTCAGCGTCCAGTATCGTCTTTCAGGTTACGGAATGATGAATCCTTTCCCGGCGGCTCTGCAGGACGTGTTGACTGCCTACCTTTACCTTACTCGAACACTCCAGATCCCTGCGAGGTCCGTCGTAGTCGCGGGCAATAGCTCTGGGGCCAATCTCGTTATTGCGTTTACACGCTATGTCGAGAAGTTTATGACCCAGACCGGGCGACCCCTTTGTGCAGTGGCAATCTCTCCATGGGTAGTTCCACTTCAATCGTTGGATGACGACTACGACCCAAAGACTCTGCTGAACCACTCAACAGAGTACTTGCCAGAATCGTTCCATAAATGGGGCGCCATAACATACCAGCCACCGGAGGGCCTCGACTCGTCTACTACCTTACAGTACGTGACTCTGCTCGGAAACCCATTCCCAACCTCCATCCCCATATTCGCCACTTTTGGGGAACGGGAGATTCTTGGCCCTGCCATCATGGCTTGGGCTGAGGAGATGAGAGGCCTCCGTGGTAATCAATTGGAGTTATACTGCGATGAAGAAGGTGTGCATGCCAGTCTCTTCATCGGTGACTCCATGGGTTGGGGTAAGAATGCAAGAAAGATTTCTGTCATGAGTGGTGACTTCATAGAGAAGAGCCGCACAACCTCAAATCAATCGCATACACCGAGTTTTGGCGCACAGTAAACGCCGTACTTCGGCAAAGAGGACTGGAGAGACGCATGCGGAGCCGGGGAGCAGCGGGAGGGATAGGGAATGTTACATTCAATAAAATAATAATTTCTTTTCGCCGAGTTTCGACTGTATTAATCAGTGCAATATTGCTCGAGAAATCGACTTCGATCTGTCTTTCTGGCTGTGATTGTCTCAACGTCCCATCCTATTGTCTGTGACTCAGCTTCCTTTCGTGGCAGTTGCGGTTGCAAATATTTCTAGAATCAAGGGATCACTGCGACTGCAGGGGTTTACAAAATCCCTATTGCCGTCGCTACCTTTCTGGTTCTTAATTACCCTCAACTTGACTGATCGTCAGATCATGAGGTAGAGCACACACCACTTGCCCCTCCGTCTTGAGCTCAGCTGACTATTCGCTAGCGACTGCTAGCTACTAGTAACCTTTTGTATCTGCTTTCTATTATGTTGCCTATGAGAATGGTATCAGGACGCTATGGGAAAATGCCCGTCTCTATCTAGATTGAATATCCTATGCTGACCAAGATGCTACGAGTATGCCGAGTCTGATGTCTGAAAACGAGGAAGCCCTCGCCACGCCGGATCGGCTCGGGTCTTTATCTTTGAATGACAATATACGCGTCGCAAAGCTCGAGGCAGGTGGCACATGGGCTCCATGTGCATAGAACCGTTCCTGCTGCCCAGGTCTATGACAACATGACAGTCAAAGCATGCGGAAGTAGGTTCGTTTTTCACTCCTAGATAGGCGGCGATTTCCACAAGTGGTTCATTGATAATCGGTCCAGGTCTATCCGGGCTTTCTGCATTATCCGCAGGAGTACCGGGCCGTACTCATTGTCCTGATGGGAGAGTGCGTGTAGGGCTGGCGGTAGGATTGCTTAATATATATAACTATAGCTTTAGCCACACTATATTTTTCCTTTACACTATATAACTACTCATATCTTCCTTAATAGTCTAAAACTTATATATAAAGTCTTTAATAACTTTGTATATATCTTTATAATCCTTTTATAAAGGAACTTTAAATTCTTTTTTTCTTTATTTTTATTATATTCTTTTATTATTAAAAAGTTAATAATTATTAATAATAAAAGTATAAACTTAAAAAAGAATAAACTTATTATATCTTTTTTTATTTTTTTTATAAATTACTTTTAAACCTTTTAAAAGTAGTATATTATAAATTATTTCTTTATTTTAAAGTCTTATAAAATTAATAGTATATTTAAATAAAAATTATAATACTTACTTAATAAAGGTTTAATTAATATATATATATATATATATATATATATATATATAAAGAAATAATTTTTAATTAAACTTCTTTAAATATAATTTATTTATATAATAATTATTTTTAAACTTAACTTTATTATATAACTCCTTTATAATAATTAACTTATAAATTACTTTTATTTATTATTTTAATTAATATTCTTATTAAAATAATACCTCTTAACTTTATTTATATATTATTAAACTAAAGTTATAAATACTTATTATATTATAACTATTATTATTAATATTATATTCTTTTTAAATATTAAATATTAAATATTTTTTATTATATAAAGGTATTATATATATCCTTAGATATATATGGAATAGAAGCGAAACTATATGAAACTATGTATGTGACTATCTTTCTTAGAAATGGATAGAAGCCCGTGTTGATACAAGTCAGTGAACCGCGAGACGATCAGTTGGAGGCTGACCATGTGTTGAACACAGCTTATTCTCCCACGATCACGGTAAAACACCTGGAGAAATTAAAGGTAAATAAATTAGACGATGCCATGAGGGCCCTTCTCGATTCTGAGACGGAATAAACCCGTGATCCTATTGAAACACCCCTTTCAAATAATTATCAAGGTGATCACCGAGGTCCTTGGCGTTATAAGTGCTCTGTGAATTTCGGCACAAGGGCTGGTCGTCCGGTCGCTCTCTGATGTAGTAAGTCTTGTCAATGTGGGGATTCAGCTCGGTCTGCGAGAATCCATTTCCAAGATAGGCAAATCTATTCTTGGAAGCATATCTGACTTCGAAGTCTTCGTATCGGGGACTCGCTAGAACCTCCATGTAATGCAGTGTTGAGCCTGGCCAGACTGGGAAGAGTCAGCACAACGTGTGATTGCGAAAAGGAGGTGCATGGAGTTGGCGACACTCACGAGCTGTGACCTTCTGCGTGCGAGGGTCCTTGTACCAGGAAAGGCAGTTGTCGTCCCAGACGGTGGAGGGCATGAAAGCATCCTTCTGTTGCATGAAATCGTTGACTGCTTCGAGCTTGGGGTCGAATGAAGCGATGTCCTCTTTCTGCCAACGGTTCAAGAACTGGGCGATGTATTCACCTTCGATCTCAACGGAGAAGATAATGGGACCATTCCCGATAGGACAATTTGGCCCGAGGAACCTGCGAACGTCAGATTGCGCAAAGGTGATGCACTCGGATGCCTCACATGAAGTAATTCGGATAGTTATTGACGGCTAACCCCATGTAGCTTCGGGGCTCGTCAGCCCAAACCTTTGCGAGGTCGTATGCATTGCGTCCTACTAAAGGGAACTACGTCCTATTAAAATCTCGTCGCGCCAAAGATTATAGGTATGCTGCTTACCCGTGGCTTGAATGTGGTGTTGAACCCAGTAGCACAAATCAAGACATCCACATCAACAGACCCCGCCTTCTCGGTGACACAACCGGTCTCAGTTACCTTTGTAATCTCGCCATAGATGGTGGTGACGTTTTCCTTGCCTAAAGACTCCAAATAGTCGACACCAGGCTGAAAATACCAAAGGATTTAGTACTAATACATCATATTTCAGGGGAGATGCCACACATACCGTTAATCGCCGACATCCAGGAGGGAATGGAGGTATGAGCGTTTGGGCAAGATCGGGGTTCTGCAATTTGCTTTCCATTGTCGACTGCATGTATTTCTGCGTGGCTAGCTGGGCCGCGGAACCTCGGATGAAGTTGGGGAACACCATGGCCATGCCCAACTCTGTCTGCTTCCTCATGGCGAGAAGGACACCCGGATCCTCCTTAAAGCGCCTCTTCTCTTCATCGGAATACTCATGGTAGTCCATCCCCAGCGATGGCGCGACCCAAGTCGGTTCTCGAATGAAAGTCGTCACATGTTTAGCAACTCTGCATCTGGTCAGCCTCCATACTGACTTGTAGCACGCTTAGGAATGCTTTTTACTTTCGGACTTGAGGCAGGATCTGGATGCCGGAGGAACTGCGTTCAGGTCAGCGAAAGGTCGTAGAAGTAAGTCAAGATTGGAATGCTAATACCCGTTGCCAATGAGACCAACATGTTTCCCTGTGAGATCAACGGAGTCGTCCCAAGCAGCACTATGAAGTAAAGTCCCCTTGTAAGACTGCAACCCAGGGATCGCTGGCCACTTCCAGTTGTTGAGAATGCCTGCGGCGTTGATCAAGAAATCGCAACGCTGCTCAAAGACCCCATCAGCATTCTTGATTTTGACCACCCATGTTGATGTGTGCTCTTCCCACGAAGCGCCAACAACTTCGTGATTGAGACTAATGTAGGGCCTCAACTTGTACTGGTCGACGAAATCATTGAAGTACGTATAGATCTCGTGTGAAGATGCGTAGTTGGCCGACCAATCCCACTTGGGCTGGAACGAGTAGGTGTAATTGTGTCTAATGGTTGTCAGTGCATGTACATATGTAGCCCTGTAGCTCTCTGAGAGTCATGAATCACTGACGCCGGTACATCACACGCACACCCGGGGTACCTATTCTCGTACCACGTCCCGGAGACCTCTGGGTTCTTCTCATAGACATTCAACGTGAAGTCGGTGAAGCTGTACTTCAGTTTCCAAGCCATATAAATGCCGGATGCACCCGCACCAACCGTTATTACCCTCATGTGTCGATTTGCATGAAGGGGTTTGTTCCTCATGACAAAGTGTGATGAGCTTGCGGTGTCAGCAATGCTGGAGCTGGATACACCGTCGTCGCCGCTCGCCCCAGGAATGCCATTTCTCCTGTACGGCTCGTTGACAGGAGTTGGAATTGTGGCAGCCATGAGATACTTCAGGTATATTGCAGAACCCCAGTGGTGCGATGTGTTGGGATGCTTGAAAGGCTACATCCTTTGCACAGCTTGTGTAGAGACTGCTACTTTAAATAGGAACACAACAACACAACCGCGGGCACGAGTTGACTACGGAGTATGCCAGGTATTTCGATGGTTAGACCAGGTTACTGCATTGCATGGGTCAATGATACGGCAGGGAGGGGGTCGATCAGTACTTGGAGTGCATCGACTAGTAGATATTGACCAAGCCGTGTATCCGGGCACACCTACTGACTAAAGCGGCGGAAGCCAAGTAGGGTGACATGAATCAGTCAAACCAATGCACCCCGAGCTTCCCGGAAGTCCTGTTATGATTTAATCGGAGGTGATCAGATGTGGCCGCAAATAACCATTCTCACTTTGAAATGGCGCCTGTCAAAGCTCTCTCCTGCTTTTCCGTTTTCATGATGCGGCATCTTGGTTGACGTTCGTCATCTCAGCCACCGTTAATATAAACATGACCACCAAGCTTCACCATGGTCTCAAGTGCTGACGATGCAATGCACGTTCAATCCTTCCGGTGAGGGTATAGACATCCACTACATTTTCACCACGGAACTCATACTCGATTAGGTGGCAAATACTACCTAGGTACCTTCGGTGCTATACCATGGGACCCCACCCTTTCGGACACCCCACCATCTCGCGACTGACGGCACGGCACTTACAACTGCTAGGAATAACCAATGGGCAGACTGGTTATCATGGTGTTTTGGCAATGCGGGCAAGGCATGTATGTGGCTAGCAGTCACGGTGCTCATTGCATTACTCACCTAATTTCCCTACACTCAACTACAAACCTCACTGCTTTTAGAACTCACCCTACACTTATTACTTTTTAAAGATTCTAATAAGGTATTTCTTAATAATAATTAATTGATTAAATATAACTATATAAATACTTTTTTATATAAATTATTAATTAAAAAGGTATTAAAATAAAAAGGTATTTAAAATAAATTAATTTTTCTTTATAAAATAATCCTTTTATTTTAATTTTTTTATATTTTAAATTTAAAGAACCTTTTAAATACTTAAGATAGGTTTTAATTAATAAATTTTCTAAACTAATATATTTTTTTAAAGGTTTTTTTAATATTTATTAATATTTTAACTATACTAGTTGTTACTATATTAAATAAATAGGGAAAGCTATCTTAAAAAACACTTAAAAAAGGGTATTTAAATATTTAAGATAAGCCTCCATATCTCTTACAATATAGGATTATAGCTTCACTACTTTCCCACATTATTTCTTAAATAACTTAAGCTAATATCCACTTACCTAACAATTATATCCACTTACCTAGTTTTTTTTTAACCATTTATCTAGTATAAAAAATTTATATATAAAGCCTATATAAAATTATATACTTAATTAGGATTCTTTAAATTTTTAATACTTTTAGTATAAACTCCTTTTAAACCCCTTTTAATACCCTTTTTAAAACCCTTTATTTTTACCTTTTAAAACCCTTTATCTTTATTTTTTAAACCTTCTAAATTATATATATTTAAATATTAATTAAATATTTAAATATTAATTAAACATTAAAAAACTAAAAGTTTAGAGTATTAAAGAACTAAAAGAAGTATTAAAAAGTTAGAAAGAGTATAATTTTTATTTTTATCTTTTTAATTTCTAGCCTTTTAATATTTAATTAGTATTTAAATATTTAATTAATATTTAAATATATATAGCCTAAAAGGTTTAAAAGAGGTGCTAAAAGGGGTGTTAAAAGGGGTGCTAGAAGGGGTATAGAAGGGGTATAGAAGGGGCTTATATTAAAAATATTAAAAATTAAAGAAGGAAATTATATCATAGGGTTTTTTAATATTAACTTAGAAGGTACTTATAAATATAAGAGAGTTGCTTAGAAAAATTAATATTAAATAAGTGGATAGTAGGAATTAGGTAAGTAGATATAATTGCTGGGTGAGTGGATATTAGCTTAGGTAACTCTAGTTTTAAATTAATAATTCTTTATAGATAATTTAAGCCCCTTTTTACTATAGGTCGGGAGGACCGTCTTAGAGGCCACATGCCCTCGTACTATGTTCTCTATTATTAGCACTATGTCTTTTAAAATACTAGGCTTTAAGAGCTTACTCCTGTATGAAGGTGTATTCAATGTTATAACGTATGGGGATTAGAAACGAAATCACCCGTCATCGTGATGGATGGTCGTCTTTAGCACAAAGGTGGTGCCAACTGGATCAAAGACCAGGACCGGGCTATGCTATCCGGCTATTCTACCTTTTCTTTAATGCGGTAAATTGTAAATGGAATTCAAAGTTGCCCATGGAACTGCAGGAATCACTCAGCCCGGAGATGAGGACTTGGCTTAATTTAGGACCGTTCGGAAATGTGCCCATTGTGGGGGGCATGAGACATGGCAGACCAGTTTCCAAAAAGCCAGCCGACGAGTTCCAAACCAGAGGTCACAGCTGGGTCAAGACATGATGATATCAGTCAATACGATCGCTCCCTCACGGACTTGTCCTTCCCACTGTTAGAACAGCACTCATAATTCCCTAGACGACTGATTTGTATTTCATGCATAAGGCCAAGCATCATCGCCCCACGCCCCCATGATGCATGTGCAAGCTTCCTTTTGATATCACATGAAGGAGGCCTATGCTGCATATGCGGGTGGCCCTGTTGGTCAGCGGCTAAACCACTAAGGCTCTGGAACCTATGTGGCAGGCGGTGGGTATCTCACCGCTTCCAACCCCACGATGCCGCCAAGTCGCTTACATACCTAGATATGTAGTATGTCGGTGTTTCTGTCGGGGGTCACAACATTGAGCTTGCCACGACGCTTTCAGGTTGCACATGAGGTTGTTTAGTTCTAACTATGAATGCTTACGTCGCTACCCTAAGGTACGGTTGAGATTCGTGATTCGAGCAACGTGAGCATTCTGTAGTATCGAGATGTGTAAACGCCGAGTTGGTAGGCTGTACGTACCACGATGAACTTCTCTGCTATCAAATGCAGTGTTATATTGTGGCACGACTAACATTGGACATGCCCCTCTCCTTGGTTTACATGTCAGTCAGTGTTCATGTTGGCACTCTTGGCCCGCGGCCGAGACAGAGTACTTTTGTCAAACTAAGTCGTTTGTCACAATTGATGATGCAGAATTGCTTGGATAACCCTTTTTCCCATGTGTGAGTGTGTGTGACTGGGTGACTGCGCAACTGGGTCCCCCAACTGCAGGTTGGTACCTAGGTACTTAAGTAGTTGTTCAGTGTGGCCCACCAGGGCACTTGCCTATACACCTTAGAACCTTAACCTCCCTGAGTTCCCTCAAACTTCCCTCTTTTATAGAAGGTAGCGCCGACATAGTTGCAACGTATTGAGGACAGTTGCCTTGTCTCTGTTTTTCTTCACGTGATACTGTGCAGTCAGCCGGTCCAGTGCAGCCGACAGCCCGAATACATGCCTGATCGTGGGAGTCAGAGCCTTGAGCTGTGACAAAATAGCTACGATCCCGTCAGTGCGCAACCCTCGTCGTCTACTACTGTTGCCGGCAGCTCTACCCGCTTTTCATCTTACCCCGTCAGTCTCAGCCATACTAGACCACACCGCATCAAATCAGCATCACATCGCCATGAGCAGCTACGATGTCTCCAAACCGGTGGCTTACCCTCCCTCAAAGACGGCCCTGCTCATGCTTGATTACCAGAACGTACTGGTTAACATGATTCAGGACCCGGAGAGGAGAAAGAAGGTGGTTGAGGCTGCCAAGACCCTGCTAGAAACGGCACGAAAGAATCAGGTCGCCATCATCCACTGCACCATGGACACCACCCTGGATCCCCCTCCCACCAATAAGGTGTCAGAGGCGTGGCACACAGCCCACAAGCCAGCCTTCTCGAGCATGCCCGAGATCGGTGCTGAATATGGCGAGCTCGCCCCTACTGGCGCCGCCACCGACGGGAGCAAGGAGAGAGTCTCAGTTAGGCCCCCCGGATACAGGTCTGCCTTGGTGGGCGAGGGACTTCTCGCAACTCTGCAGAACGACCTTGGAGTAAAGCATCTGGTACTTGGTGGCATAGCGACCAGCGGCGCCGTCATGGGCACGGCCTCTCACGCCACTGACCTGGACTTCGTCGTCACCGTCGTGGAAGACGCGTGCTGGGATCCAAATGAACAGGTGCATCGCGCCCTCATCGACACCGTTCTCCCTTCATTGGCTTGGATTTCGACAGTTGACGAGGGAGTCGCTCGCCTGACGGGATAGACATCTTTCTATAGGGCAGACGACTTAGTATATGGTGTCCAGGCTGAGACGGTGGGCAGTCAGGGGACATCAACAGACTATTTAGGTTTATTCGAAACTATCATTTCCTCAGTGATTTTCGTACTGTCCACTTGGCTTAGGGTCAATAAAAAACTGCCATGGCGCAATCGTTGTCCGAGCATGAAAGGAATGTTCTCAAGTCCAGTACATGATAAAGAGCAGAGCAGAAGCGTTGTTTTCCCATGCCCTCAAGTACTCGCGCATGGTTATGAGCTTAGTCTGTCTTGCATCACAATTTGCCAACTTGGCAGACTAGCCAAAGTCTACGAAAGATCAGACATTTTGTATTATTCCAGGCGCAGAATGGATATGCAGTCTAGTCATTCTAATGAATTAAAGCGTTTTAACGATAGCTTTGAGGAAGTTGTTATGCAATTAACTGAGTACTGGTTTTTCGATGTTTTCCCTAAAATCTCTATATACTAGTATAGCCCTGGATTTGTCATGAGTGATGCGTGACTGCAGACTTGCCATTTGATCTTCACAGAAAGCACCACGTTATGACTTAATTCGCCTTGCTTTGACTGCTAGGGCAGAAGTCACAATAAGGGGGATAAGTATTGATGAGGACATGTGTAGTTAGTGACTGCAGATTTGTTTTATGTATAGTAAACCAGTGTAAATTAAAGTCTGCACACCGAGGTTACACTTGTACCGGTGTGCTCTCCGTTTTCCTTTGTGCGAATTTCCAATCACTTTGGGAAATGCTATGAGGGGTAGGTAAGCATTTTGATCGAGGACGACTGCAGTGTGCGACAGTATCATCTCGCCAGATTTGAGCGCAATGTCGCAATTTTTGGCAAAGGAATATGCGAATTATCCAAAAACGTTCTGTTGCGTCTTGATGAATGCTTGTTGGGTGTTGAAAAGCCAGAAATGTAGCAACTTGCAGCCAGCATTGCTTTTACACATACTCAACTACCGAGATGCACTGCCAAGTATCCTCGCAATGATCCTTACCGGCCCTTCGCAGTACCAATGATCAGACGCTCGTGTCATCCTCTAGCAGCCAACATTTTTATGCACTCAGTAGTAGCTGTCCTGTAATTCGGTGAATATGTATGCTAAAGTCACCGCCATCTCATGAAGTTGTTTTTCGTGTAGATTGTGACCGCTCAGTTCAACTCGTGTGCGGATTTGATAGCCTTGGACTTTCCGGTATCCAGGATCACAGCAGGGTCCTCCGGGTCTCCCTTCCGAGAAACCTCGTTGCCTCTCTTAGTCTTGATTGTTGCTCTGCATTGATGTTAGTATGTTGATGTGAATTTCGCGTGGCTTGGGTGGTTGGGCAGACTTACTCGTCCTCCTTGACATCAAGCACCTTGCCCTCGGGGTTGCCACTGCCCCACTTCCAGCTCACTGTCTCTCCCTTCGCGGGCCCATTCTTAGATGGCTTCTTGCCTCCAGACTCGCCGCCTCCCTCTTCCTCTCCGCCATTTTCACCATCGCCCTCGGCATCCTCGTCTTCTTCATCAGCATCCTCTTCGCCATCTTTCTTTGAGGAGGCTCCTTGGCGGGTCTCCCTCTTCTTGTTGGATCCGTTTTGTGACCCAGATTTCTTCCTCTTATCACCGGTCTTCTTGTCGTCCTCTCCTACATCCTCCTCGTCGCCCTCACCCTCTGCTACATCATCGGCTTTCTCTTCCTTCCCGTCGTCATCTGCTTCTCCGTCCTTACTCTTTGACTCGGGTTTGCTTCCACTCTTGCTGGAAGACTTGCCTCCATTTTGTTCCTTGAGCGGATCATGGCCCCAATTCTTCAAACTAATGTAAGACTTGGTCTTCTTCGCCTCCTCCGGATCCTTTTCCTCGAGGCTTCCAGTTTCCTGCGCCAGATGTCGCTTGCAGTACGAGGCCACCTTTCGCATGTGCTGAATCTGGTCCTCGGTGTACTTCTCCGGATCCTTGTCGGGATTGGCTTTCAGAATCTCAATGATTTTCTCGCCCGAGTCTTGACCAACGGATTTTCCGTCTTCGCCGTCCTTGCGCCATCCGGCTTGGTTGGATTCCTCCGACTTCAGCCATTTCTCCAGCTCCGAGGCCGTCATGTTGACGTATTCATTAAACTCGGCGATGACATCCTTATCGTCTTTGACCATTTTGACGATTTGCTGTTGTATCACGACGGAAAATCGGTAGTTAAGTGTGGATTGATTCCAATTGAACAGAGATGCGGTTCGATGGTGGTGATAAGACTGGGCCGGAGCGTCGAGCTCCTAGAGGAGGGAGCTGGCCATTTATTTGAAGCACCAAACCAATCCAAAGCAGCCCTGTTTGGCTGTGGAACAGTCTGTGCCGTGTCGTCATGGAGTTGTCTTAGAAGTCATGTCGTCATCCCAAGTTGAGCTCTCGAGCACCCTTGCAAGCTGCACGCGTAGCCTTTGTTGAGCCGCTCAGGGGGAAAGCTGACCGTCCGGCTGAAGCTAGTCAGGGCACGAAATTAGTGCAATTGCTTTTTGTAGCGGTTTCATGTGACAGAGCCTCGAATTGACGAATGGCAATGTCGATCGCATCCCAGGGCTGAAAAATTGCCGATCTGGCAAGCCACTTCCTTTTCTGCCTAGTCCGGACTCGGAATTAATTGAGCTATGATTCAAATTTCCTATTTTGAGTTGAGTACACCATCAGTACTCGGGAGTGATTTAGCAACGTATTCAACTAGTGGATCTTTGACTAGAATATTGTTTCATGGTTTAATTCCCCCAATGGGATTTAAGCATAACCCATGTGCCAGTTGGTGAGAGTTAAGAAAGAGGATGAACATCCCGATAAGAGACAACTGTGTGTAGTCTTAGCATTGTTTTCCACCCAAGGCAAATGATGAGTGTCACGGATGTACTGCATCATTAGTACTGCCTCCATCCAGCGCTTCTTTCGGCCATAGGCGCCCAGGTCTTGCCCTGTTTGTCCTCATTAATTCGGGCTATCATCCTGTGATATCTCCAATTTACCCATGACTGCTCCTCCCACGGCTTGCTTGGATGGATGATTTGAAAATTGAAGCGACGTAACAACTATTCGGCCAGGCTCTTTGTGGTTAGCAATACGTTCTTTTTTCCCCTTCCCACTTGCAGCCAGGACGCGGTGACTTAACTCGAAGATCACTTTGTAAATCTCCGGGAATGCTAGCGTAAGCAAGCTTCAAAATGCAGGGAACATGTAACATCGGGCAGTGTTGGCAGCCGGTTGGTCGTAGCCCTTTGCTACTAGTGATAGATCCGACTTCACCGTCAGGCAAAATCCCCCGCACCTCATACGCTTCTCAGCTCTCTACGAGCTGAAGAACAAAGTCATCCTGGTCCACAAAACCAAAACTCTCAGCCATGTCTACCGTACTGTAGATCAGACGGTCCCAACGTCGAATGGAAACGAAGTCACAATGTGGCGATCAGGAATTGTGTATTCTGCTGTGGTTGCCTGACTGAAAGAAGAGAAAGAGTAGCAAAGCCGCGATTCGGTGATGCTACACTACATTATGGGAGGCTGATTGGGAAATAAATGGAAAGTTACAAATTTCAGTAAGAGAAATCACTGCTCGACACAGGCAATGGTCCGACATTAACAGGACTTTGCAAGAAACCGGGACAAAGTCAAGAATAGCGCGAATTACTGCCCGAGCCCGAGCTCCTTGATGATCAGATCCGCGGCCTTCTCGCCAATCATCAAGGCGGTGTTGTTCGTATTGGCACCCACGTTCTCAGGCGGCACACTCAGATCCGCAACTTTAAGCCCCGTCACCCCATGCACGTTCAGCGCAGGGTCGACGACCCCAAGCTTCTCCCGGGGCGCCATCTTGGCCGTCCCGAGCGAGTGCCACGTCGTGCCCACGATCTCGCGTATGGCCTGCTCGATCGCCGCGTCGTCCTCGCGCGTGTACTTGATGCGGGGTGCGCCAGCGGGGACGGGCCCGTCGGCGACAGGCTGGGCGGCGGCCTCGGACCCGGCGGGGAAGCTGGGGTGGCCTGAGGGCAGCTCACCGCGATAGATTGCGGAGCGGCGGATGATCTCGCGGGAGACCTTGTAGGCCCAGATGTGCTTCTTCACGTCGTTGTCGTCCTTGTCGGTCAGGTAGCCCACGTTGAAGTCGATGGGGTCGCCCAGGTCTGGCCCGGTGATGTGAATGTGGCCGCGCGAGTACGGATAGGCGGTCCAGTTTGCCATGGAAACGTACTCTGCGTCGTCGGGTAGTGAGGCGTGTTCTCCCAGGTAGACGAGGTAGAGCGCCATGATCATCAGGGGCCGGTTGGGGTCGTTCTTGAAGTCCCTGTCCCATGCGGCCTTGAATTCGGGGCCGAGGGCCGTTACTTCTTCCTCGGTGGGCCGGAACTTGCCTGATGCGTCCATCGAGTTCCAGCCTAGTAGGGGGTGCTTCTGCTGCACCATCTCCTCGAGCTTGAAGCGCCCGTTGAAGAAGCCGTTGATGGTCTCGTCGTGTCCCAGGTTCGTCCGGTAGGTCCATAGAGACAAATGGTGATCCTGGTAATCGTTTCCAACGCCAGGTAAGTCGACCACAACTGGAACACCCGCACGCTCAAGAACTTTTGCGCTTCCAACACCGGACCGCTCCAGAATCAGTGGGCTACCATTGGCACCAGATGAGAGTACCACGAGCTGGCGTGCGCTAATAGTACGTGTACCACCACCAACATTGTCCTTATTGTACTTTGCGTTGGGCTGATACTGAACACCGATGGCGCGTTTGTTACCGTCAAAGAGAACGCGCACAGTCTGCGTCTCAACGAGGACATGCAGGTTGGGGTATTGATCACTCTGGAGCTTGGGGTGGATGTACCTGTGTGCGGCATCCTGGCGGCGTCCATCGGGCCCCACGTAGCGAAGCCAGCGCTCGACGCCATTGTTGTTATCCAAGTTCTGTAGGTCTTTGAGTTCTGGGTACCCATGTGCAGCCGCAGCATCGATAAAGGCATTTTCGGCCCGTTTGGCTCTGAATGTGCCGCTTGAGATGTGAATTGGGCCATCTGCGCCGTGGTGTTCTGCATCACCGCCGCCGTGGTACGTCTCAAACTAATTATTTGTATGTAATGTTAGGCACCATAATAATGCATTGTAGCTATCTTTCTTGATGCAGATCTGTGCCAAAAGGTAGATCAGACGTGGGTGCGTGAAGGAGCCCTCTCACCTTTTTCAAGAACGGCCACAGCTCGTTGGCTGACCATCCCGGTGCATTCCACGAGTTAAAGTCTGAACGCTGTGCTCGGGTGTAGACCATCCAGTTGATGGACGATCCGCCACCCAGCGTGCCCCCTGATGGGACAATTGGGTTGCGATTGGCGAGCTGGGGCGCCTTGTTCCCCTGCCAGAACAGTGCTGTCGTACTGTCTTCCTCAAGGTTTTTGGGGAAAAGCGCAGGATGAATGACTGTCGGGTTATTATAGTTGTTCTTGCCCTGTTCAACTAGGAGAATCGAAGCCTTGGGGTCGGCTTCGGCAAGTCTGGCTGCTATCACACAGCCAGCACTTCCACCTGGTGAAGGATATTAGCAAAATTTCGCAGCCCGTAATTTTTCATCAGCACTTCGCTAGGGTTTATACCTCCAGAGATGATCACGTCAACTTCGTGGAGGTCATCTGGGAGCTTGTTGTACAGAGGCATGATCTCTAAGTCTACACGAGAAAGTCTGGGTCCTCAGGCTTGATAACTAAGTAGGTTATTATGAAGACGAGCGTCTTCTTAAGGTTGCATTCGGACTCCAACATCTCAACCTTGGCCAGAAGGGCGAGAGGGAGGCCATTTAATACTTGGTCGGACAGATGGGCAGAAGCATGACTGGGCCATTAGTATCCGGCCCCTCTTTGACCCCTCACGATCCCAAGACACCACGAGCAACTTTAAATATCTCGTCAATCACAGCTTTTTGGTGTGGAAGTGTCACATACTTCCCTAAAAGGCAAAGCTTTGAGGTACGAATCGGCAGCTATGGCGATTGGCACGTTCGGGATCACGACGGGTCCAATGGCGTTTCTCGGGCCGTCACCCCATGTTTTACCCCAGGTTTTAGTTTGAGTAATAGAACCATGCAGTTATACGCTACCTAATGCCCAGTCTGGGGAAGGTTCGGGATACTTGTTTTGGGAGTATGTAGCCGCCGCGAAATGCCCGCCATTCCCCCAATATCCCCGAATATCCCAGGTTATTCACCCTGCTAGTAGGGTACCTGGGTAAGGGGCCTCCTCCACGTCCTGTTGGGCCGGGTGGGGAGCTACTATATTCTTGCTTTACATTTTGATCGGGAAGATAAATGCATATTCATCGTAGAGTGACCTGGAAACTTGAGGGACATCTTCTGAGATGACTACCCTAGGGTAGCTGCTCGATGCCGTTGCAGACAAATTTGAAATGATTTTTAATTTTGTTGAGATCCTTGCTACGTTGTGAATGTTCTACATCTTGTACATTGGGGATTTTCTACATTCCACACATCTCCAAACACGCCCAAGCCTCCCTCGATCGAGGTACGTTTCTCACGAAGTCTGGTTTTCATTATTTGCGTTCTCTTGCTCGGCACTAGGCATCTAGAGCCACTAGGTCCCCGCATAGAGCTCCGTCTAAAACAACAGTACGACTTGTTTGCTCCGCCGTGTAGCCTCAAATGGGGCTGTCCTCGTATGAAGGAACACCCCGCGTCTATTTTGCCTCTTTGTGTGCGGTATCTCATCGGACTCGTTTCGTTCCCATGTATGGGCCAATATTCCGATTTTCTCGGAAAGTTCACGTCGTTTGAGTAACGTGATATGAATTTGAGATACTGCGTTGGTGGACTCTTGTCCACGTGAATCAATCCATATGGTGCGACCGCCCCGAGTGCCTACAGTACCTGGTTGATAACTTTGAGGCCGCAATACCATCGTCCTCGCACCAGCTTCTTCCACGTGTTTAACATTTCCGCGCCTGGCTACGGTATGCAGACCAGTGTGGCATCCAATATCGCCGAGCGGGGATCCCACGGTGGCACCTGAATCGCAACCGGGTAGATATGGCTATAGCTAGACTAGTAGAAAGTTTCTGTCGCGAAAAGACCGGTTACATTAGAGATCGAGGGTTCACAGGGCAATAAAGGGGGGTAAAGGGCAACATATACCCCAAGTACACCAACCATATTTTACACCACCAATTCACCATAATTACATAACAGATAAATGTATCATCGAATATACGTCTATCACTATCAGCTCATCAATATCATTAATTATACCCATCGCCATAAAACTCGCTCCCACCTCTTATTATAGTAATCACTCGTGAGCACCATGGAGTAGATACTATTATATATCAGGACTATGGTCAAAGATGGATGGAAGAGGGCCCCCTCTCATTACTGTCATCGCTTGATAACTCCGCGGCATATGCCTTCTTCTAACTAATATCACGGTAACGGTTCCAAGGTTGCCGACTTTATCTGTGCCGGCCGTGGACACCTAATGTCTTTCCCAACAACTTGCTGTGACGAGCTTCTTTCCGAAAAGGCAAAGGATCATGAGTCTTCTCGCAGTTGTGGAAGTATTCACGAATACTTACACCCGTTTATGTCTGCATGAACTGCTTAAAGGGCCTCTAACATACCTAGGTAACTTTCTTTTCGCCCAACTACGGGTAAGTGAAGTGAGCCAGAACCTGACAACTCCGCAGCGATGAGTTTTGGTCAAATAGTTCGGAAATTCTCTATCTCCTGAACTTGTTGTCGGGCCGATGTTGAAAGCAGCGAGAATAGCATGTTAGTGGAAAAGCCTCTGCTTGTTCAATGTTGGATTTATGAGCGACGCAGAAATGATCTAAAGCAGGTACACGTCAGCCCGCCGCAAGCCTGACTCTGGAGCATGCAGCTGACGCTGGCGACTGCCGCCAGTCGAGCTGCCAGAGGCGTGCGTGGGCAAGTTCGGTAGTCGGTGTTCGCCGGCGGAGCATTGGCGTGCAAGTATCAGCTCACCTTCCGTCCTAGCCTGACCAAGTCAATAAGCCCGACCCCTGCGGCAAATGGGCGACGGCGCACTTGAACCCGGCACCCCTCTGTCGTTACATCTGCAGTCGTATTGAGATAAGACTTGCACTCGCACTTCGACCTTGTAACCCCTCGCCTCGCCACAAGTGGTGGTTTTGGCGCCGTGGCTCATACACACAAACTACTAGTATTTATAAAGGAGTCATACCCACCACCTAAACGATGTCTGCCCGTCATTTCCTGAATTATTTCTCTCCACTACCTGTATGAAGCCTTGTGCAGCAGAGGCAACCCACTTGGAACCATGTTTCCGGACGATATGCTCTCTGTACACAGCTTGAAGACCGTATTGGTTGTGCTGGCCGGCTTCGTCTCCTGGAGGGTAAGTCTCGTGGGGCTTCACCATACACAGACGTATAATGCACCCTGAAGTAGACCTTGACATTAGACCAGATCGTATACGCCCTCTTCCTGTCGCCATTGCGCCGAATTCCCGGTCCCTTGCTGTCCAAGTTGACATACAAGTGGCTCCTCTTGGTCGAGCTGGCAGGCAAGAGGGCCAAGACGGTAGCGGCCCTCCATGACCAATATGGACCCGTCGTGCAGCTTTCCCCAGGAGAGATCAGCTTCAACGCCATCGACGTCGTGGAGCAAATCTACGGCCAGAACACCGAATTCTCCAAGGCGCAATGGTACAAGCACATAGCCCGCGGTGGAGTCTTCAACGAGACGGACATTTCCATCCACAGGCACAAGCGCAAGATGCTGAGTCACGTCTTTGCGCAGTCCAGCGTCAACGACATGGAGCCCGTCATCCGGCACGAGATGCGCAAGCTGCTCGACAGGATCGAGGAGCGGCGCCAGAGGGGACCGATCGACCTGCGCCACTGGTTGCGCATGCTAGCCTTTGATGTCTCCACTATGGTCTTCTTCGGCCAGGCCACTGGCGGCCTCGACAGCCATCAGATCCCGCAGTACGTCAAGGACTTTGACAACGCCTTCTTGATCTGGGACCTGCGGGGTCGCTTCCCAACAGTCTCCTGGCTGCTTGCCAGGCTCCCGCTGCAGTCGGTCCAATTCTTCTTCCAGTCGGATGACCGCATGTACGAATATGGGGAAAAGCGGTTTCAGCAATACATCGACAAATACGGCCGGACGTCGCAGCGCAAAGACCTACTGACCAAGCTCATACGTAAGGAGCCGGGACAGGACGATGGTCTTACTGATGAGCAGATCTCGGGTGAGATCGCCAACCTGACCCTCGCAGCGACCGACACGACAGCGCTCACCCTGCTATACTTGTTCTGGGAGCTGGCGCAGATGCCCGAGCTTCAGGAGCAGATTCAAGACGAGCTTAGCGCTGTGCCCATGCACGATGGCATGCCGGAGCATAAGGACCTGTGGAATCTTCCTTTGCTTAATGCAGTCATCAACGAGACCCTGAGGAAGCACTCTCCTGTGGTTATGGGTCTTCTCCGCGAGGTACCCTTAGGTGGAAGAGAAATGGAAGGTTATTTCATTCCAGAGAAGGTGAGGATTCGGCCCTGAGTCATAAAATACCCAGCTGACTTACCACCCTTCACAGACCGTCGTCTCAATGCCGTCATATAGTGCTCATCGTGACCCTCGGGTATTCCCTGAACCAGACGCCTTTAAACCATCTCGCTGGCTCGACACGAATGGTGGCACCGAGGAGATGAGGAAACTTTTCATGCCTTTTACCAAAGGTACTCGTCAATGCTTGGGCCAATCGATGGCCATGTTCGAGTTGCGCATCATAGCTGCCACCTTTATCAAAAACTACGTCCTAGGCGTCAGTGAGAAGACGAAACCCAAGGACATGGACTTTGTCGATCACTTCATGATGATACCAAAGGGAGAACACATCTGGTTCAATCTTGCTTCAGCTGAAAAGGTATGATGGCTCATTGAAAGAGGTCGATGTATGAATGGAAACGGTCTGCCACAAGGCCAAGGAAGGTTTTGTGAAGGGGAAAGGCGTCCGCTTTCTTTTCATTGAGTATTTCGATGACATTGGTAGTACTGATGGTGAGCTCTAGAGATTCATTGACCGTGGCAAATTCTCTCGTTAATGGCATATCAGTATCTAGGACAGATGGGTGAGCTGTATGTGTTTCAAGCATACCCTATATTTATCGGGAGTCTGGCTTGACTTTCTTCGACGTGGCATTTACTACGATATTATCATATTAGCCAGTTTCAAGCACTGAAGTAAACAAATGTGTGGCCTTCCAGGTCTCTACTTGGTGACTATGAAGAAGGATTTAGAGCCACAGCTTGGAGAGAGTCCTTCCGAGGATGTTTCCGGCCTGAACACTTGTCACGTCGCCGGAGAACTATGATATGCAGCTTTCGCCCATTTGAATACGTGCAGCATGTGGTTGGTACAATTCGGCGTCCCAACACGTGCCAAGATTCTCGATGCGCGAGACGAGGTCCCTTGCCCGATGTGCTGCACTCGGACTGTCTGCTGGGGCTAGTGCAAGCCACGGACTGCTGCGGGTGTGTTCCAAGCTTCTGAGACGGCGCGTCTCGAGGCTCTCTCCCCACCGTGGGATGACTTGACCGACACTAAAATGCCTCCCAGCCGACGGGATGGCTGCCCAGCTGCCCGGGATGCCCAGAACGGCTACTGACTCGACGTGGAGGGCTGGGGTAGTGTGGGGGAGGGTCTGGGGTATTCCACCACCTGATGGGGCATCATAATCCCGACCAGTCGGTGCTATTATAACTACGGGGCCTTAGTTCTGTCAGCCCGTGCCTTGGTTTGACTTTGCGGGGTGGTGGATGGATTGAGTCTGGGGTAAAATCGGGGCATTGGAGGCGAGAACATTTTAAATCTGATCGTGCCCCAGGCAATCAATGTTCGCGGTTTGGAAAATCTCTCAAGTCTGGTTCTTCAACTTGTGCACTTCGTTTGCGGGGCGATTCAACTCATTGACATAGGGACACATATCTGTTGATTTCCACTTCTTCAGCAGAGCAGACGCCAACATGTCCCTTCAACCTGACACCAAAGAAGAACGGACTTCGACATCGGCGCACCTCGAAGCAGGCCCACGGTCTGATCCCGGTCAAGATGGAAGTGCCGAGGAACGCGCTTTTCTCCGAAAGATCGATATGCGATTGGTCCCATGCGTTTGGATCATGTATCTAATGAGCTATGTGAGTACCACAGGGCATGGGAAGTTTTTGCTCGGGACATCCGAATCTCGTCTTCGACTAGTTACTGACAGGCGATAATAAGCTCGACCGAAGTAACATTGGCAATGCTTATACTGTGAGTATCTGTCCAACGCGTACATGTCTTTTATAAATAGCAACAAGTGACAGGATACTGATCCGTTGGTTGCGTTTTAGGGAGGCATGGGCGAAGAGCTTGGGATGACCAGTACCGACTACTCCGTGTCCCTCCTGGTGTTCTTCATCAGCTATGTGCTATTCGAGACGCCGTCAAACATGATTCTCACGAGAGTACGGCCCAGCATATATATGCCAGTCAGTATTTCCTCCCGACCCGACCATAAAAAGGTCGTGTGGCCATTAGCTTACCCACATAGACGCTCATGTTTCTCTGGGGCGGCTTGTCCATGTGCATGGCAGCCGCACATAGCTGGCGGGTGATCGCAGGCCTTCGATTCGTCCTGGGCATCTTAGAGGCCAGCTTCGCTCCAGGCGTGCTCTTCCTCCTATCAGCATGGTACAAGAAGAGCGAGCTCGGCCGCCGCTACAGCGTTTACTACACCGCCGTCGCACTCTCGGGCATGTTCGGCGGGCTCATCGCCGGCGGCCTCCTACAGACACTGGATGGCTCCCACGGTATTAGTGGCTGGAGGTGGCTCTTTATCGTGGAGGGCGCCGGCACCTGCGTGGTGTCTGTGGGCGCGTTCTTTGCCCTGCCCGACTTTCCCTCCACCACGCGCTGGCTCACGCCTGACGAGCGCGCCCTGGCTAGCCGACGCCTTGTCGAAGACTCCCTCGGAGGTACCCAAGATGGAGAGACAATTCATCACAAGGTAGCTCTGAAGATGGCGTTTACGGACTGGCGGATGTGGGCTTTTGTCTTGACATACATGTCTACCACGGGCGCACAGACGATACAATATTTCATCCCGGAGCTCGTCAAGGTATGCCATGCCCGGCCCCATGAGATTCCGATTGAGCATTTTGCGAGACTGACTTTGGACACCCGCTTGTCTCTCTTCAGTCAATGGGATATAAAGGATTCGAAGTGCAATACTACACCGCGCCAATCTACGTCTGTGCCTTTGTGGCCATCCTCGCGTTCTGTTTCTCTTCCGACTACTTCAAGGAACGGGCCTTCCATCTCGCAGCTGCCTCCTCGCTCGCGATCGTGTGCTTTGCGATACTCATCGGCGTGTTGAATAACACAGGGCGCTACGTCCTGTTGTGCTTTGGAGTCGCAGGTGTTTACGCTGCGTGTAAGTGCACAGATCATATCCAGGCTGTGTATTTTGTGAAGTCACACTGACCCGGCGAAAGGCCCTCTTGTCAGCATTTATGTCTCGAACTCCAGTAAGTCTCCTCAAAATCCGTGTGTCTTGTCGCGGTTGAAACCTGCATGCTAACAGAGTTCGGTGCGCAGTCCCTCATCCTGCGGAGAAACGTGCCATTGTCCAGGCAACTGTCAACGCCCTCGGTAACAGCGCGTCGATTTGTAAGTGACATCACTTCTTTCGAACTGTTGGAATTTCGAAGCCTGTCTGTGCTAATATATTCATTATAGATGGGTCTTTCCTCTTCCCGATCAAAGACCCGAACCATAATCGCACTGGCTTCGGCGTCACAATGGTGTTTATGGTAATTGCTCTGGTCATGGCATTTGCTTTACGGTATTTACTGGCCAAGTACCCCTATCCAGAGCTTGCGGTGCACGGGCATGGATCCACAGCGGAGAAAGCCAGCAAAGATGAGGACTGAAGAGCTTGGTGGGACGATACGGTTGACGTTCTGATGGTGTGTGAATTTTTGTATAATACTTATGTGACAAGAAGATAAAGGGAGAAAGCTGGCTGCAAAGCAATCAACCCATGACCGGATGCTCCTCAAGTGCTAGAAAATCAGATCCCATGCTTTCCAGATTGAGCCTTTTATGGCCTCCAAGAAAGCCACGAGAACAGATCCGCATGGAACTGCTCAGGGTCCTCGAGGTGCGGTGCGTGACCCTGCTCGGGGTAGTGGATAAGCGTGCAGTTCGGGATCTTGGCCGCGGTCTCGGGTCCCAGCACAGAGTAGTTGCCCAGCTTCGCCGCGACATCCGGCGGCGACCACTGCTTCCCGACGGCGGTGTTGTCCTTGTCGCCAGTAACGAGAAGGGTCCGCGTCTGGAGGAGGCCAAAGGAGTGCGCGATGGGCTGCGTGAGAACCATGTCGACGACACGCGCCTGGTTGATGAGGTAGTTGTCGCGCTCGCTGCCGAAGTAGATGTTGGCAGACATGGTCACCCACTCGTCGTATGAGGGGTCCCAGTTGCCGACGTAGTAGGTCGCCTGCTCGTAGCCCTTGATCGAATTCCATGTCATGGCGTTTTCGGACTCCCAGTTGTACTGCAGGCTCGGGTACGGGACGCCGATCTCCAGCCAGTCTTCCAGCCCCATTGGGTCCACGAGAACGGTCTTGTACACAGATCAACACGTGTCTGTCCCAGAAAGGAATGACTTTCAGGGACTTACCTCAGTGACGTTGTTAGGATACATCATTGAGTATCTGGCAGCAAGCATACCGCCCAGGGAGTGACCGATGACGGTCACCTCATAGATATCAAGGGCATTGAGAAGGCTGCTTGTGCTGGAAGCAAACTGCTGGAGGCTGAACTGATAGTTTGCGGGTTTGCTAGACTTGCAGAAGCCAACCTGGTCAACGGCAATGACGCGGTACCCATGAGCCGCGAGTTGGTTGATCGTTTCCCTCCATGTCGGGCCACAGAAGTTCTTTCTGCATGGTGTTAGAACTCATGTTGAAGTGGAAAAAAGGCCAATAACACCCTAGGATATATCGGGGAAGACTGACCCGTGAAATACAACGGCAACCTGTCCGTTGGATGTCACATTTCCTGCCGGAGGAACGTCCATGAAAGCCATCTGCAGCTCCTGGAACTGGCTCTCAAAGTTGTACACGTGTACCGGGTACGGGTACGTATAATTGGATCCATTGAGGTCGAATGGCTGTGGGCTTGTGTCGATCGACCCCTCGGCCTGGCCGACAGATCCGATACTCTGCGCCTGAGAGACGAGAAGCCCGAGGGCCAAGGTGCAAACGGCACCGGATTTCATCGTCGAGTTTGAGTTCAATGATCGGCGCAGGTAGGGACTTTGCGTGCTGGCTGGTGGCACCAGGAGGCTCTTGTCATGCAGTGCAGCATCTCCCGAGCACGACGTTTTTAAGGTAACAGTGATGGACCCAAAGTCCCCAGATATTCGGGCCTCTATCGGCCCGCGCCCCTTGTCGTCAGCAGCGGACAAGTACCTGCATTTCGGGGCTTCCCCAGCTGGGTTAGAGATGGCACAAGTATGGCCAACTGGCCGGAAGCAGCTCCACAGCCATCTGTGCGCTCTGCACGATCTCGTCCATGGAAGTAGCCCGACTTGATGGATCAGATCGGAACACGTCGGCTCACTTGCATTGTTGCATTGTCCCAAGCAGAAGGATCCAAATGGAACTGAGGGTAGTCAGGGTCTCGTGCCGCGGAAATTCTTGCTGGGGCCGCGGCATCTCTGCCCGATTTACTTCTTACTGTGTCCCAGTTGTCTGCGATCGTGGTTGGACGGGGAGTTTGGTCCGGTTGTGGGCTGCTCGCTCGGCTCGACGACCAGGTAGCCCTTTGCGGCAGCTGAGCAGTGAGGGAAAATTGATGTCTCCAGTCGTCGGCGGGGAGGACTCGTCCATTGGCTGGCTTGGCCACCACGATCCACATCCAATGGCTACCTATTAGTGTGATATCCGACGAGCCAACAAGGACCACTTGCAGTGCTCCGTGCAGCTGGCCGATCTCCCAAAACAGATAAGAGTTTAGCTCGGCGGCGGGCCTGCTGAGTTCCGCTGTGGTACAAGCATTCTAGACCTCGTGGCGCATTATGTCGTGAGAGCACATCGATGCATCATGCAGGTCTTCAGGCAGTGCTGCATCAGCACTCAATCTCATTGACACTAAGTGCCGGCAGAAGCAAGTACGGTATCAATTACATGCCGCGGATGTCGCCAATATAAGCCACGTGCTGCGCTTCCAGGCGGGCGGGCACTGATAGCACATGTGATATATCACATATGCCGCCCTTCGCTACAATCTCCGGGCAGACCGGAAATTTCGGATTGCCAAATCCTCTTCGTCACCATAACTGCCATGAGCAGACAATGCTTCTTTGGAACAGATGGCCGACTCTGTATGTCCTCACGCCATCGGAATTGTGACTTCCAATGCCATCAAACAGCCCAAAAAGGAAAAGGTTTCTCTCAAGTCACATGGAAAGAATTGTGGTCTGCGATCTCGGACAGATGATAGGCAGAGATTGCGCCAATATGGAGTGTCGTGTGGGGTGTTGGTCTTTCGTCAAGCCACGTTTATGTGGGCTCCATAGTTTCTTTCAGTTCGATCGTCCTATCACTGCACCTCGTGGTATTACTGATCGCCAATGGCCCCAAAGTCAACATACCTTAGGGGCCTTTGAAGCTCACATGAGAAGGCAGATATACGCACGGCGAGTCCGGAAAGGAGACAAGCTTTACCATTCCCAGGCAGGATAAGCTGCTTCTACTGTTCGCTTGCGCGAGGAAATACCAACTGGCTGGGGAAATATGGTTGCGCACCTGAAGCATCATCGGAAACTTTGCCGCACATCGAAGGGTCCCCCCCCGGAAGTTTTCGACCATGTGGAGCTCTGTCCCACTCTGCAAAGCAATATACTCTCAGCTCTCCGCTTCACCACTCCTGCGTCCTGCAGCAAGGGGGGTCTTGTGGTCCTTTGCTGCTGTGGCTTACGGATACACAGTTAGTTCCACGGGGTCCATCCCTTGAACCTTCTTAACCTTGCCCGGCGCCGTGGCTGCCGTACCTGAACGCCACTTCCGTGTGATTTCCCCAATATCACAAGGGATATTGGCATAACAGAAACCCTCTCGCCGCCCCAAGTCGCCCACGAAGAAATGCTACGACCCAGCCGGGCTGTCTCGGGACCCTGAGCGGACCGACAGTGTAGTCTTGAATTCAGATCTCCGATTGGACCTGCAGACACGCATATCCTATATTTGTTCACCGTCCCCCCGCGACGACTGGGCGGTTGGATTCTTTCGTGTTACCTGCCTGCGCGTCGAGCCACCCGCCGAGGACGCGGGAGGTCTGCACTTCGAGGGATCGATGGCGACAGGAAATATTCCAGGGGACAGCAACGCGCCCGTGGTCCAGATCCCCTGCATTGTCTTCTTCGTGGTGACGCCATGCTTCGTTGCCGCTCGATTCTGGTCCCGGCACAACTCAAACTCGTCTGTTGGCTGGGATGACTGGTGCTGCCTTCTCTCCTGGGTAAGTGCAAGATGGAGTCCGAGGTTTCCGAGTCCTCCTTTAGCTAACGATGCTTTTCCTTCAGATCTTCTGCGCGCTCGTGTCGGGACTCATGCTTGGCTCTTGCGCTTATGGATTTGGGCAACACATCTACAACCTTTCTCCTGAAAACAAGCTCATGGCTCTGAAAGTGAGTCAACGAACTATATTGTCCTTAATCTCCGCCGCGCCCGACAATGCTAACTCCAGTAATGCTTCATCACAGCTGTTCTTCGTGGCACAGATATTCTACAAGCTTACTATGAACCTGACCAAGATTTCGATTCTACTCCTCTATATGCGTATCTTCGCCGTCTTTACATGGTTCCGCTGGATTGTTCGAGTGCTCATTAGCATAGTGACAGCATACATGATCGCGGCGTTCTCTGCATCGGTGTTTCAGTGCACTCCGGTGGCAAGAGCATGGGACAAAACCATTCCGGGGACTTGCATCAGTATCGAAAAGAGCTGGTACGCCAACGCAGGCTTCTCCATCGCCACTGATATGATCATTCTGCTTCTTCCTATCCAACCGATACTGTCTCTCAAGCTTCCAATTGGTGAGAAAGTTGCAGTTATGGGCGTGTTCGTTCTCGGTGCATTGTGAGTAACATTTGCTTCGCTGTGTGATCGTGGTGGAATGACATGAATTGCTGACGGAAATCCCAAACACAGTGTCACGTTGACCAGTATTCTTCGCATGCAAACATTGACTTTCTCCTCCACAAGCCCAGACACGACTTGTTTGTGATCCACATTCCGTGCTCGGACCTTGTGCTGTTGTGCTGACAATCTATAGACGACATTGCATCGTCCATGTGGACAATAATAGAAGACAACACGGCCATCATCTGCGCTTGTCTACCAATGTGTAAACGAGCTCTTGCTGTCGTCTTCCCCTGCCTGGCGTTCGAGCGCCATCGCAACTACAACAACAAACTGTCATACGAGACCGGCGGAAGTCGCAGTCAAGGCAGCCGCATCCAGGGCAGCCGCCCTCGCGGCAGGTGGACGCAATTCTTCGACGGGTCTGCGAAGCTGTTTGAGGGATCTGCAAGCAAGCGCCCCTCGGTCCTGATCCTGGACCCCCGCCAGGTGTCGACTCTCTCACAGGCGTACACCGGGTCCACCCCAAGCGAGGAGTTCATCATGTCCCCCGTGCACGACAGAAAACGGGCCGAGTCAGTGGGTGATGAGGAATCGGGTGCCATCCGCAAGGTCACGCGGTACGAGGTCGCTTACGACGATGTCCCAATGCCGCGATTCAAATGATGAAACCATGTAACGTACATAATGCAAAGACTGGTCTTTCGGTTCCCTTTTGGATGTGAGACGTTTCTTGGAGCTCAGACCGTCAAATCGAGTAATTTGTCTCAGGTACGATTAGGAAGACCTGTCAAGAGTGTGGAGCGCGAAACGCGTCTTTATTGCTCTGGAATGAGAAACATGTCTAGCTCTTTCAGACCTGTCTTCTACTATCTCTAACTGCCGAGACGCCTGATTTTGACAGCCTAAAAAAAAAAAAAAAAAAGAATAAAACAGCTTGCCCGATCTACAACCAAAAGCACGGGTCGATAACCGGCTGAGCACCTATCGGCCCATAGAGGATGCTCAGCTCATCCCGGAACGTGGTGGGGTGCTTGTCGTAGTCATAGGGCTCCTGCTCGGCCCAGGCGTGCCTCTTGAGCGCGATGGTCCAGCTCCAGCTGCTCTCCCAGATGCCGACAAAGTGGCTCGCGCGGAGCATGATGTCGAGGTCGACGAGGGCCATCTGGTCCCACGTGAGCTCGTCCAGCAGCATGACGTCCGCCTCGTCCAGGATGTCCCACTTCTGCAGCACCAGGGGCGGGCCGGCGTGCGTGTCGTTGACCCGCACCTCGACGTCGGCCAGGGCGTCCCGGAGCCGGTCGACGTCGGTCGCCGTCCCCGTGGCCACGTACAGCGCGCCCAGCTGGTTGTCCACGACCTGCTGCCGTATCTGGCTGGCCTGCTGCTCGAACGAGGACCACGCCTCGATCTGGGCGTCCGGCTCGGTCCGCACGTGCGCGCCGAGGAACAGCCCGCGCGACGGCGCCGAGGGGCCCTGGCGCGTGCCCAGCCTCGTGTACAGGTTGTGCAGGGCGCGCGCCGACAGCTCGCGGATGTGCCGGGGGTACCGCGCGATGAGGCCGAAGTCGCTGCGGAACTCGTCGCCGTCGTACCGCACCGGCCACGAGAAGGCGACGTCGTCGAAGCTCATCCGGATCGGGTGCTTCCTGGTCGGGGCGGGCCGGCTGTTCTGGGCCAGGATCTCCTCGACGTGCTGGTCGAACGCGGGCCTCCATAGCGAAGGGTCGATGAGGACGTTGTTGTGCACCACGGGGATGAGCCTCTTCGGCTCGACGACAAACGCCTCGCTCTCGGGCGGGATGTTGTACGCCGGGTCGTCTTCGTCGACTATCTGCAGCTGGGGGCAGTCCTCGGCCAAGGTGTCGAAGAAGTGGTCGCTGTCGAACATGTATGAGACGGGCAGGTCAGTATCCCACCCGAAGCTGTCCGCCATTCTCTCAAAGGCTTCCCTGGGGTGAAGGACCGGCGTGATGAGCGTTGCTGTGGATGGTTCGGTCAGCATGCGAGTAGGATCTGTAGTACAGGTTGGGGGCTCCCCTTACCTCCAGCTTCAATGCTGAACCTAACGCAGCCGAGCAGGTTGATCTTCATGTTTCCAATACCACCTGCGAGCCTGTTGCACTCGACCACCCTGTCGTCGCGCCATTTCGCCTCGCTGCAGAGCTTCCGCACAGCCGCCCCATCATATTCAGTAGTGTAGAAGTCGTTGGCCAAGACGCGATCAACGAATTGTCTCCGTGTCGTCCAGCTGCCTTTCTGCCCAGGGATAGCAAAATCGGTCAGCTGGTTGCGCAGCCTGTCGAGATCCGGCCCGGATTCACTGGTGACAAACAAGAATATGATGATTGCCAGCACGATCACAGAGATATATCGTTTTGACAAGAAACTGGACCTGTTTGATGGGAGATACATGATGGGCGGCGTGTCATTGAAATTCCATGCTGGGCAGTCTGGAGGTGAAGAAGGAGGGCAATTGAAAGTTTAACGGCCAGGGAGGGCAATTTCGTGGTCGCATCGCTATGCTGGCGTACCTCTGTCAAGGGGTAGCTCCAAGATGCCCAAGGGTTCAACTTAGACGACTATCCCGGCCTGTCGTGGATATGCGAGGTATGCGGAGCCGACTAGGACCTTGAACGCGTCGATAGAGGGTCCAAACTTATTCTACTTTTGGAAAAAGCTTGTGTGTCTTGGATGCCCTAGCTGAAGAAAGTGCATCGACTTTGAGTTCCCGAAGGTAAACGTCAAGATTGCGCTGTCTCACTCTTGAGACAAAAAACATATATGCAACATTTCAGGGAGCGAGTGGCAATGACTCCCTGAATTGGAACATTTTGTGTGAGCTCTTATCTGCGTAACAGTCTCCATCCACTGACACGCGAGGAGTCCCTGATTATCACAGATCCATAATTCCATGCTCTGGCCTGCACGTCGTGCTCGGACAGATACACGAACAACATTCGGATCCGCAGACTTGACTCGCCAATCCGCGTATAGTTTGCGATCTTGCAGCCAGTGCAGTTAAATACCTAGCTACCGGCCCGTATGATCTACAAGCCGTGCGGTCCCCAGCAGTGATAAGGCTGAGGCGGGCCCGGCACTTCGGGTCATGAGTCGTGCTATTAACACATCATCTTGCCATCTATTTGCGAATTCTGACAACGTATCAAAAGCATGTGTGATAGTTTCGGTCTTGTCGTAATTTAACCGCTCACCGTAGTCATTTTGGGGCTCGCAGAGACAGACATACCGGCACGACATATAATGCGTCTGAAAGTACCGTCACGAGGATCAGCCATGCATGTATGGATCCATCCTAGATGATTAGGTGCTCAGCCATCGGGGGCGTACGCGTTGTATCATTCATATGACTGTGCTGTCATCTCTTCTTCAAGGGACTATCAAAACGCTGCCCCGTACTTATTCTTCCAAGTGCTCATCATGCGGGGCGACTCAAAAACTCCTCTTATTCTTATTCCAACTGCAAGCCCTTCGACTCGTGCCTGATAACAAACGCCAATTACAGTGTCTTGAACTCTCTCCCGTTCCGCAAAGACTGTACACATCGTTTCCCTCTTTATCCCCATCGAACACAGGTTCTTGTTGAGCCGACCGGTATCGCTACCCCAGGGGGATCACTCAAGAGACCGAGCCACGCGACTGATGACGCGACTCAGCGATACAGGCCGCTGAACATTTGTGACAAGCTGCTTCGTCGAGAGGGTCTGCCCTGCACCAGATGTCTAGCAGATCGGCAGATTGGTCGCCGGCCTAGCTGTCTGCAACCAGCGGGACCGCAGCAAGACCATCTCCGCCTCAACCAGACGGGGAAGCCCCATGCTGGATGTTCATCTCGGACATGCGCGATTCGAGGCCGCTGTAGGCCGGGTCGACGTCCTCCTCCCCATCATCCTGGCCGCCACCCGCCTCGTCAACGAAGAGCGAATCAGCCAGGTCGTCGGGAACCGTATCCTCCGGATCCGGCTCGTCCGCGAAGAGCTCATTGGCCAGGTCGTCAGGGATGGTATCCTCCGGGTCGGCACCGTCCTCATAATCCCCACGCTCCTCTCCCAGGTACCCATCCCTGTTATTCCTCCCAGGCGCGAGCGTGGCATCACCAGCAACGCGGCCGCAGCGCTTGTCCAGGACAAGCTGCATGTACGCGTTGATCCACTCCCTCTTCGCCCGTGGGCGCGCCGCGCGGTCGCCGGGCATGAACCCGCCGTAGTCAAAGACGAACGCCACGGACCCGGTCTGGCTGATGGGGCCCTTCCTCGACAGCAGGCGCTTCTTGGACTTGCGGTTCGCGGCGCGGAGGTCGTCGAGGGCCTCCTTGATCCCGTAGGCGACCTTCTCTGGCATCCACTGCATGGGGCCCGTCTTGAGGAGGGCCGTCCTCCTGCGCGTCTTCCTGATCGACTTGATGAGGCAGTTTTCGTCGCCGTCGTCGTCGTCGGCGGCGGCGGCGGCGGTGGTGGTGGGAGGAGCAGGGGCAGGGGCAGGGGCCGGATGCGCCGGGGTGGGAGGTGGGCTGGGCACGGCGGAGGCGAGAGGCGCTGGTGTATTTTGTGCTTCGTCGGTTGCGATATGCGGCGGAGGAGAGGCCGATGCCACGCCTGCCTGGGGCTCTGGGATAGAAGGCTGGGATTCAGATCGACCAGCCTGCTGAGGCGACGAACACTGCTCGGCGTCATTGAAACCGGCACGGGACTCCAACACAGAAGTGATCTCGGGGTCGGTGAGGGTGGGATCCTGCTGGCGGGCTTCGGCGTAGTGCTGGGCCAGGAGAGAGGAGATCTCAAGGTCGGTGCGGCCGGGGTGGTGCTGACGGACGTAGCTGAAGAGCCGCGTGTTGACGTCCTCCCACACGGGCTGCTGGGGTGGCGCACATGGGGGCTCGGCAACATCGGGCTGGGCGTGAGATTCCAGCAGAGAGGTGATCTCGTCGTCGGTCAGGGTAGGGTATTGCTGACGGATGTCGACATAGTACTGGCGCAAGAAAGAAGAGACCTCGTCGTCGGTGTGATCAGGATAGTGCCGGCGGACATATGAGAAAAGCCAGGTGCTGGTATCCTCCCACACAGGCTGCTGCTGAGGAGGGAGAGGCTGCTGGGCGGCGCTGAACCAAGGGTCAAAAGCCCTGAGTGCCGACAGCTCAGACCCGCAGTACTCGGGGTCGTACCGGGGCTCGTAGACGTATGGCTCAGGGCAGCGGTAGCGGGGGTCGAAGGCCTCCAGCGCAGACAGCTCAGACTTGCTGTACTCACGAGCGTACCGCGGCTCGTAGACATATGGCTCAGGGGTCTCGTCGAAGTGCGGCTCGGCGAGGAACCACTCGGGAACCAGCTCGACGATAAGCGGCTCAGGCTGGGACGGGCCAGGAGCAGGAGAGGGCTGCGGGTCGGCGGCCGTGGGCTCACCTGCCGGAGGAGTCTGCTAAGCTCCATCACCGGACAGGAGTCCCAGGTCGGAAGACGCAGAGGCGAGAGACGCGGCGTCAGAGGCCGAATCCAGATGGTCGAGGTCTGGAAGCCCTGGGGCCACCTTCGGGAAGAGGGGGAGGAAGGTTGGCGAGCCAGGCGGCGAGAAGGTGGGAGACGAGGCGGGCGACGCAGGGGCAGACGAGGCTGGCGACGGGGTCGACGAGGCGCACGGGGAGAGGACCGGGGCAGCAGTAGGAGGAGAGGGAGAACGAAGAGGAGGAGGAGAAGGACGAGGAGGGACCGAAGAGTCGTCAACAGGGGCAGGAGGCGCGCCGCTCGGCTCTGTGGCCGTGGTGTGGTGCTGCGCATTTCCTCCTCGGGGAGGGCCGCTGTTGGTGTCGTCGTCATCGGTGTCGTCGTCGCCGCCGATGATGGCGTAGAGGCTCGCGATCTCCTCCTCCCTGGCCTCGATGATCCTGTCCTTGTCCTCGATCACCTGGTCCTTCTCCGCGACAGACGCCTCGAGGCGGGCGATCTTGTCGTCGGCCCCCGCAGCCGCAGCCGCAGCCTTCTGGAAACACGACGCGCGCCTGCGCAGGGCCCGGTCGCGACTGGACTTTGCGCCCTCGGCGGCGCCCATGCACATCTTGGCCATGGTCCAGTACCGCGCGCTCAGGCTCTTGTAGCCGTCGCGCTGGGCCGCCACGCGACGGTTCTCGGCCTCGAGGTCGGCCTTCTCGGCCTCGGCGCGCTCGAGCTTCTTCTTCAGCAGCAAGACGGACTCGGCGGCGTCGGCGTCGGCGTCGGTGGTGGTGGCGGGCTTGGGCTTGGACCTCCTCCTCTCCCTCCCCCGCGAGCCGTGGGCGGCCGGGACAAGCTGGCGAGGCCTGCCGAACCACGCCGCGGCTGGCGGGGGCCGCTCGCCGGCGGGGACGGCGGCGGGGTCGGCGAGGAGGACCAGGGAGAGCCACGAGAGGGGGTGGTGGGCGACGGCGAAGAGGAAGGCGAGGACGCCGGCGGCGGCGGTGGTGGCGCTGGCGGTGTCGAGGTCGGCGGCGGCGCCGAGGCTGGCGACGCCCCGCGAGAAGAGGGCGCAGCAGCAGAGGGCGACGGCGACGCGCACGTGGTGCGGCTCCGTGACGAGGTAGGGGAGGAGGAGGAGGGCGAGGGCGCAGAGGAGGGACATGGTCATGGGCTCCATCTTTGGTGATGGATCAGCTGGGTCTTGTCGCTGGTGGGCAGAAGGCGATGTCTCTCTCTCGTTGTTGTGGGAGGGAAGAAGAAGGGAAGGGACTTCGAAAAACAACAGTCGGGCTGGGAGAGCTTCAAATACTGGCCGTGGCAACGGTGGCTGGGCGGGGCAGCTGGGGAGCTGTCAATTACTGCAGCTAGCTCCGACTTGATTGGGGCGTTTGTTTGTTGCTGGGTGGGCGAGGTGAGGTCAAGCCCTGTTCTCTTGTGCAGGTGTTTAATTGTGTGAAGGCACATGGGATGAAAACAATAGCTCGTGGGCGCAGTAAACAAACAGGGCCAGGCAGAGTATGCGCACATTCTGGAGACACATAGACTGGCACAATGGGCATTCAATCGCATTGTCCTCTGAGTATTAACTGTAGCTGACTACGAAGTTGTATTCAAGCCTCGCTGAGTCCTCGCTGGGGAAAGTATATGCATCGTGGAGAGCACCTGTGGGCCAGTCGAGTGCTGATTCTACTACATTATGAGAAAATAAAGAGTGCTTGAGCTGCTACTTAGTCAACTCACACTTCTGTTTACGGCCATGGGCAAACAATGGTTCAAGTGTCAGAGCCACCCGCCGCTCTTGTGATTCCAAGAGGTCTGCTGCCGCAGATGCTACACTGTCAGATGGATCTGGTAGCACTTGAGTTATGGGCGTTGAGGGTGAAGTGAAAACCTGTGTCATTACCACCTGATACCTATCGAAGCGTGTGCTGGTGTTCACCAGTGTTAGGGACCATGGAAGCTGCCAGCAGGGATTCTCATGACGGCCCACTGACTCTGGTCATTATTTTCAGTGGGATGCTTGACAGGATGGATATTTCAGAGTTGAGTTGCAGGAGGCTTCATCAAGACCTCTTGCCAACGAGACTTCATTCTGCAAGTAGTACGTATTTGTGAGATGTTTTGGATCGCCATCGAGGACAACAGGCTCCATTGTGACAGCCCATTCATTGGAGGGCATAACTCAATGGTCAAAATGAGTTGCAAGGTTTGTTTATTTTGAATGACCACCAGGCCTACAGTAGTTGCCCCACTCTCAAACTCTCAATCCGTCTCGAGCCTTCAATGTTGTTTCGTTCTGCCAAGAACTCCATCCAGCTCTGCCTTCCTCCGAGTGCTTGACAATACTGAAACCCGAGGGCAGATTAGATCCACATGGTCGCGGACTGTGGATACTCATAAGAGGTTTGAAGATCGAAATGGCTGCGCGACTCTCTGTGCGAATGCATAGTTACAAATGCATCCAGAGAACTGTCGAGGTGGTCCAGGGCGAAGTTCCAGGCGAGCAGCTGTTCTGGCCAGAGCCAACAAGCTGCTCACAGGAATTTGATGCAGACTAAGCTCTTGTTCATTGTTAGAGGCTTTGGGACTAACTTGTCTTGCCGCACAGGGAACTTGTTGACACGTCGTCTCCTGCCGTCAGTAGTTACGAGCCCAACATGCTTGACACTGGATCACAGCCAAGCTCGACCAAGATAAGCAGAAAGGAGCACCTCTGCCATCCCAACAAGTTGAAGTTGCTCCCTACCTAGGATGGCTGCCAGCCTTGCTCCGCTGCCCTATCGACCAAGACTCTCTGCAAAGCTAGTGGCACCGGTTGAATGGCTCTTTCGAGTCAAACGGGCGGGTTTGGCGGCTAACTAGAATGTATCGAAAAGACTCAGGTGTTTCTCGGAGACTCCCGACGAGGTTTGCAAGGTTGTCGTCAAGCCCAGGTCAAGCCCAGGTACACGATCGTGGTAGCAAGATGAAACAAGGCGTTTGAAGACATTCACAAACCGACGCATACTGTCAAGTCAGGTTTTTTCCCTGTTTCTCGATAGCGCAGAATTACTTGCTGTCGGCTGGTTGTCGGGTCCAACCAAGATGGGCTGCAGCTGGGGTCGAACAAAGATCTTAGCCTAACGCTGTGATACTGTCTCGCATGTCCATCCATCATTGTGCTCATCTCCTGACAGGTTGGCTGCAAATGTGGTGATCAGGAGCAGTGTCAGCAGGGGGCGCCAAGCTGTCAGCCAAACAGTCAGCCACTGCAGCAATGATTGCTCTTTAAAGCCACCGGTCCCGCCCTCGTTGGCTGGGTTGGGTTGAAAATGACCGACCGATCTGATGCCATCTGAACTGTATGAATATCAATTGATCTCAGTCTCATAATCATTTCAAGACCAGTAACCACGGCGTCATGTTCTGGCGCAGCAGTTTCAGCAAGAAGGACATGCGTGTGATTCTGTTGAGGCTGAGAAAAGGCAGGCTATTACTATCACAACAAGACGAGGGGAAGCAGAAACAAAAGCAGAAGCAGCTTCTGCAAGTCCCTGCTCGGGAGCGACCCCAGCAGCGCTAAAAGCCGGCACTGAGTCAGTGAGTTGCTAAATTCGATCCCGCAGGGCAACGGCTCATCTGTCGAGATCCGCTGGCAGCCAAGCAGCGTCATAACGGGCAGGGATCAGGGAGGGCTGCAGGCTGCGAGCTCCACCTCCAACTCCAGCCCTGGTCCCACCTCCAACGTCGTCGATTAGGGCCATCACTAAGCCAAGCTGCGTGCATTGATGCTCGAGAGGCCGTTGCTTTTGTTTTTCTTTTTCTTCTTCTTTTCCATATCCACGATGCCCGCCCTCTCCTCCCGGCTGGCTCGTGTCGAATGCTCTGCGCGACCTCGCAGACGGCCAAACTGAACAACTGCCAGCAGCAGCCAGCCAGAACCACGAAGCCCGATCCTCCTCGGCCATCGACATCCCCTCCCCCACTCCCAGCGTTGCGCCCGCCAGTCCCGAGGCGCGCCGGCACATCCGCTGCCCGCCATGGCTGCTGCCGACGCTGCTAGTGGAGCTGTCGAACCCACGCGGGCGGTCCAACAAGAAGAAGAGCAGCCCTCGGGCCAGGAGACACAGTCGCAGGAGAAGGTGGCACGCGGCGGGGGCCAGAATGACACACAATCCTCCTCCCAGTCGCCTGGCTTGGATCCGGCCCAGGACCCTCTGCGCAACGCCCCGACCTTCAAGGACGAGCTGGCGCCAGAGCCCGTCGAGGAGGAAGCTCCCCAGGAGAAACCGAAGCCTCCCGGTCTTGTGGCCAGGACAATGCAGAAGCTGGGCCTCAATGACATCCTCCTCAAGAGCATGTTCAAGTCAGTCTCCCTGTGCCTCCAACGACCATGAGCCAATGCTGACCAGCGCCCCTTGGTTTGAACCCACAGAGGCTCCATTGCCCCCGTCATTGGCCTTGCCATATATCAGGCGCCGGCAGTAACGCGTCAACTGACCACGCTGGGATACCTCGTCGGTGTCATCACCGTCTTGTCCCTCTCCGTCCTGCCCTGCGGCAAGTTCGTCCAGAACATCATCCTGAACATCCTGGCCACCTGCATAGGCTGCGCCATGGCCATGCTGATCAACTATTCCGCCGTCCAGGCTCGCCTGCACACCTCCGATCTCCGCGAGATGGCTGCCTTTATCCAGGCCAACGGCCGCGCCCCCTACAACTCGAGCCAGAGCGCCGTGTGTGGCGTCTGGCTGTTTTTCCAGATATGGCTGAGCAATACCGTGAGGGCCAAGTGTCCCGCCTTCAACATCCCCGTCATCATCTACAGCATCGTCGTCGACATCTCGTGCACCTTTGGCCCGGAGTTCCCCACCCTAGCCGTCGCCGAGACTTTCGTCCAAAGGCTTCTGACCGCCATCCTCAGTGGCCTGGCTATCGCTACTGCCGTGTCCCTCATTATCTTCCCCATCAGCAGTCGCCAGGTCGTCACCAAGCAGATGGCCGGTGTCCTCGGGCTCTTCAAAAAGTCAATCGTGCTTGAGAAGCAGTACCTCCAGGGCCTGGAGAAGGAGGACATGTTCTCCCTCGAGATGACCGAAACCTGTGCCGGCCGCTCAGAGAAGGAGAGGAAGGGCGGGAAGAAGGACAAGGGCCCGAAGCTGACCAAGGAGCAGAAGAATGCCATGGCGCTGCGGGGCACCATCGGGGCGATCAGGGAGCTCATGGGCAAGATCTACGGCGACATGAAGTTCGCAAAGCGTGATATCGCCTGGGGTCACCTGAGCGCCAAGGACTTCAGCGAGATGTTCAACCTGATCCGCATGTGTGTTATCCCAATGACCGGCATAGGCACCATCATGGACATATTCCAGCGGGTCGGCAGGGAAAGGGGCTGGGACGGCGAGGGCCCGGGGGACGGCGGCATATTCCAGCGCTTCGAGCCCATCGGCAAGGAAGACAGCCAGCGGATCTGGAACGACATCATGAGACAGCTGCACGAGCCCTTCGAGATCCTGTCCGAGGCCATCACCCAGGGGGTCGACCACGCCGGCATCCTGCTCAAGTTCTTCCCTCAGCCCAAGGCGCAAAAGAAGGCGGCAGCCCAGCAGGCAGGTGCAGATGCCGATGTCGAGGCTTCTGGCGGGGTGCTCGGTCCCGGCCAGGTCGGGTTCTCCAGCGTCATCAATGCCAAAATCGAGACGTTCAATTCCCGCAAGGGCGAGATCCTCCGGCTGTGGGCCAAGGACAAGGGGCTGTGCGCGGATGGGGATCTTGAGAACTGGCCCCAGGACAGCACCAGGTTGTTTGAGAAGAGGCGCAATGACCAGGCACAGCTCTATGTGATCTTGTACCTGGAAAAGTTGGTGAGTCTTTCAGCGCCCGGTGCTTCATACCCTCTGCCCTGCGGAGACTAACCACAAAATCACGTCCCACAGATGCAAGCCACCGGCGAGGCCGTGCAGGATCTCGTAGCATTCGCCGAAGCATGGGCAGAGGACGGGACAATGTCCAAGAAGCGCCTGATATTCCCGAGCGGCCGGCGCCTGCGCAAGTGGTTCCTCGGCATCTTCAGCAACGAGGACTCGACCGCCGAGGACTCGCCCGACATCATGGAGACCGGCACCAACGTCGTCTACCTCGGCCAGGGCTGGATGCACAAGAAGGACCCGGAACACCTGCCCCCCGCAAACGCCTGGGAGCGCTTCGGCAACGGTGTGCGGCGCTTCTCGCACTTTTTCGGCTCGGACGAGTCGGTCTTTGGCTTCCGCGTCGCCTGCGCCACCATGACCATCGGCATCATTGCTTTCCTCGAGGCGTCGCAGCAGTTCTTTATAAAGCAGCGGCTCGTTTGGGCTATGATTATTATTGCCATCGGGATGTCGCAGAGTAAGTCGCCTTGATTGCTATCCTTTCTTTGGTGGGTGCGTAGCTCCAGGAGCTGACAATGAATTCTTTCCAGCTTCTGGCCAGTCAACATTTGGCTTCCTTCTCCGGATAGGGGGCACTTTTATCGCAATGGTTAATTGTTTTATCATCTACTACATTGTCGACCGGAAAGTACCGGGAATATTTGTCTTTCTCTGGCTTTTCATCTTTATCGAATATTATTTCTTCTTCAAATATCCTCAATTTATACCCGCCACCATGATCTGCATCGTCACCCAGGTTCGTCAATTCCCTTCCTCTCTTGATCGCATGTGAGGTGATTGTTGGGACTCCCGATGAGACTGACATGCTTCTCTCAAGGTCCTCATCCTTGGCTACGAGCTCCAAACAGATTTGCTCGGGATAGCGGCATCCGAGTCCAGCGGACAGCCCTATTACCCACTTTATACCCTTGCCCCGTATCGACTAGCCACTGTAGCTGCCGGTGCCTTTGTTGCCTTCTTCTGGACTGTTTTCCCGAGTCCTTTCTCAGATCGGACATGGCTTCGCAAGGATCTGAGCGCGGTGCTCTATCTACTCGCCAACTACTCCAGCGTCGTACACACCACCATGAGAGCGACCATGAGGGGCACTGTCGGCGACATGGAGGTCCCAGGAACACCTGCGCACTCGCTGTTCAAGGTCCGGCAGAAGCTGTTTGGAAAGTTGACGATGCTTCTTCCTTCGCTGCAGATGCACGCAAACTTCCAGAAATTCGAGCCCAGTCTTGGCGGCAAATTCCCCGAAGAGCAGTACCAAGACATCATAGTACGGTCTACTCGGTACGTCAAACTTGCTTACTTACCCCCGTCAATCTCCTGTCTGCCGTGGAAAATCCATACTGACCATTGGCCCTTCCCAACAACAACAGCATCATGAACTACTGCACGCTCATGTCCTACGTCCTCACCTACCTGGCCCCCAAGGGGCCCGCGGAAAACTCCGACAAGGACTGGATGCACGCCCTGGGCGAGGTCTTTGAGGACGTCTCGCCCGTGCACAACCAGATCCTCTCCACGCTCACGCTGCTCTCCAACTGCCTCCTCTCGGGCCAGTCCCTGCCGCCGTACCTGCCGCTCCCCAAGCCCTACGAGATGACGCGCCACCTCCTCAGCATGCGCGCGGACGGGACCCCCATTGGGTCATCCCGCCACCACCACCATCATAAATCTAGGGGAGGGGCGCGCCGCTCGTCATCCGCATCATCGTCCTCCTCCTCCTCCTCATCGTCAGCGTCGTCATCCTCGTCCACACACTCGGCCGAGCCGTCCCCCAACAACAACAACCAAAAGACCACCAGCAGTCGCCACAACAACAACACGCCGAGCAACCCGCCCCTAGAGGCCCGCAGCCTCCTCGACGTCCGCAACATGGAGCAGAAGGGCTACACCGAGTTCGCCGTCCTGCAGGTGTGCTCGACGCTCATCGTCGGCGACCTCGAGGGGCTGATCGCCACCGTCGGAGGGCTGGTGGGCACCGTCGACTTCAGCTTCCGCGTCGAGCAGAACAGCTCGTCGTCGGACGAGAGCTCCGTCAGCGATTTTGAGAGCGTGCGGCGGGTGGGGACGTGGGCGTCGCGGGCGGCTGAGGCGAGGAGGGCCGCGTCGTTTGCGAGTGGTTCTGGTGGGGGTGGTGGGGGTGGGAAGAAGGGGAAGGGAAAGAAGGATTGATTATCTGGGTACCTAGGGAGGTGGTATTATGTCTATGCCCAACGTCTTCCGGGTGGCCTGGCCTGGTTTTCTTGCTTGGGAGATGGGCAGGGCGGTCCGTTGTGTCCTTTCAGTCTCAAGCATCGACAACGTTTTTGGGGGATGGGCTGCGAGGGTGTCTTGTTGGATAGGTTGATGATACCCGACACCCGCCGCTACTACCCACAGTACGTACACTAGTAGTGATAGTGCCAAAGAGCCCTGAACGAGAATCTGAAATAATCTCTACGAGACTCGGGGGACGCAGGGGGTTTATCGCGCGCAGCCTTGGGACGTGACAGACAGACAGCTGGCGGCCACTCGTCCTGGCTCGGATCAGTGACGTCCGGCCGGGCCTGACTCGGCCTGCATACCGCGAAAATGACAGCTCACAAGAGACGGACGACCAGAGGGACGGGAACCCGGCACCGACTTGTATGCTAAAGGCCATTATCAATCAGGTGGGCGAAATGGATCAGTGAGAGTGAGCATGTGTTGCGGAGAGGCAGGCGCCTGGGTCCGCAGGGAGCCGGCGCACGGTACCACGGCCTTGAGCCCCAGGTACCTAGGTACGAATGTGTACATGCCGCGGCGCCATTCAGCATCATGTTGAAGGAGTGATCTTCCCAAGATGTCGTCTTAAAAACTATGTAGTCTAGGTAGGACATAGCATAGGAATGACACTGCCCTGCGAGGCATCCTGATATCTATGGTTTGAACTTGCCCGATCTGTTGATTCGACCCGTGTGCGTTGCCCAACATGAAAACTGTGTGGCGCGCTGATGGTTTCCCTCGGACTGTGCTATTGCGCCGTGTCATAGAAGGCTTGATGTTTCGGGAGTCCTCTGAAGACCGGGGAGATGTCAGGAGCGCTTGCCTGGTTTCGCTTCTATTCCGTATCCGTACGAGTACATCCATACATGACGCCCATATACATACAGTTGTAAACGCTCGAGACCAAGCGTTCAAAAAAGGAATTATAGTTTCAATGACGGTGGTAAAATGCGATAGGTATCAGAGATGTTAAAAGTGATAAGACTATCCGAGTCAGGGTCTCATAATTGAGTATGTGGGGAAGCTGGCGGGAGAAGGGTGGGCAGCTGTTGTATTTGGACAAGGTTGGAATCTATCAACCATGAATGTATGCCTCAGTGTCCAGAGCGCCAAGTCAAATAAATACTACTACCCTACCTCTAATCAAGGCCTATCACATGGGCACCAGGTAGATGCTTGACTGCCCTAGGATGGGGACATGACGGCTGTACCCAGATAGATGTCACGAGTGTCCCACCATCACAAGTTCGTCTCACTTGTTGCTTTCAAACTGGGACCCTATTCCAAGAAGGTTCTCTTTCATGTGCTCTTCCTTTGGCTCATTAGACCGATAATCTCCACTTGATCCCTGGCAATGAGCAGGGCTTCGTGTACCCGTCGAGCCTCTCTGGGCAGCGGTGGTGGCATGATGGGTGGATGAAGCTTGTCTGAAGAGACCATGTATTTTTAGCTAGCGGAGCAATGTACCATCAGAGACCAAGCACGGAGTTGAAAGATGGTCTGTTTTATAGTATCTTACAGGGTAGACGTCCAAGTTGACGACGTGCTGTGTGGGTAGGGCATTTTGACCGAGGGGGGAGAGGTCACACTGTTGAAAACTGACTCGGATACTCAGAAGGGAATTTCTCTGGTCGGGTTACCTAGTAGGTAAGGGACATCAAGAAAGTGATTCATGAGACTGGCTTGGGGGAATAAAACAACCCGAGGTGAAAGAAAAATCGAGGGAAATCAAGAGCCCTATAAATACCTGATATGGATTCACCTGCCCATCGCCGTTGTTGGGTGCGAGAGGGAATGGGATGGAAGCCATGAGGGTCGATGGGGCAACTTTTGAACGGAGCGAGAGTCAGTGCTCCGTTAGTCCCATGCAACATTGAAGCACGAGATGATCCTACAAAAGAGCCTCCGCTGCCTCGTTGCGGCCCCGGGCTGAAGTTGGCTCCCCAGGAGAGAGTAAGCTTGTTTTCTTGGCAGATGCATGGCAGCTCTGGCTGGATGCCGTTCTTCGTGCAAAAGCTGCGCTAGTGAGCGGATCTGCCTGCAGGTGTTTGGTTACAACCCCTTTTTCCGTGTAATCTGACCTAGATCCTGGGTCTGTATTGAGAAGTATCTAGGTACTTGCTGACTTCTTCTCACCTGGTTCTGGGGTCTGTATCAAGAAGTATCTTAGTACTTACTCCGTACATAGAGTACGTTATGGGGTTCCCGGACACCCCTAGTACCCGGACAGATGCCGGATTGATGAATGAGCTTTCTCGCATTTGTTGATATTGTTAGTGATTATGATGTTTGATTGGTCTGTCCGGTTACTAGGGGTGTCCGGGAACCCCATAACGTACTCTACTTCTTCCCAACTAGATCTGGGGTCTGTATTGAGAAGTATCTAGGTATTTACATACTTAGTTAGCAGTCTTGTTGCTTCTCACCGAGGGGCTTACTCTTTGTCCTACATCTTGGCAGAAGCCCTCGACGACGATACTACCACTGGGAAGTATGCCACTGTGCCTCCAGTGACCTCTATCGTTCTGGCTGGCTTGTTACGACCTCGTTAGAATCTGGCAGAGAAAGACAGATGGAAGACGTTGGCTGCGAGGCTGCCTGCAATCTCACATGTGTACTTGCAGCACCGTCAATGTTGACCTCACGGCTCCGCTCCCCGGGCCCTCAGCACACTGGTCCCTATGAATCCAGTATACGTGAATACTAGGTATGTACGACTACGTGTAAAACTGGCAACACTCCGCGGTGGAGATCATTTCTCTGTTGAGGTTGTTTTATAAGCGCGATAACGGACACCCTGGTCTGCTAATGTTATCCATCACATACACGTCACTAGAAATCATGAATGAATGATTCAGGCCTCCCCGGCGCCAAGAAAACAGACTGTATCATGGTAAGCGTACGTATGAGAAGTGATCGGAAGGTGTCAGTCGCACTGCATCGAAGACATTCAAGCTACCCGTTTTGGGGCAACAAGTGCTAGAGCTCCCCACCGAGGCAGCGGCATTGACCAATCTGACAGCGTCGCCCGACTCCAACCCCGGGAGCTACCCTAGGGTACGTACCCCAGGTACCTATGTACGTAGCCTGCGTACCCAGGCGATCCTGACTCTTGCCCAGGTGAGTTTGCCCAGAGCCTCGAATAGACATCAGGCCTATTTCATTCTCAACACATGTGTGCTGTGCACCGTTCACAAATACGTACCGTCCGTCTCGTCCGTCTCGACCATGGCGCATGATGTGACCTGGCATCCTCTGGAGTGCGGCATCGCGGGCCGACAACCCGGCTGCTCATTGGGATTGGTCAGTTGGAGTCTATAGGGGAAGTAATATCTCTTATTTACCGAATCAAGCGTTGAAGAGTAATGAGCGGTTTGACATCATGAAAGGCGCTCCGCAGAGTGCTGCATTAACTCCTACATAGGTACTATATGGCGGAAGACTGTGGCCTGCTTCAACAATTAGGAGGGCGTTCAACAAGTGCTCAGATCAGAATATATATCGATCAGCGAGCTATAAGAGGTTTCCCGAATACAAGCAGCCTCCTCCTAGCTAACTAGACTTTGCTATGCTCTAGCTGAGATAGAATAACTAATTCGGTTCCAAACTGGTTTTGCTTCTATCCCACATACCTCCGAAGACACAGATAGCGCATTCGTACGGTGGTAAACGCACAAGACCCAGCTTTTAAAAGCATACCTAGGTACAATGCCAATAGCAGTGCAGAAAGAATACAATACGTATGTGGGCACGTAACCGAGTCCATAAAGACGAGTTCTAGTAAGGGTCCATCTCGATACTTGTTTGGCAGAGTACCGAGCAAGCGATTAGGTTTCTGTGGGACGTTATTATTGGGTATCTCCTGGTATCCAGGTCTTCCACGGGAGAGACGCCGAACCTAGTGGTGTACTTGGAGCATTAGACGTAATTATCTGACAAAGCCCCTCTCCCTCAAATCATTGTTATGTCCTTATTATCTCGTCCGTAACTAACTTTTATAGTACCGAATACGATGAGTGTAATGCACCTGAGTCAACATCTATGCATTTCCCCTTGAATTTCTGGGACGCCTGTTTGTAGCTTTTTCCTATCTTTGTCACCTTAGCTTCTGACAATATAGTTAATATTACACAGCAGACCAGTCACTTCAATAGCTTTAATGATAAGTGATCAGAAGGTATGCTAGATAATCGTTGATTGCATGTTTATGGAAATCTTCTACCACAACTTGATTTCAAATTAAGGCTACTATAAGTAACCCTAAGTCATTCCTTGGTCTGCCAGATTGGTTCACAGACTCTCAATCTTATAACGCTCTAACAAGAGTACACAATATTTCTTGATGAGCCATGCAATAGGAATGAAAGTCATGGCAAGGATTGCCAACAAAGTGCTTCCCCATCCAACGCCAAGCGCATCATATAAGGCCAGGCCGGACAATGGTAGTAGCCCAGCTGCCAGAGATCGCACCACTATAATTGAGGCGAGAGCTGACGCCGCATAAACAGTGAAAGCATCCACAAGGGATACCTGAAAGGGCAAGTTAATAATGACGTTGCCCGCGGCAATAAGCGCGGTCGCCATTATTGGAACTATCCAGTGGATATGATATTGGATCGTCCAGCCATATATGATGAGACCAGCCGGAAACATCGCGCTACCAATGGACAAGAAGAACAGGCGGTCCTGCGGTTATATGTCTGGATTAGGTGTTTGTGAGTTCTCGGAGCTTCGTTCTAGTCCAGTTGATTCGTCAGATGCGGAGACCTCCACCGAGCCCTTTTAAAATAGCCATTTGCCGCGATGGAATAGATCAAAACTCCAAGCACAGATCCGACTTCCATCCCAACAAATGCGAGTCCCACAGCCGAGGCGCTGAAATTATAATACTTGTTGAACAGTGAAGTGATTGACGTAAACATGACAAACAGTAGGCATAGCTGATCCCGATGAAGAGCGCAGTGATGGTGACGATCGGTTGGCAAACTAGGAGCTTCAAAGGCCGGACGATGCTGCGTTTGAGAAGATTTATCCGGGATAAGCCGGAGTCGTACTTGGATTTGAGAGACAAGTTGCCTGTCTCTTTCCGAAGCTTTTATGCCGCCGCTCGAGGAGCACTGGGTGGTAGCTCTCCTGAAAGGTGAAAACCATCAGGATGGCAGGGACACCAGCAGCAATGGCCACAACGTATTCAAGTTGTGTCCAACGCCAACCCCACGAGGCGTTGATGTAAACGCCGATGAAAGGCCCAGCAATGGGCCCAAGGAGATTTACAAACCCGCACAGAGCCATGACACCTGCCCGCTTCCCCTGCCTAACCATGTCGGCGATGCAACCACCTCCAATCGTGGAAAACAAGGCTCCAAACATGCCGCTGCAGAGACGGAAGACGATCAGGGATGACATGTTCGGAGCGACACCACATAATAGAATGGTGGATACGATGGAACCGGCATCGCAGACGTGGTAGATATTCGCACGGCCGTACACTTCCGACAGCGGTGCCATCACGAGTGACCCGAACGCGAAGCCCAGGACATCAACGGAGACAACGAGAGTTGCGAGCTCGGAGCTATGAAAGTTGAAATCTTTCACTACTTGAGGTACAGCGGGTGAGAAAATGGCTTTGCGCTCAATTAGAAGGCCTTTGCCACGGGTAGTTTTTGCAGTCCCACGGGGTGGCATGCTTCCCTAAGGTCCACAAGTAACAATACCATCTCTCGGACGGTGAGACCTTCAAGATCATAGACTACGACTGGGGACCAGACCACCATCTCTTCATAATTGCATACCACCGTCTTTCAGGTGATGGCTCAACAACCGAGAACCTCTGTGCCGAGATTTCTCAGCTCTACAGCGGTGCAAAGCTGTCTCAGCAGGCATCTCAGTACCCAGACTTCGCCATCCGGCAGCGCAAAGCCCTGGAGAGCGGGAATATGGGCGAGGATGTGTCATACTGGACGTCCATGTACACCACGACCCCCGCGGTGCTGCCGGTATTGGCCCTGCCCAATTCTCAGCAGGAGGCTCGTTCCTCCCCCGTGGCGTGGGACCAACACGCCGGCGCCGCACGGCTGAACGCCGTGCTAGCCTTCCGCATCCGCGAGCGCGCAAAGAGGCACAAGGTCTCCCCCATGCACTTCTTCCTCGCCGCCTACCACGTGCTCCTGGCCCGCCTCGCGGCCCGCGCCGGCGGGGACATGTGCGTCGGCATAGCAGACACCAACCGCGCGACCGTGCAGGACGTCGCCGCGATGGGCTACTTCGCCAACCTCCTCCCCGTGCGCATGGCGCTCGAGCCGACGTTTGCGGCCCAGCTCGAGGCCACCAAGGACCGCCTGCGCCAGGGCCTCGACATCTCGGCGCCCACGCACGCGCCTCTCTGCCAGGCTGTGTTTGACTACAGACAGGGAGGGGCTGAGAGCGGTACGATTGGGGATGCTCCATCGTGGAGGTGGACACGTCTCGGGAGCGCACGCCGTACGATGTGGTGCTTGAGATGTCGGACGATCCTGCCAAGGATCCTCTTGTCACGGTCAAGATCCAGAGCTCGCTGTATGGGCCGGGGCATCCTAAGGCATTTTTGGATGCCTACATCTCAGTTTTGGCCAGTGTCTCGTCTAACACAGGCGTTAAGGTAGATGATATTAAGGTTGAGTTTTGATTCAATTAGTTGTACAAGTAGATAATAGTTTAAAGATAGCATGTACATAATAAGTCATCTTTTCAATTATATTAATTTAAATTTAAACTTTACCCTATTTACTTATTTCTCCTTTATTTATAATTCTTAAGTATATCCCTTTTACTTTTTCTTTAACTCTTTTAAAACTCTTTATAAGGGCTTATGTTTATCTTCTAGCCTAATATCTAGTTTGATGTGCGGTCGTTCTTAAACCTAGGGTTGCAAGGATATTAAAGACTTGGTGAATATAGACTAGAAGCATCTTGTGGGTGTAATAGAGTGTCATAGACCTTGAGCATTAACTACCTAATTCCTGATGACACAAGATAACTCCGCCGGGCAGGGTGTTGGACTTTTCCAAGGTTATTCCAGTTACTGGTCCTTGTGTGGCATGCATGTCGAATGGTTACCAGCACTGTGGAATAAGTACCTAGGTACATATGTAGTTGTTCCTCGCGCGAAGAGACCCTTTTCAGTCTTGAACCCGCATTGTGTGCCCAATATAATCCTACACTTCACCCGTTCCATTGCAAATGGAGCATTTGATCCCGGTGGTGGCCAAGCCGTTGCCCTGACAACCGGTGCAAGTTTTGGCCTCTGGGCGAGGCTTGTGCTTCTCGAGGTCATCACGAGTAAACGCCATCTACTTGTTAGGTTAGGATTGGAATTGCAGAATTGAATCAGTCATGCGGGATACCCCTAGTGGACTAACCTTAAGTGTCCTGAAGATGAGAATGATGCTCTTGGGAATTGGTATAAGGCTGAGGACCGCGTTTATGGATTTTTATTTCTGTGGAACTGAGGAGGTGTCAAGACTCGAAGGCGGATGGACTTGAGCCAGATTCAAGCTTGAACAAGGAACGAGAGCCTGGTCTCAGCAGCCTTTAAATATCTGGTCGAAAGTCAGAACTTGGAAACCCCGCCTCTTCTCTTGCTTCTAGATAAGGCTCTGGCGGGCCACGGCATCAGCCGATGGTGTGAAGCACATCTTACCTGATAACAAGACCCAAGATATTGTTGGTTTTAGACTTTTCCCAATGGATACGTTTCGGTCAGCACTATCGAAAATGGTGGATGTGGAAGCGCAGCGACAGCCTCACTTTGAAGAGCCAGAGGGTTGCCGCTGCGGCCCTCCTTTTCAGATGAAAAAGGATATTTGCACCGGCTAAAACAGATGGCGGGCTAAAACAGATGGCGCACCGCCTATAATTATGTAATCACCCTTTAAACCGTGTTGTAACTATAAATAATATTGCTTGGCTAATAAAGAGTATTCTTGAGGAACAACACAATCATAAAAGGGCAATTCTCCAAACTCCCCCAATCCACTACCACAAGTGGACTGCATCCAACTATTCATCAGCGTTATCATACAGCCTCCAGAGCAACCAGCACCCTCCCTAATCTTACAATGCTCAAGTTCATATTACTTTTTGCCTTGGAATTGTGATCCAATGCCAAGAAGGTCTTGCTTGACGCGATCTCCTTTGTTCACACCACCATCGATGTCCTCGTACAACTTGGAGTCCTCAAGAGGAGGACTTCTTGTACCACTCGAGCCCCGCTGGGTAGTGGTGCTAGCCTGTGGAGTGTTGGATGTCTGGCTGATAGGAGTTAATTCGAGGTCAGCCTGTGAATATGGACGAAACGGCGCATGAAATGTGTTCATTAGGGTATGGTCTATCAGCTTACCCAGTGGATCCCGACGTTGAGGACTTGTTCTCAGTGGAGGGCATTGTGTTCGTAGGAAGGACTTAGCGACTGGTGAGACCTGACCGTTCGGAGGGCAAGGTCCAGAGTGTCAAGAAAATGGGAGAAAGAAAAGCCTGGTTTAGGCGTCGGGTGATGAGTTCGATCAGCAACGGCCAGCGAAGGCGTCGGTGATGAGTTCGATAAGCAACGGTCAACGAGGGCGACCGAGAGCGATAAAGAGCGACGAAGGAATTCAGACGTGTATATGATAATATTCCAAGAAAAGAATGACGTGGTTGGTTTAAAGAGTGTGACTGTGGTGAAGGGTGACTGATCGTTCATATCTATAAGGGTGCAGACATAGGCAGTATTTATATAAGAACGGAAATTCGCGTACCCTCAATCAGAAGGCGCGTACCTATTTACTAACTAAGAAGTATTCTATATAAGATAACTTCTTTTCGAAAGGGTCGGCTAGGGTGAAGGGGGTGAGCCCCAGAGTGCGAAGTATAGCGGAGGGCCGTAAGTAGAGTCGGTAGGTATAACCTAAGTTCCTAAAGGACTAACCCACCCTATTTATAGTCCCTTATTATAAAAAAACCTTATTTATTAAAGTTATAAAGACTTTAAGGTTTTATACTCTAATTAATTAAATAATAGGGAGGGTATGCACCTTCTAATTAAGGGTATATAAATTTCCATTCTCATTTATATTAGAGGGAGAACAGAGAGGAAGATAAAGCATGGTTAGAGATCAAGAGTGATCAACTGACCATTATGGCATCCTGGTCCTCTGCCCCTTTCCTTGCCGATTCCAGTGTGTGAGTATGTTGTGCCCTGCTCGTCGGCTTTAAGTCGCGTCGGCGTTAATCCCGAGTGATATTGGGAGTACGCAGCGGGGCCCCGGGGGGTGGTTGATATGTTCAAATTGCAGGAAAGTCAGCAGACCGGAGTGGACATTGTTCACTGTTTCGATATGGGGCAAGAAGAAGTGCAAACTAGGTATGCGTGTAGGTGATGCATTGGCCGTAATACCGTGTCTGGGATTTTTGGCCAGTCGCCCATCCATGAACAACAGCTCTTCGAGTGAAAAGCAGGGGTCTTTTCCGGATCAGAAACCGCCAGCAACTTGAACTCCACCAAAACCTACCATGCGCGCGCGTATCGCGGTTATTTGAGAAAAGCATCCGAGACACTTGGTTTTTAATTTATTGACAGATACATATTGGAGATGGATTTCTCATGTAAAATCTGCTGAAACGTTTTACTAGAACTGATGGTACCTAGGTGATGGTAGTGAAATAGCTGGACGTGTTGCGTGGTCCTAATTCCTGTCGGTGTGTAGCCGTGGGTCAAATGATTGTGTATTTTTAGGTCTAGGCTAGCCCCCAGCCACTCGTGCGTCGAAAATGGGGTGTAGTCTACACTGCTGTATCTACGGGTACAGACCCCAGGCAGCTGGCGGGGTGCGGTGGCTCCACCCAGCCATCCCAGCCATCCCAGGGTGGGTGTCTGGATAGGGTCGTCGGCAGTGATCCGGATGTGGCCGAGGCGTCCTCAGGCTGAACCCTGAGGCCATGTCATCAACGCCGCCTACCTCTGCCGGTCCTGGTGGCTGTTCGCGTCGCGTAGCTCCAGGTTACGGACAACTGCTTCAGGTTGAGCAAAGCCCCAAGGTCCCTCTCCCTCTTCACGCCTGGCCCTTCATAATCAGGAGCCTCTCTGGGGCCAGTGACCGCCCAGGCCGATTGGACTGTAGGCGATGGATGAAGCAGACCCGGGGCCCGAGGGGAAGCAGGGCTGAAGATTCGTTGGCTGTGGCACTCTCAAGTGATGCTTGGGCAGAGATGAAGTCCCACTGGCGTTTGGGCGGCAGGCAGTCCACGCGTATTCCGGGAGTGTGCCGTACTCCTGGTGTGGTTGAAGTTCCCAGGCGAGCCCCCCTGCGCGGCTATGCCACCACTGATCTGGGCATGCCAGTAACTCGGACGCCCCGCGACCGGCTATGGGCTGCCTCGACTCTGCGGCTCTGCACGATGCATACTCAGAGGCTTGTGGTTGGCCGGGCTTGCTTAACCCCGGTGCCGACCCGGGGACCGTACCATGAATTTGCCTCCGAAATCCAGCGGCGGAACATCGGCTACCGGCGGAAAATCGGCCAGCGGTATGCCCATGGGGCTTTCAACAACGGAGTGGGTCTCTAACCCGCGCCCCTGGAACAGTTCCGAGTCGTTGAGGCACAGGAGGTATAAGACAGGTGCAGCTAGCCGATACGCACTCAAAGTACCGAACACTACTATGTAATAGGTGCAGTTACCGGTAGTAAGTACTTAGGTAGTTGAGGCTCCGTCCTGCGGATTATTGATTGATCCTAGATGTTGGCAGGGGGCTCGACCCATAACGTCCCCAGCAACCGGGACCGCCGCTTTCAGCCGACTCCCGCTGAAACATGGTACTTTGGCCCTCGATTGGTTATCGGTTATCGCAACGTGTTTCTGTTACAGTGGTTCGCCCGCAGCGGGCAGCAAGTCCACGTGTTTGTCGTCCAAGACATGGGCTTATACAGCGGGGGTTCCGTACGTCATACTCGTACTGTACTAGTGTACAGTACTAGTAGTGCACATGTTGACTTGTCTCCTCGTTCAGCCTCCTACGCTGAGTAGACTACCCCTGGCGGCCTCCTCCTCCTATCTGTGGAGTCTTTGATAAGAGTCTCTGTCAAAGGGCACTGATCAGCCGTTCTGTGGCCCGCTCTTGGCCACCCTGGGGCACCCGGACCCGCATGGGCTCATTGCGATGACTGAAACGGTCCCGAGGTCGGTCTGGCCAGACCCCGCGACTGTCACTGGCAGGCTGATGCCTTTACTATTGGCTATCTTTACGATCTTGGTGGGTCTTCTCAGCCTTTGAGAGGGCTTCTAGACGTTTCTGAATTCATTGTTTGTGAACGAACTCAATGTAATCTCTTCGAATTCCCATCGCCCCGAGGTCCCAAGGTCGCAAATCCATCCTACTCTAAAGCTTCACTTCCTTGATGCACTCCTGTGTTCCAGTGTTGCCATACACCACACTACACACACAACGCTTCATAGTATAATATAGGAGGTTTGATTTTGACTCTAGTGTGAATATGAGGGGTAAACACCTTTACTATAAGTATTAGTATGTGTAATATAATAGGCTTAAATGTAAAAAGGGGGGGGGGATCCGTGTTAGGCCTAGGGTGAAGCCCCATCTATAAAATTCTTATCTTATCTTATCCATTTGCTTAGTCAGCCACCCGCCTACCTTCTCCCCATACCCCTTACTTAGACTACACGACACCCAGTGTGCTTATTAGTGTGGTGAGCTGCAATGCGGCTTATTTCTTAGTTTCCAGGATGACTTGTTCTAACTATGATAATGCAATTCGAATTGACACGGCACTGATAAACTTGAGAATCGCAATGCGCAAACGAAATTCCTCCTCTGTCCGAAAGCTTGTGAATTAAGGGGGGAGAAAAGAGGTTTATAGGTTGATATGTAGTTATTCGAGGGATGTGAATGCACCTCATTACACCCCAACTCAAATACGACTTGTCTTCCACGCGTTGGGAATGCTGCGAAAGGTTGGTGGAGACTCTACAATACATGATTTGGCAGGCATGTGTACCTTAAGAGTAATGACGTCTAAAGCTTTGCTGATGTGACACACACAACTGGACTTTTTTAAATGCATTCTGGCTTTGCTCGAAGGTCTTGGCGATGAAGAGCGAGGGAAAGTGACAATAGGGTAGAGAGAAATTATCCATGCAGCAGATTGGTGCCGAGATTCGTTATCGTCCTCAGCATCCACGAGCAGAGGGAGATGCATGCGAATCGAAGGTCGGACCAGTTGACAATTCCACCCTCTGAACCATTTGGTTATCAATTTTCGAGGCCACATGATGTCATGCCCTACAGCAGCGCACCGAGCTTCGAGAAAACAGTGTTAGAAGTGGACGGGGCCGGTTGGGTGCCTGAGCAGTTTACCCCAGACTGAATACTTAAGTACGCTTCTTAGTCTAACCATATTCTTTGTGGCTGATCGAGTCACTGACTGTGAATCCTCTGTTTGTCCAAATTTTGTGATCTCTTTTGTGTCTACTAATCCCTGCCGAGTCTTCTCTTATTCTTCAAACCCAAAAGCCTGGATATACAGTACGGTTGAAGCCCTCAATGTACCGCCGGCGTGAGGTGGATAGCACCCACAATAGTACCTACCTAAGAAGCTAGTATTTCTTTTGTACTTCTTGCAAGACAGTCAAAGATCCGTGTGTGGACTGGGAGTTCCACACTACTCATGGATAGGACGCACGAGCGGCTTGGAACCGGTAAAGCTGTGAGCAAACGCTTGATCCGCATTCATACAGCTCAAGTGGGCGACGCCATTACATGCAATATGAAATATGAGAGGGTCCAGAGACGCTATCACACGGGTCGGTTGATATTTTCAAGATAATTTGCCCGAGTTCAGTGACAGCGGCAAGTCGATGCTTGAATGGTATGGGCTTCACTCTATTGGACGTCCATTTTGTCCGGCACGAGGCTGAGGCCACGTAGCCACAGACATACTGTATTCTTTCTGTACTTTTATAGACACAGTATGCTGTTTTAAACGCTGGGTCTTGAGCGTTTACCACCATACGAAGGCGCCGCAGACGTTTATTATATATCTGGATTAGAAACGAAACCACGCCTTACCACTATATGAAGGCGCCATATACGTCCTCGGAGGTATGCGGAATAGAAGCAAAACCAGTTGGATGAGCTAAGGAGAACGGCGAACGCCGGCAGGGAGGTGCGAACCATCGACTTTGCGCAGAGTTGAAAGCAACGCCGAGACCAATTCACGTTGATCATGCTCCGCCGCAGAAAATAAGAAAGCAATATCCTAGCTATTAACCAACTTCTTCAGGCTGGCTGCAGGATAGTATTGCCTGCGAGAGAGAACCAACTAGGAAAGGGCTCGGCGTCTGTCCGACGGAAGTTTCCGTGGAAACGGCGCTCTCACGGACCAGCATCAGACTCATGGAGCGGGGTTTCTCGATTCTGTCTAGCTTGGGCATCTTTTCTGCATTTTCACTCCGTGTCTCGAGAGCCTGAAAGTGATAGATTGTTTATCATTCCATTGTCAGTGGCCCGGTGCTCGACAATCTTCGCCACCACCCGACTCATACTATTCGCACCGCATCAGATCAGATATCCTACATCTCTCCGCTTGCACATCAGCGCTTGAGGCCAAAGTCCGCATTTGAGGTTTCAAATCTATCGAATCATTCTCGGCCGCCCGGCTCCGTCGCTCTCAATGGACTTGACAACAATTGAAGACTCCCGGTCCACTGGGCCCGCTACACAACTCGTCAACGGAGAGCCAACCGACAAGGACTACTGTGATTGTTGTGACTTGGGACCATCCTCGGCGCGCTTCATCGACCATTGCTCCGTCAAAATTGAGATAAAAGAGTACGAAGACTCAGCAAAACGTGGATGTCGAGCTTGTGCGAATATTCTCAAGTTTTTCGGCGCAGGACAAGAACGAGCCAAAACCCTCTCCTTTTACCCCGGCGAAGAGGCGTACTTACCTAGGTAGCGCCGCCGTGTGAGTTCTTCGGGCGGCCGGGAAGGCCCTGTACGGAGTACCACCACCCGGCAGGGCGGCCGAGAGTGAAAGTTACTTTCGATGGGGGCATTTCCAGTGATTCATACCACGAATTCTTCATTATGAATCACACCTCCACGGAAAATGAACAGGCCATCTTCAAAACGCCAAAACCATCTTTGATCCACCCGGTGATGGAAGCATTGAAAAGGCCGTCAGGGGATACATCTAGTGGGAGAGCCTTCAGCACATTGGATCAGTGGCTGTCTCATTGTCAGACAGAGCATACGAAGTGCAATTCCTGGAGTGGAGGGACCTTACCGCGCCGAGTCCTGGAAATTCAATCTGTCCAGCCACTGTGTGTTCGTGTGGTGGAAAACTGCTCTCAAAAGGAGAAATACGCATGTCTCAGTTATCGATGGGGACCTGAAACCAAGTCGAAGTCTCTCAACAAAGGCAATCTTGAGAAATACAAGGCAGCGATACCGCAGGACAAGCTGTACCCGCTCGTCAAAGATGCCATCACTGCGGCAGATAGACTTGGCCTCCGATACATCTGGATCGATTCATACTGTATCCTGCAGGACGACACAGAAGATTGGGAGACTGAGGCGGCTAATATGGCTTCTGTCTATGAGAACGCATTTGTTACTTTCTGTGCTACATTTTCCGAAGACGGATGCAAGATGTTCTCCACCTCAAAACCAGAAGACTTAGGGGCACAGGTCACTGAACGCGGCGGCGAATCTGTTTTTGTTCGGAAACGACTGAGCAATCCATCCGGAACTACGCTAGACAGGGCATGGGTCTTTCAAGAGCGGCTCCTATCGAATAGGGTCATCTACTTCACAAAGCATGAGGTAGCATGGGAATGCCGAGAAAGGAGCTGGTGCGAGTGTGAATCCTGTAATGATGAGTTCTCAAGCTGGTTGGGGCCGCCAAGTGTTCCCAAAGTGCTTCAACAGCTGAAATGGGAGGATATTGCTAAAGTATATGACAGCAAAATACTAACGGAGGAGAAGGACAGGCTGCCTGCACTCGCGGGTGTGGCTCGGCGTCATGGTGAATTGAGGGGATGGACATATCTAGCGGGCCTCTGGAAAGAGGAAATTCCAACGGCCTTGCTGTGGAAAAAGCTTGGTCATAAGGGTGCTAGGCCACTCCGTCAGCAACTTGAAGTTGCGCCCACCTGGTCATGGGCATCACTTCCTCGTGGAAAACTGTTCTTCCATGGTCGCCCCTTGACATCTGTCCGTCTAATAGGCTACAACAGAAGCCCGCCGGACGGCGACATCTACACAGCTACCGGACAGACCGAAATTACAGTTCAAGGGCCTGTACTGGATGTGAGGATCTATCATCAAGGACAACTCCGGGAGGATGAAGGCCCAAAACTTATTGGCAAAATAGGAAATGCTTTTTTGACAATAACGCCCGACTTCGACATGAAGCCAAAGGATCCCACAAAGTACCAGGCCGTGGTGGATGGCACTCTCGGTTCGCTCCTGCTTCTTTATGACGAAACAGATCCGGATACCAGGGGTGGTTCCTATCGGGATTGCATTTTTGGCGTCTTGCTACTGCAGAAAACCGACGCAAACGGTGGAAAGGTCACATTTGAGCGCGTCGGATGTTTTAATGACCTCATACACTCTCAATTGGACGAGTCTGGAGAGTTTGTGGAGTACCGCGGGGGCAGCTTTCCGTTTCAAAGGATGAAGCGTGTCAAGCGTGAGTGGCTGTTGCAAAGAGCCGAGAAGAGACGAATCACACTCGTCTGAGCTGCGTGCGACACAAATTTTCTCGGTTTCTCCTTGTAATCGAAAGCTGTCCTGGGGGTTGAAGCTGTTCGTTATCTCCTGCTGCATCTGTTCTACCTTTTGAGATTTAAGAGATTTATTATCACCATGATCATCTCATTGAATGGAAGGCGGCTTTTCGGCGCCAATCCACAATAACACACAAGTATCCGCAGTCTCGCATAGAACCAAGTCATCAAAGCTATAAAACAAGGTTAGAATGCAGAAGCATTGCTTGAGTGAGGTAGTGGGACTGGACATCAGAACACCGCAAAAGGACCTTCCTCAGTCAGTGAAGAGCAAGGTGACCCCGGTAACGTGGAGTTGGTCTGGATCTCCTCCAGTATGACATGGATGACAATGATAACGGGAAATCATGATTTAACATGAAGTATCGCAACTAAAACAGGCAATTACATCCGGAAAGGTCAGCAATACGATCAGACCATTGTGTAGCGATGCCAGGATACAGCTGGGTCGCCCTCGGGGTCGACCACCCAATCGAGGCACGAAGACGATGTCATTGCGCCATTTGTGCTTTGTGCGCTGGGACGGTTGAGACGACGACGTGTGCCAGAGGACGAGGCATTGACAGGGCATCCGGCCAAGGATTCCTCAACGCCAAGTGCTTCGAGATGTTTGGGCACGGTGCGTCTCCTGAGTGGCTGTGAGTGGGTTACATGACAGGGCCAGCCTGAGTCGTGCACCCTCGCGATCCTGCCCCGAGAGGTTGTCGTGTCTCGCCTGATGATTTGTCCGCATATATAAGTGCGTAACGGCGCCTCCGGATAGATTGCTCAGGCTGGGAGTGAGGGTGTGCCAGGGGCTAGTTGGCATCGATCGCAAGCGCCTGACGGCACCCCAGCAGTAGCAGCTTCTATGTCAGAAGCGAGCACCCGACCGTGGCATTCTACTTCCTTCAAAGCTACAGGCTTCTCTTTAGTAGGGGTGCAAATATCAGGCATTTTTGTTACCAGTACTGTCTCCTTCTTTAACCTAGGATCGCTTATTTGTGTCCTCGGACGTATACGGAATGGAAGCGAAACCACTTATGATAATTTAACGTCCTAGCCCCTATGGCTATACTTAGGCATCCACTCTTCATTGACGGGCTCATATTGGTCCGAGCCTTCCCAACGGTCCCTCATCCGCTGAAGTCTTTTGTCAAAGCTTTGCTTCGTGTCGCATCGGAATTCTTTTGGAATCCAGCCACCACATCTGGGCGGCCAACACCGCCCCGAACAGGAGATCGGTGATTGAGGTAGCCGTGTGTCTAAAAGTCTGTGTATCCGCCACGTAGAGGTGGGTAGGTCTCGAACGCGAGAGTGGCTGAAATCAATCAGAGTAATTTGCCAATTATTCGAATTGTTCGCATCCTTCCATACCATCAAGTTTCTAGGATGCATGTCGTCTGTTTGTACCCCGATGAACGCAAGCTGGCTCTGGGCCTCCATGACGCGGTCCAGTAAATCCATCCTAGAGCATTCGGAGTCAGCTATCAAAAAAATACAGGAGTAGTCTTTTATCGACACAGCAATGACCAGGCCGCAGGGTAGCCATAGTACGTTATGAAACCCGTAGCCCTGAAGTCTTTGGTATATAGGCTAGGTGCTTCTTTGTTCTTAAAGGGGTAAAGGGGTACACCTAGAAGCTGCTTACCGAACTTCAGGGTCGATATTATCAACCTCCTTGCGTTCAATTATGTTCTGCATAGTATCACCAGGGATGAACTGCTGCAGGATAAGGCGGACCTCACGGTAGGTCATAAGGTGGCCCTCGGCATCGTAGATAGGTCGTTTTAGATACCAGCAGCCCTTGAAGCTGGGTGTATATTTTCCGTCCAAGCCTTTCTCGCTAATCCTCTTATAGGCGGCCGCCTCACAGGAGTAGAAGAATTCGGCAAAGTAGGTAGGTGAAAGCTCCAAATCAATACACTTCTCAAGCTCAATATGAAAAGGGTCATAGATCTTGGCAACGAAGTCGTTTCCGTCAACATCGCACCTCACGACTTGTGCATTGCATGGATCACCACAACGGATCTCCTGTGTAACCTTGAGGCGGCGTATAGCCTGGTCAGAAGGAAGTTCTGTCTTCCAGGGTGGGTGCTGGAGGGCCTGCTCGACAACAGTGTCGGGTGCGTCGTCGAAATTAGGCCAAGGGTGTGCAACCCACTTGGCAGGATTTGGCTCGAGGTACGAGTTGCCGCCGAAGGGTGGCGGGGGCTCGTGCGGTCTGATATCGAAGCAGGCGTTGGGTTTGTAAGGGACAGGTGGCTTGGGGATGGGGACAGAAGCCCTCTTGGAGGTCATTGCGATGAAGGGGGAATATTAAGGAGTCCGAGCAGTGCAGCATGCATTGGCAGCGTGCTGGGTCGGATTGCTGTTGGAGCAGTGGGAGGTGGGCAGAGGAAAGGAAACAAAGGGTTGGTGCAATGCGCCGGACGATTGGGGCTGGTTGATGGGGTAGTGAATGTCCGTCCCGTTGCTTTATTAACACCGTGGAACATGGGGTGTCCTTCCAGGGTCCCTTATCGATAAGACAGACCCTATAGATAGCTACTTGAACCAACGGGCAGACTACTTCCTTTGCGCAGCCCAGGACCCACTTACGTGCCACGAGACCGGCCGAGTTGTCGCCCAAAAATAGCCAGCTCCGGCCTTCCGGCCATGATGTAGGAACCAACAGCTTCGGTCAGGCCTCCAAACACAGCCAAAGTAGGGCTCCGTCTCGGTCAACTGCCGCGAGGTTCATCCGGGCCGCGGGTCTTAAGTCATTGGACTACATCGCCTGCCAGCTGCAAATCCACGCCGCAGAACATGGACAACAACCCGTCAGTCGTACCCTAGGGTAAAAAGGGAAAACAGACATCATCTCACCGGCATGTTCCAATAATTAGATCGCTTGTCTGGGCGTTTTAGTAGGGCCTGGACGCTCTGGGCCAGATGGGGTGTTGTGTGCTGTATCAGCGTGCTACTGGTAGTTATTGGTGTCTAAGTCGAGACGTAAAGTCCGCCATTTCCCTCCCTGTTTCATTGCGGGCGGTACGATAACTGTGGGCGTGTCTCAGTAATGGGCCTGCTGAGTTACAGGAATATGACGAATCTCATTCGGATTGCCGCAGCTCCTTCTCTGAGCGGGTATTACAAGAATAGAAAGGCTGCTTGTGGAGATTCTTGACCCTCCCTGTGGCCCAGCGACCGCACGGCGAAGCCCACAATAAGGCCCGGGTGGACATGTCGGGCTCTGCTCGATATAGCTGTTGGTAATACAGCACTACATGAGATTCTCAGCCCTTATCGTGGCCTTATGTCTATAATGCTCGAAATATATAAAGGAACTACTGTCTCTTGTTGGTAGAGACTTTAATGTTTGATTAAACAAACATCTTTGTTATATAACTATTATTGAATTAGAATCTTCCCAGAAACTTATAAATCCTTTTTCGCGCAGCCATTATGCCTTCTATTTACGATTTGTTTAGCTTAAGATTGCCTGTATATACACTCTACGGGAATCAAGAAAGCAGCGCCTATAAGACTCACGTATCCGGCAGATTGACTGCATTAAGCACGCCTCCTAGGTTTGGAGTTAAAATACCTACGGTATACTGGACTGGGTTGGTGTCAAGACTTTGCCTTATACACAAGGCGGCTAACCTTTGAAATATCCTGGCCCCGGAAAGCGAAGATCTAATTGCCTTCAAATCGGAAGCCGACGTTGTGAACACAGCTACGCTGTACCTCTTATATCCTGTCCACAAGGCTTACGAACTTATCCATCCAGGAGATGTTTCCCTGAATGAAGTCTATAGGCACTAAAGAAATGACACAATCGGCTCTGCCCGTGTCGACAGGGCATATTTCAAGGGAAAGCCTAGTGACAAGGAAAGGCCTGGCAACTTATATAATATATTCGCCCTGTTGGAGTATAAGAAAATCGGGACTATTGACCAAGCTGAGTTTGAAAGAGGCATGGCTAGGGATGAAGCTGCTTTCGTGCGACTGGACTTTCAATCTCCATTCGCTGATCCAGACAGCAACCCCTCCGACGATACAAGCGGCGACACAAACGAAGTCGTATTGCTGAAGCAGGCAACACATTATGCGAACAAATACAAGACTCCCTTCGTGGCGCTATGCGATTATTATACTTTACTGCTATTGGTAATGTCCAAGGTAGGGGGAGGGTAAACTGGTGGAAGAGTAATTGCGATTGCCCTAATCTCTTTTAAATAGCCTTGCTAATTGTTACGCTACTATTTAATATGCCTATATGATTGTGGTAAAGGATCCGAAAGAAATGCAAAAGGCGTATCTAGGATTTCTTCTAGCGGCTAGGGCACATGCTGGGAATGATGCAAGCTGGCGCCAGAACGCGGTTGGGACAGATATCTTCCAGGATGCCGAGGGTTGGGATGCGAGGAGCACCCCAGCGCATCCTGCGACGAATTCACCTCGGCGCGCGAGAAACAACAACCCGGTTCACGATTCTCCAGACAGCAGTCAGGGCGATGTCTCCATGACCGGGTTGCAGCGTGGCGGAAGTAAGCTTATCCTTGCTCCTTTTTTTGCGCATACTTTCCCCCCTCGTCGAAGACCAATCGGCGCGGGGCGCTCAAACTCAATGGAAAGGTCTTTACTGATACGAATTGCCTTTATTCTAGTGCCCCAGACCAGCACATCCAGGAACGCAAGGCCAGCCCCCAGCAGCGGGGGCCATGATGGACGAAAATCGAGCCAAGCCAGGGACAGCTCCGCGAGCTCGTCCACGAGCTCAAGGTCAGCCAGTAGCGCTTCTTCCACGACTACTACCTCCAGTTCTAGCGCGGCAGTTAGTCCAGCAAAGTCTGCTACCCGGCCGCCCGGCGTTGCGACTGCAGCAGCCGCTGCACGCGGCAGCGCGACCAGGACGACTGCTGACAACACCGCGACTACAACTGGTCAACCTAAGAATAAGGTGCCGTCGACTACAGTGAATCCTGCCAAACAAAACTCTGCTACGAGTACACTGCCTGCACGGCCGAAGCGCTCAGAGGCTGCAAAATAAGTAGATAGATATACTCCTGTCTCGGTACACTATAAGACACTGGCAGTGTTGTTATATAAGGCGGTCAACGTTTGAACTAAAGCTAAGGGGTAATTGTTAAGCTTAGCTAGACTAGGTAGTTTATATGTAAGAACCTGACCCTGTGGCTAGTGTTCTCCTGCCTAGCGGTTTCTGTGTTGACTATGATGGTCAGCTCGCGACTTTATGTCCGGTTCAAAATTCGCGGGCTTGGTTGAGACGATTGGACGATGCTCATGGCAATGGTTCGTACTCACACACAATGCAAGTTCCAGACTGTGCCTGCACAGGTCATGACTACCTAGGTAATATTGCATCTTTTACTACAGATACTCTACATTCTCGGGAATGCTTTCTTCACCCATCTGGTACGCCACGGTGGTGGTCGTCATGTGTACTATCTCTCCCCTCGGCAGATTCTTGAAGCTGCAGAATGGAATCACATCTCGCAAGTCCCAATCGTCCTGGTTTACGCAACTGCCAAATCTTTAGTTGCGCTTCTTGCGCTGCGTTTCATCAGCCACTCATCGCTTTGGCGCAAGTGGATACTCTACTTCATCATGACATCGGCCATTATCATCAACTTCCGTATGTATCAGCCTTCTACCGCTCCGATTGTCCGCCCCGTGCTTGATTATTATTTCCCATAATGTATCCCTTCGCGTCCCGTAGCAGCTGGCTAACCCATAGAAGTGGTGATTCCTCTCACGTCTGCGCAATGCACCCCGTCATGTGCCCTCTGGGATCCGAGCATTCAAGGGGCCTCATGCTGGCCGGCGTATATTGTTGTGCATTTCGACTATTTCCAGATCTCGTATGACGTCTTTTGTGATGTTGTACTAGCATTGCTACCCGCCACCTTCATCTACAATTTGCCTTTGAACAAAGCTAGAAAGATAGGGTTGACGGCAACACTGAGTTTGGGGTTACTGTGAGCACCCGCCTTACCTGTCCTCCTGACGTTGGCTTTTTCGTGACAAGAAGTGTCCAATCTTGAGATAATAACATGGAAAACAATTTAGAGCCGCATTCTGTGGTGGAATCCAAAACCAATACCAAAAGCAATTGGAAAAACAAGTGAATTTCACATGTGAGTCGCGAAATAATCACTATTAGCTCACCATCAGCCGTCCCCTTACACCGGGACCAAAGCAAAAAAGACCAAACAGCAGACAGTAAAAGGCACTACCTGAAGTGTTCAAAGTTGACATTTTCCATGCAGGGTCGACCTACAACATGCAGACGTGGGCAGGAGCTGAGGCATTTTTGCAGATATTCTGCGGCTCTGTGTCCACTCTCATGCCATTGTGGGATCGCTTTGTTACCAAGAAGCTTGATTCTTCGTATGGTCGGACACCGCTCAGACAAAGCCCCTCACAAGTCACCCGTACTCGCGATGGTGGAAACACCACAGAAGTCATGGGAAGTAGCCAGACCGAGTTACGGTTGTCCCCACAGCGAATTCATGTAACGAACAGCTATAACGTGGATCACGGCTCCTACACTGAGGTCTAAGATCACACAAAGGGGCAGTAATTGGAGACGCCGTTTGGTATTCAGCATGTAACAGCCACGACGTTTTCGATCCTGGCTTTGGCAATCGAGGTTTTCCCGGTCGCGCGACTTAGTAATTGGACGGCATTCAGCGGCATGGAGAGGAGCGATACTTGGAAACAAAGACATCAGATTACATGAGACAGACAAGTTTGCCAGAAATCACCCTCAAAGGTTGCTTCACTAGATTGAGCCAACTGAAAAGTGTTGCTTGTTGCGAGACAGCCGACAGCATTCTGCCAAGATAGTTCTGGATGCCACGGTCAAGTCTATAGGCAGGCTGGTTTCTGCAGGCTGTCATACGCAGGCGTGGCAGGGTGGGGGAAGACGGCAGGGGAGGATTTGGGTCCCTTCTATATTCCCAATAGGTCCTTGCATACACAAATACGAGGCAGTGTAACACACCAGACAGGGTAGTAAGGTACTGTTACTCGAAAGTATCCAACATATCACTCTAGAGCAACCATTACCATAGGCAGTTGGCAGCCTTTAACTTTAAGGGGATAGCCTTCGGCTGGGGGGCTAGAGGGGCTCCACCTGAGAGGGTTGGTTACTAGTGGCTATGCGGCCCTACTGCGGCCTTCTGCTTCGCAACTAGTGCCCTTGAGGCGAGAAGGGGGGAGAGAGAGAGAGGGAGAGGGAGAGGGAGAGGGAGGGAGGGATAAATAGTAGTTTTTAGGGCTTTTTAATAGGAGAAATAAAGAGAAGAGGAGGAAGTTAAAGATAAGAGTTAGCCTTAAAGCCTTCTTACTTCACTTATTATATAAAATCTTTAAGTATTTTTTTTAATAATAATAAGAACTTTTTAAATATATTAAAGTTAATTAATAAAGTAGTTATAGTTTCATTTTTAATCCCTATATATATATAATATATATAGCACCTTTATATAATAATAAACACTTAAAATCTAACATTTAAAAAAATATAATATTAATAATAATAAAAAAAGAATATAATATATTTATAGGTGTATAGCTAAGCTTTATATTATATAAATAAAGTTAGAAGGTATTACTTTTAATAGTATTATATTAGAATTATTAATATAAATAACTTAAAGACTAATAGTTAGTAAAATAATTATATAGTAAGATTAAAATAATCTTAAAATAACCCTTATAAAAGAAGAATTCTATAATATAAAACTTAATAAACTAACTCTTCTTTATTAATATACTTATTATATAACTATTTAAATTTACTTTTATTAAATAAATTAAACTATAATCCTTATTTTAAGTATATAATTAATAAAATAATAACATTATAATAATAAACCTATTTAAAAATCTTTTATATAAATTCTATAAAAAATTAAAACTCTCTTAAAAGTTAAATAAAGTTTATTTACTATATATTAAATTAATATTATATAAGAAAAATAAAGGTTTAAACACTTAAAAATTAAATCTTCCTGCTTTAAATATACTATTTTATTATTAAAATTTATCTACTTTTATATAATATATAAAAATATAATAAAAGAAAAGCTTTATAAAGGAAGTTAGTAACTTTATATATAAATAAGTTTAAAGGTATATATTAAATAATTATTAACTTTATACTTAAAATATAAACTAATAGTTAGTTTAAAAGTTAGAAAGATAATAAATAATTAAATAATTAAATAAAAATATAATATAATTAAAGCCGTTAATTAATAAAAAAGTATATTTTAAAAGATAAACTATAAGTTATAATTTTAATAAAAGTAAATAAAAAGTATATTTCTATTTATTAATTTAATATATTTTATATTAAATTTAAGTAATATAACTATTTAAAGTTTATATATTAAGTAGTTTATACTTAAAAATATACTTTAAAGATTTAAAGAATATTAAGTATTTACTTTAAAATAATTATATAAGTATAAGTAAATAGTTATATAAGCGGGTTAAAATAAGAGTATTATAAGAAGCGAGATATTATAAATTAAATAAGTTATATCTAATACTATGTTTTAAATCCCCTAGGTATGTTTTTTTAGTATATACCAACTATAAAGAGCTAGTAAATTCTGGCCTTAGGTGTCCAGGTGTACCTCGAGCCCATGTCACTAAAGGCCTAGCTGAGAGGAGACGAGAAGCATTTAAATCGTTTCCATTTCTGCCAGATCCCTTGTTCTTTTTGCGGAAACCGCTGCTGACCCATGCGGCGTTCTAACTCGCAAAATGGCTGGTTCTGCTTTTCTCTCCGAACTTAGCAAGTCCCTTTCATTGGACTCTCGGATCCTTTCGGATCCAAATGCGCCACATTTTACATCATCGTTGAAGAGATGGTCCGACTACGGCTTGAAAGTCCCATCTGCTATTGTGCAGCCAGCGAGTGAGCAGGACATCATCCTATCCGCTCAAGCACTATTGAAGGAGTCGATTCCCTTCGTTGCCGCGGCGGGTGGCAACACCCAATACTCAACCATTGATCGGCCTGGCGTTATCCTCGACATCAGCAAATACAAGGGTGTTGAGGTTGATGCAGCAAAATCTCTGGCTACTGTCAAGTGTGACACAACGCTAAAGGAGTTTCAACTAGCGCTGCATCCCCACAAGCAGTTCGCAGGTATGCCCTCACTAAATTAGAGCCTCGCTTAGTTTATGTTGAACTTACGCGGATCTACCAGCGGTCGGAAATGCCAGCACCGTTGGGGTGATCCCTTACTACATTGGCGGGGGTACCACTCACTACAAACCGTTCGTTGGCTTCGCCGCCGAGAACATCCTTGCAGCGAAGCTCGTAAGCGCCAATGGCGAGTTCATTGAGGCGTCGGACTCGGAAAATCCAGAACTCATCTGGGGGATCCGAGGCGCTGGACAATTCTTGGGCCTGGTAACTGAGCTGACCATCAAGTTGCATCCATATTCTCTTATGGGAAATAAGGATGGCCAGCGGATGTGCGGCACTTTCATCTTCCCACCGCAAATAGCAAAGGCAGTTTGCGAGGCGATGCAGTCTATCCTGGAGAACAAGGACTATGCCACAGCAGGTCATATTGTGGTAACCATGGCTCCACCGGATATGCAGCAACAAGTCCTCCTCGTGGCCCCAGAGGTATTTGCCCCTGCTAGCGAGGCCGCCAATCTGCTCAAGCCACTTGCAGATCTTGGACCCATTATGGAGGCACTGGTGCCTTCCACATTCGAAAAACACAGCGACCACCTGGACTACCTTTGTGCGAAGGGCGACTTCAAGCGGGTCACCCAAATTGGTGTAACAGGTTGGACCGAGGGGAGCCTGAACAAGTTGGTCAAACTTCACTCCGAGCTTGTGACAACTTATTCAGACGCCGTCATGTCCGCGTTCTCCTTCCAGTGGAACACACCTTGCCGTGTGGAGGGTCGGAAAGAAACGTCCTTTGGTCTTGAGGATGTAGACTACTGGCTGTAAGTCCTGCCCATGGTTGCATCATTATCGATGAACGACACAGTTAACTAGCCACAGTAATCTAACGATCTGGTACAAAGATCCTACACGCCATGCCGCTGTCGACAGTATCATCGACAGGGCACGGGCTGCGGTGCTTGAGGGAACTGACGAGCGGGATTACGTCTCATACACCAACATCGGCCGCGAGGACCCGATCACAGACCGTTACAAAGGTGCTGATAGACTCGAGAGGCTTAGAGAGCTGAAGAAACGATGGGATTCTAGAGGCGTCTTCACCAGAGAGTTTCTGTAGAACCGTAGTTTGCCAATCCATGCGGTGGGCAGATAGTTCAAAGAATGCCAAATGCTTTGAGTTAATCTGCAGATGTTTTTCTTTGGCTGCTGTTCGTGTTCTATTCTTGATTGAAAACCACTACAGACCCAGAAATACCTTGATGTTATTTTGCCCCTGCCCTCAACGGAGCACTCTGCGGCAGGAACTTGTGTGCCCAGGTGCCTGCGTGCCCAGACGGTTGGTGTGGTGATTAACATGCGGCGTACAGCGTAAGGGTGGCGTGACCTTCACACCCCTTTCCTCTATACTCTACTGCGAGGTTGATGTAGGTAGTGCCCAAAAAGGGACCAACTGACATCGGCGGCTCCGGGAAACTGACCGCCTGAATGTGGTACATCGAACAGGGACTTTGTCTCAGAGCCGACCCCCAACTATGCAACAATGAATCTAACATGTTTCGATGAAAGATTATTAATCACATCCGTGGGCCCACCTTCGTCCCCAGCGAGCTCCCTTGCTCCCCATCATATCTTAGTATTGGCCTTTTGTCACCAGAAAACGAGCGGATTAACATCGCAGACTTACCTCGACATTCTCCACGGACTTCACATCATGGCCATGCAATCGGACACAAAGGCCGAGGAGGAAGTCAGCTTTCCGCAGTTTTTCTACAAACAATGCTGTTTCAAGCCATTTGAGGTCCAAGGGTTGAGTCTTGCCGGGAAAACAGCAATCGTCACTGGCTCAAACTCTGGACTGGGTTATGAGACCAGTCGACAACTTCTCGATCTTGGCCTGTCCAAATTGATTCTCGCCGTGCGGAATACCCAGAAGGGCAATGAGGCCGCTTCCAAGTTACGCTTGGGACGGGAGCTTCTGCAAGATACCATCGAAGTCTGGTCGCTGGATCTCTCGGACTACGACTCTATTGTTGGTTTCGCTGGAAAGGCAAGGGGCCTCGACCGTTTGGATTTTGTGAACCTGAATGCCGCGGTATGCCCGGGCGAGCGCATATTCAACGAGAGAACAGGGCATGACGAGATCGTGCAGGTCAATTATCTGTCCAACGCGTTGCTAGCAATCTTGCTCCTCCAGGTCGTTAAAGACAAGAACTCGAAAGCGCCGACCAAGATCACCTTTACCTCTTCAGAACTTCCAGCGTTCTCTAAATTCCAGGAAAGGGCCGGCTCGCCTCTGCTACTGGAGCTCGACAAGCCGGGACGGGTGGATCTACAGGACCGCATGACGGTGTCTAAACTTCTGTGTCAATTTTTTGTTGCCAGGCTTGCCCAGCATGTACCTTGTTCGGTCGCCGTCATTAACTTGGCTTCGCCCAGCGGGCTCAGTGACTCCACTATGCTTCAAGGTCATAACAACATCGACGGGGCAATCACAAGATTCATGATGCGGCGCATCGGAAGGACATGTGCTGAAGGCGCCAAGATGATGGTCGACGCGATTGTTCAACGTGGCGAGGAGACTCACGGCAAGTACTTGTCGTTTCAGAAGGTTGTTCGGTAAGTAACATCTACATCGGGGGTGGTACCCTACCATGAATGAAATCACGCTAATCAAATTAACTTAAAGCATGGCACCAGTCATCTACACAGAGGAGGGAAAGGTGATTTCGGATAGGCTCTGGGATGAGACGATGGCAGAACTCGCGTTTGCGAAGGTGGAAGAAATACTCCGGACGGTGTCAATATGAAGACATGACACCAATGTATAGGAATAACTTATTGCGTAATTTATCACGAAGGATTTGATCATTTAGTTCAAGTTGTAACTGACACGGTGTCCACATGCATTGGCAAAGGAAGCAAAAGAATGAATGTGAAGAGTTGTTGATTTACAACTATAGTTACCCAACTAATGCCCTGGAAGAAAGGGAAAGGCAACAAAGCTGCGAAACTTCCTGAATCCTGTAGCATGGCAGCATAGCGCTTCTCCCTATCCAATTCCAGCCGTTACAAGTAGCCACCATACCCGGAAGCAGCGATCAAACTAAGTTCCAGGCACTCCTCTTGAAACCGCTGCCCCATCTCAACCTTATCCACAGTATCCTGAGCATAAGTCAGTCGGAGATATAACATGGTGAGGTGTGACCCGCAAGATAACAGTCGTCGAGGCTACCGACCTAGGTATGTCCCCATACCCTGACACACTTTCGCTGAAGTTTTGACCAATTAGGTGTCCGGCCCGCCTGGCAACCAAATGAAAGCGACCGTAAGAGCCAACAAGAAAAGACTTGGTAGGAAGTACCTAGGTAGATACAAGCCTCGTTCCACCTGCTTCAGCGGCAGCGACTGGGACATAACCAGTGACATTGTGATGCATATTAAGGGGTCTGACATTCGGGTGAAAGCTTCGGAGGGAGCGATATAGCCTCAAAAGAGACACCTCGTAATTTTCTGACACTGCAACCATATTGCATCTGTTGGCGTTATTTCTCACACCGTACAGAGCGTATGAGCTTCTGCATCGATACGATGGCGACTAGTTCTCAAAGCCACGCGGCAACCGACTGGGCATCCCGGACTCCGATCCAAGCATTCCATACCTAGGTATGGACATATTTGTGAACTCAAGGAGGTAAGAGCATGGGCTTGTGTAGTCTCACAACGATACCTCGGAGTCCTTAGACACGTTCGTCATCCCTATGAACCCGACGTCGTTTAGACAAAGGGCGTCGGGTCCTCCCGACGGGCGTCAAATGCTGCTTGGCGTGATATTGCGCTCCCTCCACAGCAAAGAGTGGCCGCCGTAACAAGCTGGGGAGGGTCTGAACTTTTTAGTCAGCAGCATGTGCTGCGCAGTGGCTCGCTGCCCATTCGACTCCCACAGTGCTCGGAGATTGCCCCTTCGACTATCGAGAGCTGCTCGTGGGCGTTATTTCCATCCCTGAAGGCTGTCATAGGCCAGTGATTCTGCGGAAAGAGGGTGACAACTACACTTTGATTGGGACGTGTTCTGTGTTGGGGCTGATGAGGTGGGAAGAGGTGAAGAGCATCGTGCAAAAGGATAAGGTTATGAGTAACTAATTTAGCTTTTAGACAAGTAATCAGGCCAAAAAGTCAAAAACATACAGCACCGGGTATTCGCTGGTCGTCACCGACCCAACTACTAATCCAGCGATCAGTGGCTTGACTATGGGAGAGCGGACGGGATCCCGTATTTTCCACTGTCTATGGCCGTATGTGCTTAATTGAGCGTCGTGCTGGCCTATATTACAAGCAAGTATGACTTGGTGAGCGTGACCCCTCAACGGCGTGATCACGGATGGAAGTCAGTCTGATAGTTATACTTGTAAAGTGACTTCAGTGCCAAGCCCGTTAGGTATTAAAGCGAGAAGTTACTAGTAAGGGTCTGGCTATAAGGCTAGTTCTAAAACCCTTGGGAAGTCAGTGTGTCAGACCATATTATTTAGCTGATTGTGGTCAGTCTGAAAACTTAGTCTGAGTATGAAATATTTAGTTTGGGACCTAGTATGTAGATCTGTGGTCAGACAACTGGGGGACCATCCGTTCCTGCTTAGTCAGCCACTAAACCGACCTATTTAGAACTTGAGTGTGTGCAGCCCTCCATAGCACAATCAACCACCCAACTCCACTACTACTTGACTGCACCTAGAGTGACTCCCACAAGATCTTTACCTAAAGATTTCGGGAGGCTTGCAGTGACATTTAGATTCTAGTAGATTGAGAGGTATTGTAGGCGGTGTGGATTTAGACCCGCAGCAAACCCCCTACTTCGACTGGGGTGTGCGGCACGCCCCCTTTAGAACTCAGAAGAAGCAAGCCACCAACAGAGGAATACACTTATAATTACTGAATTGCCGTTTTGTCCTATTATATTATATGCCAATGCGCAGTCCAAGCCCGTTTACATATATAATGCCCCCTGTGTTTGAGAAGAAGCAATCCGAAAGAGATAAAGCGTGCCCTGTTTGTTGACCAAACTATCCTGACTTCCCTCCGTGATCACGCCGCAAGGACAGTTACCTATGTATGGAGAGCGTAGGTCGCGGATCTCTTCATCGTCACTCTGGTTTTTCCGAGTCTCGGCTCAACTCAAGCTGCCAAGATTTGTTCTGTGAGGACGTGTGTATGGTTAAACCAGGGAATGCAATCTGTTCAAGCATGAAACTTTGACGGCAAGCCCCTCATCTAGCTGACGTAACTAGTAATTCTTCTGCTATGAAAACATTCCACGCCCTTTTCCTATCCTCATGAATTGAAGAAGAGAAGTCACTGGCCTTCTCTACACCGTGCAGGAGAGGAGATATAGGAATGAGACACCCCTTGAAGCAATCTCCAGCTGTAAGTAACTTGAATATCGGGGCTATCTTTCCTTGACCCAATTCAGCCAACTTGACCGCATCTTACTTGCTGCTTTGGAACTGGGATCCAATGTGAAGGAGGTCTAGCTTCATACGGTCTTCCTTACTCTCATCACCGTACCTGTACCCATGTGGCTGCTGGACCTGAGAAGTTTCACATGCCACTGTACCGCTTGTAGTCGAGCCTTGCTGGGCAGCGGTGCTGATACGGTTATCGGAGGAGGAAGCCTGGCTGAGAGTGTCGTGATTGGTTAGCTGGTGAACAGATGGTCTGAAGTGAAATGTGAACAAAACTTCTATAAAGTCTTACACGATGCTTGTGGAAGCGGGGTCTGGGGATATGCTGGAGGTGTACGGCATCTTGAGTTGAGGATGTCACAGCTCTCTGAAAGTAGATCTGTAGGAAGGAGACGCTCTGATCAAACCGCAAAACACCGGACAGGGGAAGTGTAAAGTCCGTGTTGGTCAAGCGTGCAACAAGGACGATGGAAGGAAACAGCCAAATGCTGGAGGGCCTGTGGCGTCAGGGTACAATTGGAGAAGGGGAGACACGAAGGGTATGTCGGGTAGTATAGATGGTATTGTTGGAGAGCACGATGAGGAAAGCAAACAGGTGGTCATCCAGGGACGGTCAAGAGAGAAGTTGGCCCGTAGATCAGAGCAACCTCTAGACGGGGCCTTGGACAGGTGGTGAAAGTGGACAAGGTGATCGATATTGAATGTGCTATGATATCTGGAGTTGACTCGTCCATGATGTGAAAGCATTGGGACGTTCAGTATTTATATTAGAAAGGCATCACTCGTTAAGGAAAAGTCACTGGTTGCAATCCCTTCATGACCTCAACGGGTAGGGTAACTAAGTGCCTAGTAGCACCAGTGCACGTGATTCCGCATGGTGGTCCTTACAGTACAGGGGGGGCTGGTGGTTGAGGGTTGCCAAAGGCCATGCCATGGTTCGCCCGCTGCAGCTTGGCGGCTGGAGGGCAGGCATGCAGGGTGTGCTTGACGGACCCCAAGTACACGTCAGAGTAGTATTACCGGTACGCGTGCAGCGGCTTATTACAGGTTAAGCTCTCACTGCCTGCATCCGTTCCGCCAATCAATGCTCTGGTGGCAGCCCTCTGGCTGGGAGATTGAGGATTCGGCGTACTGGCATTGGACTCGGATCTGTTGGATGGATGTCCAGATACATACCTAGGTACTAAGTATGTATTCCACCGCGAACGTGGGCCTGTGTCGGTGCACACATGTGCATGGGTATCAAGACCACCGCCAGACGGATCCACAACTGGCAATAGCCACAGATCGAGCTCGATTCCGACGTGGGGCCACCTTAGGAGCCTTACCTTACAGGATGGCCATCCCAGTTGCTGCACGAAGACGACCGTGGTAGCGCCCCTGCAAACAGCTTTTTTGCGTCCACACGTTGGCATCCTGTCCTCTCTGCCTCGTGAAAGCTTTGCACCCTAGGGCAGCTCGTATCGCAGCAATGCACGCAACAATGCACGAACAGCTAGTTAATGGTTACTGTCGAGTGGCAGCTGCTCAATCCAGTAAGGAGGGTTGAGATATTTGAAAAGGTATGCCATCTACCTAGGTACCTAGGCAATTATGCCACCTGGCCGTTGCACTCAATTGTTTGAAGTCTCCCGGGGGCTTCTGCGTGGTTCCTGATGGTGCAGCTCGGTCGAGGTTCGATTGGTCGCCTTATTTGTGCACCTGCATTTATGTAGCTCGTGGACTCGGCGACTTCCAGTGGGATTGGTGCTTTGAAAGTGGCAGCTGTGCGCCACAACCTCCTTTGGCGGGCTAGGGGCTCTGGAATTCAAGATCAGCAGCTACCTCATCTTCACTGAGGGAAGTTATACGAGCATGTGCCAGTAAAGTTCATGATGAGTCCCGCCTTTGAAGCTGTCCAGACTAGGGTGAGGTATTTGTGCCTCGCTTTTCCTATTGTTCTCTGTCCAGTCGCAAGTGCGAGAAGGCAACAACAAGGCAAGCTCGTGGCCATCCCCGCACAATCTCAGGTGTCCAGCTATGATGGGGGACAGGAGTCGCGAAGCTCGGGTGATAGGCGCCTGCAGGAACACTTGTCACCCTATTTTGACGGGGCCAGGGTCAGCACCCGCCAAGGATGATGACTGACGACACCACGGGTGTGCTGGCCCGGGCCTCTCGTAAGCTATCCCGCAAGCTTCATTGATGCAGTGTGCCGTCGACATGGAATTCGGATCATTTTGCACAGCGAGTGAGCGGAATAATTTAGTGCCATTCTTATACTTCTGAGAGTTTCCTTATCTATACCTTCCCGCACAACCCCTAAGTACGGCTATCTAAAAAGCTATGTTCTGACATGGGCGGCCTTATTCTAACCACCTACCTTTTACTATAAACCACTGTAAAGCTACTTTTCAAGCCCATCGGGGGCTGTAACTTGAAATGTGTATTCACGTTAAGATACACAACCCATATCGAAAATTCCTAAATTTTCTTTTTCTTCTTCTGGAAAGTACCAGCGTGGTCGGACAAACTCCTGTCGTGAGGACAGCATTCTCGATCTTGCCCTGGCAACCTTGGAAAGACCACCCGGCTGGCTCACCTTTCTTCGCTCAGACCTTAACACCGGATTCCTTTTGTAGATGAGAAAGCACGTGGCTGCATACTATAACCCATTGTGGGATCTAAACTCGATTGACTGGAGTATGGTCAGAAGAACATGGAAAGACCGGCTCGTACCTAGCGTATTTGATGGTTTTCAATGTCCATTGCGGCAGTCCGAATAATGTCTCAGTCTCTGTTCAGGGTTGTCAGTAGTTGTTCTACTAAGACCGATGGATGGCCAAATCAGAAAACCAAGCTTTGAAGCGTAAATGAATAAGATTTGAGCTCCCGAACAAGTAACACCGACAAGTGTGCACTCAGACAAACGCCTATATAGTCTGTTTCAATCCTCATCAAGTGAAAAAGGCCAACTCTGTACTACTCAGCACCGTAGTACCTAGGAAGAAACATCAGAATGGATCACCGCCCTACAGCGAACCCATTCCCGTCCCACAATCCATTACCCCGACTCAGATGGAACCTACTGAGATAGGAGGCTACCCGGTCACTGTCATTGCCACTGCCACAGCTACGAGTCCTCGCGCCCGCCCCCTATCCTCTATGTGCACCAGCCCAACCTTACTTGTTTGTCTCAAACTGAGAGCCTATACAAAGAAGGTCTAGCTTCATACGGTATTCCTTCTTTTCATTCCCATATCTATCCCCTTGTACTTGCTGACCCTGAGGAGGGCTCCGCGTACTACTGGTAGTCGAGCCTTGCTGGCAGGCCGTGCTGGTATGGTTACTTGAGGAGGGCTGGCTGGGAGTGCATGCTATGTTAGCTGATGATCAAGCCTTGGTGTGAAGCGAGGGACGAAGTGGGTGGAGATGCTTCAATGTCTTACACAGTCGATTTCGAGGTGGGGGACGTGTTGTAAGTGTGCGGCATTTTGAAATAAGAGCGCACAGTCCTTGACAGCGTCAGACATTCGGAATGGATGGTAAGGCCCGGCTCAACCGTGGGATACGGGACGACAATATCTTGAAAGGAGTGTTGACCAAGTGGGCGAGAATCAAATAGTCGGAGGCAACGGCTGACCGTCAAAGTGCCTTGGCTGTACAGGTAGACCAAGAGCCCAGGGAACACACCCAAGGTTCAGGGTATGTGATGTAATATAGACGGCAATGATCAAGTCTTCAAACCACACCCTATCTGGGCAGTAGGGTGGATTTCAGTGGGTTGGTATGGGTGAGCTGGAGAGGGTGCTCAAGGGATTGAACGCTGGCGAGAAATAGCAGGGGAAACAAGACGGTGATTCGACTTCAGGAGGACAGCCTATACAACAATGGCCCAGGGGATGTGAGCATTTACTCGGTATGAGCTTGCAGAAAGACGATGGAAGTGGAGGAGCTGGTCGAGGCTGGCACAACAGAGTTGAATGGGCTATGAGTTGACAGTCCATGGTCTAAGCGTGGGAATGTTCAATATTTTATATCCAACAAGGAGGAGACACAGGTTTGGGGGGATGTCCCAAGTCGAAATACAATTACGCTCTATCCTAAGTTTTCAGTTCCTATGCAGCCGCTGAGTAGGGCCAGCTCATCTCTTGGAGTGGCCGACTGATACGGTAAAAGTAGGCCCAGCCCCTGGGATCCAAGGCTGACAGCGGAGCCACGGGATGGGGGTGTGGGAACATGAGCCTCCTAGCAGTTCATGTTCCTTGGCGACATGCGACCCGCCAATCAGGCACTGGCAGCTAGCCAAACTGGAGGGTCGAGCGCCGGGATTACCCTACTATGTAGTACGATCGGCGTGGTCGACTCCATGAACGATGGATGGAACGTGCATTGGGGGCGGGAAGTTAAAACAAGCTCCTCGCAAGTGACCTTCGGGGAGCTATCACTTCTCACCTAGGGACCAAGCAGGTACCTAGGTACCCTCTTGGCGGGCATTCACGCATGTCATCCACCCATGACAGCCTCATATGCGCTCCGCGGCTCATGTCCAGATGTCCTGCCCTGTAATCGTGGGATACTCGTAGCGCAGCGCGGTTGGAAAGCATGAGGCGTCTAAGTAGACCATCCGAGGAATTCCACCGCCATGATATTATTGGGCATCACCTGATTGTTGCAAGTCTCCTGTACGGGAGTTGGTGGTGAAGCTCGGTCGAGGTTCAGTCAGGTGTCGCGTCTTGTTGTATGTCCACATCGTAAATCCGAATGATGCTCCCTGCATGTTCAATGTTTCTAGTGTAGCATCTATGGATTCCGCTCGCGCCAAGCAGGGCCCAGCCAGGCGGATTGTTACCTTCATGTGGGTCATCCTCGAATTTCCTACAGCACATCCCGGTCTCCATTGCAAGGGTAGCACCCGACGACAGTTAACAGAAGATATTCGATATTCACACGTTGGTCTCGACGTATACCCCTGGTAAGTAGGCCCGCACGGGCCACCCTGCAGCTTCAAGTGTGCCTCGATCTCGATTCTCGAGTCACATCCATGGATTGTACAGCGAACGAGCAGCATTGTTTTCAAGGGTGCCAGGTGTTGAATTCCTTACGACGTTTCCTCATACCTGCCCACACAATTACCAGGTATCTGAAAAGCCACATTCTTACCGTCTGCGATCTCACGCACGCAGGCTGTGTGTGAGTCAAGGCTCCGTCCGGCTGGTGCCTAATATTGACAGCAGCCAACAACAACGTTTACCTCGGGCCATTACAGGCGGCTCAGACTTGACATTGGAAGTCAACCGACCTTGCTACCAATTTTCCAACGTCTTAACAACACTAATAAGGATCTTGCGTTGTCTCTCAGGCGGCTCGCATGCTGCATGAGCCCCGAACCACCACCCGAACCTGCTCATCGAGTTGCGTGTCCAACCTTGGAAGGACGGCGTCAACAAGGCCAACAACCCAGTCATCCACGCGGAGCCGGTCACCAAACGACACTGTTCCTGCGCATACACAAGACGCCGACCGCACTGTGACGACTTCTACCCACGCATCTACCATGCATGATGCCGACGAACAAGACCCCGCCTGTAGTAGCGCGCCATGTGTCTCGACGACTCCCGAGAGGATCACCCTTGCAGCGTCAGAACAAGAGGGTCCGCCGGACGGGACTGCAGAAGTCGTGCCTTGCGCACTTGAAAGTCTGCCCGTTGAGATTCAGACTCGCATCCTGGCCGGGTCGTCTCTGGACTCGCTCCATGCCATCATCAGAAGCTCACCACGGTTTTACTACGTCTACTCCGAGAACCGCCTTCCCATACTCAGGAAGGTCTTGAATCGTGCTGTTGATGATTTTTTTCCGGAAGCTCGCGCTGCCTGTGCGTTGGGTGGTTTTTTTGAGGCTACAGATAATATGGCTGCAGATGCGGCTGAGGCCTGGAAGCACTTCAGCCGTGGATGTCTTGGAAATCCCATTCCCCCTCCACCTCCCATCGACGACCTATCTCTTGAGATAATACAGCAGATGGCCCGCTTCCACCTTCGCGTGGTGGAGCCTTTGACTGAGCATTACTCTCGCTGGGCCCTCGGCGCACTATCGTCCTCTCCGCAGGCTGCTCCATTGACAAGGACCGAGAAGTCCCGTATCCAACGCGCCTTGTATCGATTGCAGGTGCTTTCCAAGCAAAACCTGGAAGCATGGGACCCACCAGATGTATTGGATTACCTCGACTCATTTGGCCCCTGGGCAACTGAGCAGATAATTTGTGTGCACGAGTTCGCCAAGGAAAGATTATCGAGCGCTTTCATTGAGTGCGCGTGGGAGCTAAATGGAGACGAGAACCCTAATAGTAGATACCGCCACGCTATGCTCGATATCAAGCAGGGGTGCTTACCTCTCTATCGTAACGAGCGTACGTCTTTCACCAAATGTGTCGCCGCCCACATTTCAGACTCTTTGTTGACATGTGATCTGCAGGTCTCAATGTTTGCACCCTCCTCGACCTCCTTACCGCAGGGTTGTCAGTCTTGCAGAAAATATTCCAGGCTCAGGGTTTCAACAAGCTTTGTGACGTACTCATACAGAACGTGCGCCGTCATGGCGGAGATACGCGCATGCTCCCAGGGTTCGAATCCACGTGGATCGATGAATCTGGTAAGTACAACCGTATTCAATGCTTCCTCTGCCGTCCCTGCTATCACTGTGCGACTCTCCCTTTCTTCCATATTCCACTTCGTGATACAGGAAAATGGGAAATAACTCAAATAATGGGTAATGCCTAGTCGACGAAGACCAACAATTCGAAAGAGACCTCATAGAAGACTGGTTCTGCGAACATAACGACCTGCAGAACACTCAACAAGAAATGCTATTTGAGCATGACGACTTGTTGTCGCCTCCCCTGGCGTGGGTAGCTTTCTGGAACGGCCGGTATAGCAACCTGATTGGCGCTTATATCCCCAAAGCGCTGCAACGCTGGGGATATGTTATGTGGGACGCCACGCGGCTGAAGGAGTCAGGAGCGATGGAGTATATCGAGTTGGAGTGGCAATGCAAATACGGTGTTCGAGGTTCACTTGAGGAAAAGGATCCGAGAGACTATTATATCACGGCATACCAGCAACGATTGGGAAATAATGGTTAGAACTGGTTTGTATACATCTTTAAGACTACGCCTGGAGGGAGAAATCACCTTTTTCTTTTTTAGGAGTTAGTAGTCTATTCATCAGAATGAGCCACTCCGTGAGCCCATGTGTTGACTAGAAAATTTGATATCTTTCCAACACAATGGACATACCGGTACGTACCTAGGTACAGTAGCCCAAGGGTCCGCAAGGTGATCAGATACCCGCGCAAGGGCCATCATTTATGAAGCTGTATAATTTCAATGGACTTGGACTATGCTATTGTTGGTTGGGTACGAGTATTATCACGCCTCGTCACTACACGGGTAAGAAGGACGGATTTGTGGGTTGTTCTAAGGGTCTTTGAGTGAGAAAATGGTTGATCCTGTAACGCAGATCGTTGGCTCCCTTGACTGTCGTGAACTCATGTACATTGATGCTTGCCTGTATACCAACTGTCAGGGCGCCTCTATGGGCTCAATCCCAACGTTCACCAGCGTTGTGGAAGAGGCAGGCCGTCATGGCAACAACTAGGTGCTGCCATTATCCAGAGATCAGCAATGCAGAAGTGTCCAGAAAGTCATACGTTTTGACAGATGCGTAGGCCTCGTTCAACTAGCCTAAGATATACAGTGGTGATACCTAGGTATGGGACTCTTTAGTGATATGAGTAAATACACTTTATTAGAAAAAGTTCAAAGTCTGTCTTGATCAACCATATCTATCTACCCGCCTCTAACAATCACAAATGTTAGGATCGCAGCCTCCTCCGCATGCAGTGCCACAGCCCTTCACAAAAGTCGGTGTCTGAATGTTGATCTGCAGCTGCCCGGCATGATTGCTGCTCCCATCTATCGTCTTGCTGATCTGGTACGTTGCCCACTGGAACGTATTATTGTGGCCCCACACGTCGTACACATCCTCCTTGATTGCAGTCCACACATTTGAAATATCCGCGCCCGTATCAACCCAGGTGGCAGTCGTGTTTGGGGTCACAGACGTGTAGATCAGGTAGAAAGAGAAAGTCCCTGCATCCGGGTAGGACAGGTATAAGGCGCCGTAACCCGATACATTCCCGCCCCCTGGTGTGCCATCATTGTACCTTCACGAAAAAGTCAATTTCAACTGGATTTGTAGTTGTGTCCAGGTCGGCACGTGCGGGACCCACTCACAGTCGTGGAAAGATGCCGTCGAACTGGTCCAAGCTTGTTTCGAGGTCTGCGGTTGGAAGGTCGGGGCACTGCGCCGTTGTGCCGTCTGAGGACCACGTGTAGAAAGTCCCGGCCTCGGCCCCGGCGACTGTTCCGGAAGATCTCTTGGTAGGGCGGTGGGCATGACCTTGCCCAAGTACCGAGGCAGAAGCTAGGGAGGCAGCTGAGACCGCCAATGTCAAGACCATAGAGAACGTCAAAGCTTTTGTAGTTGTTTTGATGTTTTCAAACTTAGAACGAAGTGATCGTGGACGGGGCTGCGAACAGTATTTCGGAGTCTTCAATGAACAGCTGAAAAGGGGCCCTGGAAACCTTTTATAGAAAGAATCCAGTCTCCTGAGCATGCTACATGGCTGTAGCCTACCCGCCTTCTCGGTTCCGTTCTAGTCCCCGTATTTGTATTCAACGCAGTAGATCGCGCTTGCGTTTAGGCACGTTCATCCTTCGGGCCTCACGATAACCAATCAGAGGCGCAATCCAGCAGTGTTCACGGAGAATTAATCATCTGAACACCGGGCGGCCGGGACTCGGCAGAAGAGCAATGGTGCTCCCGCGCTCTAGCCCCCTGGGCCTGGACGGAGTACAGTAGTGTAATACGAGAAAAATGGCTGCCGGCTTGGGGATCTGCAGTCGCACCAGGTGAAAATGCTTGCCTCTGGTGCTAGGCTAGCCTTAGATACCCCTCGCTTAGATGCGCCGTCGTCAACGGGTAAGCACTACGCAATGTTCTCCGGGACCAGGCCAGGGACGGGACGCGAGGGACGGATGCCTTGGCCGAAGCTTAAAACTTTTTACGCCAAACGCTTGCGGCTCACGTACATGGGATGACAAACGTCGTTGTTAGCCGCACAGCTCAGTCTGGCTTCCACGGAACTGTCCGCTGTGGAGTATATCAGCACTAGAATGGCTGCCCCGGTCGCCAGCCATAAATGAGAACGCACCCCCGGCACTGATATCGGAGTACAGGCGGGGGCGAGATGTGGTGTCATCTGTGAGGAAACGATTTGCTTTTATACCTTTCCTTGTTTCTTTCATGTTTTGCACCCTTCGGTAAGGACTGGACAAGGCGGTGACCTGAACGGTGCATATAGATTTTCTGCGGCCCCTCAAGTGCTAGTACCAGTTGATATTCCGGCAGACCACAACACCATTGCAGGGGCTGCAAGAATTGATCGAAATGATTTTGTCGGAAGATGCTGAGAGAGGGGGGGCTATTCGTCAAGAGCGATATATAGCTCTTGTGAATCAAAACCCATTGACGGAAAAAATGTCATTTGCTACCATGCTGGTCTCTCGACCGACACGTCAAGACCGGAATAAATACCTGGCAGCATGATCTCCACTAGGCCCGCTGAATCAAAACACCTTTACCAAAAGATTACTGTGTGGCGGCAGCCCTGGACTCTCGATTCCAAAACAATGCCTGAACTGATTGCCCTGTGTCATGTCGTCTATGGTTCTTACTCATCGTGAGTGTCTGTTTAACCCCGGACTTTCTCACCTATAATTAGAGTTTGAGCCGTACCACTGTATGAAGGCGCCACATCCATTTTACATGTATGGGGATCAAAAACGAAACCACTCGGAATTTGGGCCCAAGGCGCTGTTGAAGAACTGATATTTGGACTTTACTAAGTCTATTACTTTTGTTGACTGTACGCAAAAATGGAGGCAGTTTACAAAAGAGATGCCAGCATGACTGGGTAGCCTCAGTCATATGGGCATTGGACGGAATCATCGACCAGGCATTTCCGGGGTGATGAACAGCAGCTGTCACCTAAGTAGCAAATAGGTTTTGGCAGAAAATGCTAGGGCAAAGTGACAGTTAGTCGACTATTTATGCTCTCTCGTAGCTCCAGTCGGTTCGATGGGGTGTTATATACCTAATTAGGTCCAATATGCAGAGTGTAATGCACGACGAGTCCAGATTTCGCCACACCAGATCCCTCAGGGCGATAACGCTACCTACTCAAAAAGGAAAGCTCCCGACCAAGTGTTGACAAATGTTGAGATATCTTGGTCGGCCTTGAAAGTCTTTTGGCTTCGTAGGAACCAAATGACATGCGTGAGCCTCAGACATGGAAACTGGCAGTCTCAGGCAGAGTGGGTGAATTGATGCGGTTGGACAATTCAGCTGCATGTGAGGAGCCACTGCTTGCTACAGGTAGCCCTGGCCTCAACAGTAGGTAGCAAACGTCACACGAACTCGGCATGGATTAACACAGATCGCTTTGGGTACACAAAGCTACAATTGATATCTCAAGATAGTCTATCGAAACTTCTGAGACGCGAGTGAGGAGTCATGGGGGCTCGCTCCTGCGCTTCCTGGCTACGCAACGTCTCATTTCCCCTCAATAGATGGACTGGCAATAGAGTGGAGCATTCTCTTTACTTGGGTTGATGGGCTTCTCCTCAAGTGCTCTTACTCTTCGATTCTTCATGTAGTTTCACTTACTATGGATCCTATTATATCTTGGCAACTGCATGGGATAGAACAGTATTCATTACCTTCTTATATCCCAACCGGATCTGTGGAGACAATCATCGGGATACCCCGGACCGGAGTTCCTCCCCCGTGTCCGAGAATCACTTCCTAATTGTGCCACGTGTATATGAGATGTATCGGGATGATCATGCCCGCACATGTGGTGGGCCGTGCCGACACCCGGGAGGTGGATGAACATGTAATATCCTAATAAGGTAGCGATCGACTCCGGCCCGGACCACCGGTCACACCTGGGTGTCCGTACCGGCCCAGGCACAGTCAACTCGCTGTCACAATCGAAACCTTGAGAAATCTCCCAGAAAGAAGGGGCGGGGATCATCCTGTGGTTTTTAAAATAATAATTTTGAGATGTGACGTGACAAACCAGTCCCGGACACCTCTTCCACAGCTATCTGGCCAGGTGCGCTGCCAACTTCCTAATACGCCTTCAACTGCACGAGGACCACAAAATTTCCGTGCCAATCATTCATATCTTCACTCTGCGGCTTGTAATGCCACTCCTTAATTCGGATGATGGAGCACACCCTCTTCAACATGAGACCAACCCTTGCCTTGTACTTGTATGGTCTGGCATCAATGGCGGTTGCTGGAGTCGCAACCACGCTCGACTGTAGCCTTGCGTCCCTCCACACCATCATTCCCGAAAATGCAACTCTCAACTATGTTGAGAAGCTGTCAGAAGGTTCCGCGTTTGGCGACGAAAATCAGCTGCCCCTGACCGGTCGCGACCTGCCTCCGGGCTGCGCCGTGGGCTACTCCGTGCCGTCGTCTGCGAACTCTACGCTGAGAATAGCGCTCCTGCTTCCGACCGATTGGAACGGTCGCTTCATGGCGAGTGGCGGCAGTGGATTTAGTGGGCACACCTCGTGGTCAGATATGGGCTTTTATGGTCACTATGGCTTTGCCTCCATGTCGACCAACCAGGGCCATACCTCCTACGGCCTGGACGCGGACTGGGCCATGAACAATCCAGAAGCAATCATTGATTGGGCTCACCGCGGTATCCACCTGGCGGCACAGAATTCCAAAGAAATTGTCGAGCAGTATTATGGCTCGAACATTGAGTACTCTTACTACACCGGATGCTCGACAGGTGGACGTCAGGGTCTCAAGCTGGTCGACCTGTACCCGGAAGATTTTGACGGTGCCCTCATCGGAAGCCCCGCGTGGAGCATGGTGCGACTCGCAGGATGGGTTACGAAGCTCGGAATCTGGAACCTGCCCGCAGACGACCCAAGCCACATCCCGGCTTCGCTGTTGAACCTTGTGGCCATGGAGCAGATCAAGCTGTGTGACCAAAGGGATGGCGTCGCCGACGGTATCGTCATGGATCCAACAATTTGTCGCCCATCACTGGCACACCTCTCTTGCAAGGACAACCAGACTGACAACTGCCTTACCGACCCGCAGTTCAAGACCCTTTCTCGCCTGTCGAGCGACTGGACCGACTCCAACGGTTCGCTGATCAAGCCGACATTCGACCCCGGTGCCGAATTCACCATCCTAGCTGGCGTCGACTCGGAACCAATCGAGCTTGCCACCTCTCTTTTCACGAACATGGTCTTCAACGACTCGCAGTGGGACTGGCGCACCCTGGACGAGGAGACTATCCAGCTTGCCGATGAGGTCAACCCCGGACAGATGGACGTCAGACAGCGCGACTTTTCCCCATTCAAGGACAGGGGAGGTAAATTGATCATGTACCACGGCTGGGCCGACCAGGCTATCCCCGCCCAGTCCAGCCTCCTCTTCCGCGACCGCATCAGCCAGACGATGGGCTCCGAGGAGGTGGATGAATTCTACAGACTCTACATGATGCCAGGCGTGCAGCACTGCGTTAGCTCCTACAACGACGCCCCGTGGAGCATTGGCGGCGTCGGCCAGGGCGACTTTAATTCACGGCATGAGGGGCCAGGGTACGTTGACGATGCTGAGCACAACGCGCTGCTGGCGCTGATGCGCTGGGTTGAGGAGGGTGACGCGCCTGGACATATTGTTGCTTCGAAATTTGTAAACAACTCTGTTGCACTTGGTGTGGTCGGTCAGAGACCACTGTGCGCATACCCTCAGAAAGCGGTCTACGTCGGCGGTGCTATCGACAAGACGGAGGGCTGGAAGTGTCAGTCTTAGTGTCATTGGATATAGAATTATCTATTGAGATGATGTTTTCTTCAAACCCAGATTGTCACTTCTTTATTAAGCGCGCATCGCCATCATCACCGGTACAATAGTTACCTTGTAACCAAGATTATTGCCGCCTTGCAACAAGTCTTCGAAACCGGCAGGCCAGCATACAAGGAACAAACCGTCATTAAAAAACAGCGGCATAGCCGATTTTCACTCTAGTTCGAATCATTTTACAATCTCCCATAGAATATGTTGCTCAAATCTATTCATTTGCCTGGCTGCTTCGTCCTCAGTGATCTAAAGCTTGACATCTTCTTTTCAATATCATGTTCTTCTCGCTATTTACCCTCCAACATTGAGAATTTAATGTAGTTAATTATCTTTGAGAATCCACTGTTAGACTTAGAATGGTGAGTCTAGAAACGATTTACAGCATCTTTAGAAGGCTCTTCTACCTACGGTCTGCATTAAATTATCATCCGAAGTCAACTTATCAACTTGAACCAACGGCTTTGCCTCACTGGGATGGTGACAAGCCTACTACGTTATGGGCTTTTTTTTCATCCGTCTTTGTACCCCTGTACTCCTAGTAGCTCTTGGACATGGATGGGAACTGTTCCGTCTGAAGTGCTACATTTCTCACAAGTCCCGACTTCAGGACCCGACGATTGAAGTGAGGAAGCCGAGGATGTAAGCAGGAACACATGTCAACATACAGATGCTTATTGCCTGATCTTGGGATTGTCTGTAGTAAGCTTATACTAGGTCATGTGCAAGTCTTTTGAAGATAATTCGGATTATCATGGATCCACTTTTGGTTGACCGGTCCGAAGGTGCATGTACCCCGCAGACGATCACTTCCGGGGTGCATATTGGCATTCTGGGGTGCAGATAGGTCCAAGTAGTGGAACATGAAGGGCTCCGGGAGGACGGTTCGCAGAGGGCGCTGACGAATCACACAACTCGGGAACCTTTCAAGGTTTGTTTGGTCTTGCAGCCTTCCGCAGTACGTTACCTGCGTATGCACACCTAGGTAGAGCCTCACCCAATTTCCGGGCCGGCCAAGACTTAGAGAATCTCCAGGCGCATACTCTGATATTGTATAAATTCAAGCATGCCTCAATTTTAAAGTCAAGAGGATGACTGCAAGACATCAGAATCTGCACACGGCATCGCCCAGGAGAAAAACTCGCCATTGTACCTCACGATGCACGCCACCATGATCCTCGCTCGCACTCTTCTGTTTCCCGTCTTCCTGGCCTCAGGGCTGCTCGGAGCTCTGGCCGCTCCCCTCGAAGATAGAGCTTCTGTCGAGGTGACGATTGCCAATGGCACCGTTGTCGGTGGCAGCGACGGAACCGTCGAGTACTTCAAGGGGATCCCGTTTGCCCAGGCTCCCGTGGGCCCCCTCCGATTCCAAAACCCTCGGCCCTACGGCGCGAATTTTGGACGTCTCGATGCTACAAAGTCATTTCCGGTCTGCATGCAGGGTGCCGATGCCAAAGGGTCTGAGGACTGCCTGAAGCTCATCGTCCTCCGCCCAGCCAACAGACCTGCTGCAAAGCTGCCAGTCGTGTTTTTCATCCACGGCGGCGCATTCTCTGCTGGCGGGGCAGAAGACGGGAATGACGGGACGCCTCTCGTCAAGGTATCCTCCCAGATCGGTGCGCCGGTCATTATTGTGTCCATTCAGTATCGCCTCGGTGCTCTGGGATTCTTGTCGGGCAAGGAAGTTGCCGCGACGGGACAGACAAATCTGGGGCTCCGCGACCAGAGACTGGCCCTGGAGTGGGTGCACGGTATGTCCATACCATCTAATGGGAGCCGTCCAGTTGAACTTTGTCAGTACGCGGGTGGAAGCCATTTCTAATATTGTAATCTCTAGAGAACATTGCGGCATTCGGCGGTGATCCCGACAAGGTCACCTTGTGGGGCTTCAGCGCGGGCAGCATGTCGTCGTTTGACCACACCATCATCAACGACGGCAACGCAAATGGGCTCTTCCGTGGGGTAATCCTCAGTTCGGGGTCACCCGTAAGTGCTCTGGACGTTACGTCGTCCAAGGCACAGGCAGAATACGACGCGGTCGTCAGCAAGGCCGGATGTTCACAGAGCTCCAACACGCTCGAGTGCCTGCGCAATCTCGAGGCCACTGCCTTTGTCAAGGCGGCCTCGTCCCTCCTGATGACCGGCCAGTGGAGGGGTGTCAACCTGCCTTACCTTCCCAGACCCGACCCATCCAACAACTTCTTCTCGAGAAGCGCCGACGTGGCCCTTTCCGAGGGCAAGTTCGCAAAGGTCCCCGTATTGACGGGCGACGTGGAGGATGAAGGGACGCTGTTTGCCCTGATCGTGACTGATGTCACCAATAACCAGCGCCTCATCGCCCATCTCAACAATTACTTTCCGGGACAGGAGCAGTCCGTCGCGGGGCTGGTCGCCACGTACCCAGACGACCTTGGTATCAGTGGCTCGCCTTACGGAACCGGCCTCTCGAACAACGCCTTCGGGCAGTACAAGCGACTGGCATCCATCTTCGGTGACATCATCTTCAACCTACAGCGCAGGTACCATCTTTCGGTGGTTTCATCGCAGGTGCCCTGCTGGTCATACCTCAACTCAGCCTTCAAGGGCACAGCCCTCCTGGGCTCCTTCCATGGCAGCGACGGCCTCAAGATGTTGAGCAGTGGAACCGACAGTGCGACCGTCACTCCGCAGCGGTACATTATCTCATTCATCAACAAGCTGGACCCGAACGCCCTCGGAAACGCGTCGCCCCTGATCAAATTCCCCCAGTACTCCACGGCCAACCCCCAGCTGGTGCATATCAATGCACAGTCCAACGAATTGATCAAGGACGACTTCCGTGCGAAGCAGTTCCAGTACTTTTCCGAAAACATATCCAAGTTCAGAATTTGAGAGGGCTAGCGTCGACGACAATCTTTCGAAGTACATAGGCTGTCCCTGTTTCTCCACTACTTTGCTTTCTTTCTTGTCCACATAATGCTCTTGCTACATAAATTGTGATGGATTGGAGTCTTGTACAGGCCAAGGCTACTACATATGTACTATCAGTACCTAGGTAGGAAGCTCATACCTGGTACAAGTTGCATGACAAGTTCCTTGTAGATAGCTCATTTTCTTACTACCCTTTTCGTCTAATTTGCTTTTGCTCGCTCAGAGTTCTGGTACACGTTTGTCCCAAAAAGTAAAAACAAGAAAACATCACATTTCTTTCTGTTGTCTATAGTGTCTATCAAAATAATCAATGAAACATAAGTGCCACCTCTCATTATACATCATTATCTTCGATTTATGCAACTTGGTCAGTACCCTCGTGCATGACTGACAACACTGTTGTCTTTAGAGTGTCAACCTTGGAAAGTGTATGGAAATTGACTGTTCATGCTCAGGAGTGATGCCAATGGAGGCAAGTTGTGTGCATCAGAGTTGGGGTACAACATATTATGTTGATCACCTTCTGTAGTACTTGACGCCTCTCTCTAGGTATGGTCTTAGATGCCAATAAGAAGCTAATGGCGCACCTCAGTCTGTCCAACCGTATGTACTGTCTACTCATGCCATTGAGCGTCTGGCCTGGCCCAGTGTCATGTCCAAATTGAAGAATTATATGGTATGTGGAGGCACTTCTCTGCATCGAATTTGACTTGGACTGCATGTCCAGGTGATCTATCATTGTATTTTGACAGACCTGGAGAATTTGCTTGCACATTCCGATCAACCAGCATAGCAAGTCGAGGCTAGTGTGGTCGCCTCCCCCTTTTCCTATCCTATGTTCCTCGGCTGAACTTCTCCAAGGTTATTGCCGGTGGAATATTGGAACAGTGACACATCTTGCCGTTCCCCACCCGGTCCGGACGTGCTTTTTCTCTCCGGGCCGTTAGTTTGGTCTGTAGCTTGGCTCCAGTCGGAATGTAACCTGACCTCGGGACACAACCCGTTGGGTGGAGGCCATCCTCCCAGGCCTCAGCGGGCCGACCCGGTTGTCTTACAGTGACAGCGGCCCGTTCTTTATTTTCCTGCGGGACTCGGAACGGCATCACCCTTGGCAAAAAATAGGACAGGGTATTTGACGGCCAGGATGCAACTTGTTTTGTTGGGGCGGCTGCCCCTGAATCCCGCCGCATCACTTGTCATCCAGACATGCCCACGATGCTTTCCGGATGGTATCTCGTTCTGCTGGGTTCTTTACCCGTGCAGTGTCTGTCCAATACTTCCAGCCGCGGGACCTTTGAGAATCCCGATGCAGTCACTCGTGCCTTCTTCCGTTACTGGTTTCCAGATGCCGGCGTTGATCCTGACCTCGTAGCTGCGGATATTGCCAGTGCGGGCGACATCGGCGCCGGCGGCGTCGAGTTCCTCCCATTCTACAACTATGGTGGCTGGACTGCGTCGTATCCCAAGGGCGCCGATTGGGGCACTTATGCATTCGGCACGGCTCCTTTCCTCAACATTTTCCGCCGGGCTTTGGAGGCTCATGCGGAAAATGATATGGTTATGGACTTCTCCATGGGACCAAATCAGGGACAGGGCGTACCGGCGCAGTCGGACGACGAAGGGCTGCAGTGGGATCTAGTAAGCTTGAGCCACATTGCTGAATTGACTGGGCCTGGGGTGACCTGGGCAAGGGATCTCCAGCGCTGAACAATCTGCTGACACGCATAGGTCCCGTTCGCAGCTCCCTGCACGGGAAATGGTACAGCAAAGATCCCAGGCTGGGGGTCAGGTGAACTCGTTGCTATCGTGACAGGCCTCGTCACAGAAGTCAAGAATGCCACAACTCTACCACCAGTCCTTGACCTTAAAGTGCAAGGGGGCTCTCTTCAAGTGGCTACGAAGCTCGTCACGGAAGCTGGAGTACTGCAAGCCGCTGCTTGTCCAGCAGTCTCAAACTCCGAGGCCTGGATATTCGCATTCTACCAGCGGAGGACGTTGATCAAGAACGTCTTGTTCCCTTTTCGTGATCCAAACGATATATTTCAGAACGGTTCTTACACAGTCGATCACTTTAGCGAGCGGGGTGCGCAAACAATCATTAACTTTTGGGAAAAGCACATCCTGGGTGACGGCGTGGACGAGTTGCTCGCCTCAGTCGGAAACTATGGTGAGTGTCATTCATGCAGACTTGTGGTCAGTTGACATGGAAATGGGCATATGTGCTCATATTTTCATTTACAGGGTGGGAAGACAGCTTGGAAATATTTTCCAACATGTCCTGGACTCCGGGACTCCCCGAACGGTTTCTGGCCGATCATGGGTACGAAATCCACCCCTTCCTGCCTCTACTCATGTGGGGCAACAACAATTTGGTGATGCAGACCTCGAACCCTGGGAAGGTCCGTGTCAAGCTTGATACCCCAGACGGTGGTGTTGGATATATCAACGCATATCGCGAGACGCTGCAGCATTGCTACAGAGACTACCTCAGCGCCCTGTCATCCTGGACCAACAGCCGCCTCGGCCTGGCCATGTCCGCCCAGCCTGCCTACAATATGCCCATGGACACCCTCTCGAGCGTCCCATTCGTTGATATTCCCGAGTGCGAGAGCCTAGGGTGGGAGGATAGCATCGACGGCTACCGCAGGTTCAGCGGCCCTGCTGCCTTGGCCAGTCAGCGCATCGTCTCGAACGAGATGGGCGCGACTTTGAAGCCGTTCCACCTGGCGATCCCCGACCTTCTAGCCTCGGTCAACCGAGCCTTTGCCGGCGGCGTGAATCGCATGGTCCTGCATGGACAGGCGTACGCGCACGACTACTACGAGACCACCTGGCCAGGCTACACACCGTGGCAGTATATCATCTCTGAGCCCTTTTCGGAAAAGTTTCCCATGTGGCGCCACGGGCTTGAAGAGGCTCTCGAATACCTCGCACGATCGCAACACGTCCTGCAGAGTGGTGTCCAGCGTGTAGACCTGGCGTTGTACTACAAGGCTTCGGCAAGCGAGTTCCTCACTAATTCTGTGGGGAACGGAACAGACTTGTTGGATTCCGGTGAGCCTCTGGCCCCAACTAGAGACGTATGAACCAGGATGACTAACATGCTTTTTTCCCACATCAGGTTACTCATATGCATACTTGTCTCCAGACAATTTCCAGCTACCAAGTGCCGTGGTCAGGCAAGGGCAGCTAGCGCCAGAGTCAGCTGCATTCAAGGCTCTCGTTATCACGAAGGCCGACGGAAACCTGACCCTGGAGGGCACTCACAAAATTATTGAATTTGCTGAGCAGGGCCTGCCGATACTGATCGAAGGGGAACCGGGGTACTACCCAATTGGTAGTGGATCGGACGCCCCTGCTCTTACAGAGCTTCTTGAGGACCTTTACAGCCTACCCAGCGTGCATCGATACTCTGAGGGGGGACTCCTCGAGGCTCTTGATGCTGCTAATGTGGTTCCACGAGTAACGACTAGCTTCAACAGCACCTTGCATACTGTCTGGCGTGAAGATTCAGATAACGACATCGGCTACTTGTTCATCTTCACAGATGGCAAATCCGCCTCAGGATCTGTGGAGGTCGATATCCAGGGGCGGACGCCCTATGTCATGGACGCATGGACGGGTGCAGTCACGGCGCTTTTCCATTACTCAGTTACTGGGGATGGTAAGCGTATCAATATTCCCCTCGATCTTGCGCCTGGGCAGACCGTCATTTACGGTTTTGCTGGTGGAGAGCTACCCGAGGTGGATGTACCGCCCTTCTCGGTCAGCAAGCTGCCAGAAGGTGTCCTCGGATACAGATACTCTCACTCTGAGGGACTTACACTCAGCCTAGGGACCGATTCGCACGCCGGTAACTCCACGCTGACATTGTCAGTTGGAAATCAAACCAGCTCGGTCCCAATCAGTGGTGGTAATCTGTCTCAGCCCGCCTTTGAGCTCACCGCGTGGACGCTGATCGCAGAGCACTGGGAAGCGCCCGAAAACATCTCGGATGGTGAGACTATCGCGGTGAAGAGGAACACGACGCACGAGCTTGTCACACCCCTCCCGGGCTGGATGGAGCTGGGGCCGGAGCTGGCCAACGCCTCGGGCATCGGATATTACTCCACCTCCTTCGACTGGAGCCTCGACTTGACCCACCATGGCGCCTATCTCGAGTTTCTTTCCCCGGCGCTCAACTACCTTCGAGTTTTTGTCAATGGTGAGCGGCTCTCGCCCGTGGACCCCACGCGACCCGTAGTCGACGTCAGTTCGGCTCTGCACGCCGGTCGCAATGAGGTCCTCGTCGTTGTGCCTGCCACTATGTGGAACTACATAAGGAGCATTCGATCGAAATTGGTCTCGTCTGGATTGAAGGCTGGGCCCTACGCAGAAGATGGGGATGACTCTACCTTTGGGGGACCCTATCCCCTGGCGCCGCCTTCGGAGAACGGCCTACTTGGCAGCGTTGTTGTTCAACCTTTTGAAAGCGTCAACGTGCCCATCCGAAGGCCTCGTTCCAGATTCGTCTAGTGTTACTTTCTATGCTCCCTTCTAGAAACTAGCTCGGGATAATTTTATCTACATTACCCATTGTCAGACCAGTTGACGTTCATGGACGAGCAGAGTCGCGACTTGACTTTATCACATCCTCGTGGTGAGAAGGGCCCAATGTCGGGCCATGTGCCCGTCGAGTCTGTTTCATACCACAGGGGTATATCTACGCCCCATTGTTCGTCTCGATTGTCTGGCAAGGTCTCACCAAGTATATAATGTTAGATAAATCGAAATATCTCTACCAGTACTGAGACATCATGGGCCACAAACGTGATACCGACTAAAGGAAAGGGCTGTTAAAATGACCACATGGCTTCGGTACTTATCTTCCTTACTGCATCTCCTGTAACTTCAGGTCCTACAATAGGGCAAGGGAGTCTGACGATTTGTTCTTTTTAAATTGAGTTAATAATTGTGAGGCGGTATACCGTTTGCATAAAGAGGATAGCCGGCCGGGAGCCCATCGCAGTGTCGCAAGCCAGTTAGTCCCGGCGTCTGTAAGCCATGTCCGGGGACAGGTATTGCAGTACTTCTATCGATTTATATGGTCCGTCTGTATCCTTCCCCATTCAATTACTACTGGGTTGTAGCAGAAGCACTGGAAGTAAATAATACTCATGGGTACCTAGGTATCTACAGTGTGTAAACGTGCCAATTTCTACGCATATGCCTACATTCTGAATCTGTTTACAACATCAGTACCCAACTCCTTGGTATTTCTGATTCAGTTTCTAGAAGCCGATCCCAACAGGAGGTTTCCTGGGGAAAATCTCCTGACGAGCGAGTTGTTTCTGGAAGGAGTGAATATCTTTATGCGTGTGTGTTGGTAACCTCGATATAGACATGTATGAGCTTTCCTCGAGGTTCCAGTCCCTGAGGATAAATTCTTGGTGCTAACAATAGCATACGATGGATTGAAGTCTCTTACTGGGGAGCCTAGAGATTCTAGACATCAGCAAGATTCTAAAGCTGATCCTTGACACCAATACACAGGGATATAGTATTCCTGCACAGAATCAGAATGGACTAGTTACCACACTCGAAGAGCCTTGTGGATATAATCTAGAATAGAGCGCATCCATGGTAGAAGTCTCAAGTTGTCGCAGGATCACCACTGCGTGCTTATGGCAAGAATGACATCACTTTTGCACTTGAATACACTGGTGCAATCCGCAACACAAGCCCACGACGCACTTCCGAAAATTACTCATGGTGCTTTGTCAAGACTACATAGGTAAGAAGAACAATGTTTCTTACTATGTGAGATCATGCATGAACATTTCTGTAAGAACCTCAAACTCTGGCGGCAAATGGAATCACTGTTCGGTTGATTGGGTGCTGTATAAGTACCTAATTGGTGTATATATGGAATCGTATTGCACACATCGCTAAGAAACCCTCTTATGCTGTCCATGGATGGCTCTGCGGCTCAAAGTCTCATTGTGGCCAATGAAAACAGACCCAGAAAGTGGAAAGGAGCGACTGCTGGGGCCGACGAAAATAGAATAGTTCCCAGACTGGAGATTCCATTTTTGCGCCACAACATCCCACACGCTGAGATCCCTGCGCGTCAGCTGGAACATGACACTGGCCGTCTCTCCGGCTGTGATCTCTGGCTTTTCCACACCGCGCAGCTGCCTCGCCGGGGCGCCGGGGATGCCGACGTATAGCTGTGCGACTTCTGAGCCGTCCACGGCTCCTGTGTTCTTGACGTCGGCGGTGACAACCGCAACGGGATCCCATAGGTCGACATGACCACCTTGCATGATGGGCCCCTGTGGGTATGGGTTGCTGTGGTTCCCAGTAGCGCGTATGTGCATATTACTGTAAGTAAAGTTGGTGTAGCTCATGCCGAAGCCGAATTCATAGCGGGGCTCGATGCCTGCCTTGTCAAAGCGTCGATAGTCGATGTAGACGCCTTCGTCGAAGTCACTCTGGGGGAATGTGGTATAATCTCCTTCAGGGTACGTTGGATCCAAGAGGTGACCATAATCACTCTCATTCTTAGCCACAGTGTACGGTAGCTTCCCCGAAAAGTTTTCATCGCCATAAAGGAGAGAAACGATGGCTTTGCCTGCATACTGCCCGCCAAGGTGGCCCAGGACGACGGCAGTGACGTTGGGGTGATCGATCCACTGGTCCACGAGGCGCACTCCAGCATTTTGGATGCTGACGATGGTGTTGGAACACTTTGAAGCAACGCTGAGGATAAGACCGTCTGTGTAATCATCACGGAGTCCCGGCCGGTCCATGGTTTCAGTAGCATAAGCATTGACAAAGACCAGGCAGGCATCACTAACCCCTAAGACCTCGGGCTCGCCAGACTTGAAGTCCCAAAAGATCTGTGTGTCGTCTTCTTCGGCGCGCTGTAACAGGGCATTGAAGGGGGACATGAATGTGGCGATCGATGTTGCGCCGGAGCCACCGCCAGACACGATGGCGCCGCCCCGCGCGGGTCCAGTTACGTTCGGGTACACACCGGCAAGGGCCGAAGTGACTCCCTCGCGAAGTTCTGTAGTATTCGTCGGCTGGAAACCGAAGGTCCAAGCCGAAGGGTTGCCAACCATATTGGTTTCCCAGTCCTTGGCGCCGTACCCTAACACGGACAGGGCCCGTGGTTGTCTGAGAGGGAGGGCATTGTTGATGTTCTTGACGAGGACGTGACCCTCAACTGCTGACTGAAAGAGCACGGGCTTGTCTGACTTCTTCCGTCCTTCCACGATCTCGTGGGGAATTGCCAGATTCATGGGTATGCCCACGCCCGCAGCGGGATAATCCACATCCTGACCCATTTTGTACCAAGACGCCAATATCCTGCGATGGATTTCCATGTCAGTAGGGGAAACTTCCGGCTCGGTCGCCCCTCAGGAACCCTTTGTCAGAAGGTGTGAAAATGCTGAAACCTCACCTGACAACCATATCCGTCACTCGCTGCTCAGGGACAGACCCGTTATTAACCGCCTCAGTGAGATTATCACCGAAGAACGCCGCAGGAAGGGGCATAATCATATCCAAGCCTGCCAGAGCAGAACCAACACCAGAGTGAGCAGCAAGCCAATCCGTTACAACGAATCCCTGGACATTTGAAAAGGTCCTCTCTTAGCACGCATCCATTATCACAGAATACGGAAGCGGGCGTAGGGGATGCTACCTCCACTTACCTGAAATCCGAGCTCCTCCTTGAGCAACCCATTCAGGGCTTTGCTGTTTTGGCATCCATACGAGTTGTTCAGCCGCTGGTAGGAGCACATGATAGAACCAGATCCCGCATGAACGGCGTCTTGAAAAGGCCTTGATATTGTATCTTGTCAGTATTAACGGTTTCGTTAGGAGAATTTTAGATGTTTCGGTGAGGCGCGTACCAGAGATAGAGCTCATGCATCGTGACGTCGTCAATATTGGATGAAACAGCCTGACGCGCCTTGGTGGGCATTCGGTCCACCTCTTGCTCATTCCCAATATAATGCTACATGGATAACGAGGCGTCAGTAACTTTCCTGTCACCTGGAGGGGCTAGAACTCTCGCCTTAGTGCTCGCGATGACCCCCGCGTCTTGTGTGCCAGCAACCAGCTCGTGGACGAGCACGCCGCTGAGGTACGGATCCGGAGAGATCCCTAATATCCCCAGATCAGTAACTTGTCACGACAAGAGAATATGGGTCCCGAGCTTACCTTCCCAGTTACGACCTCCCCTCACCACTCTGCCTATGGGGCCAACGACGGGACCCAGCATGACTTGAACGCCCTTGCGTCTGAATTCGCCCCCCATGGCGAGCGCCCGTTTATATGCGAGCGCCTTGTTCCAACTGGATTTAATTGCTCTCAATGTTAGTGTGTGGGAATAGCATGAGATCGGGAAAACCCAACTCACCTGGCGCCAATATGAATCCCGCTGGGCCATGAGTTGACGAAATCGGCGTTGCGAACTCCTTGCCCGGCGTCATGAAGACACAGCCCGGGAAAGCTGACACGCTCTACCGGCGCGATCATGCCAGAGCAGCCAGTGTCGACCTCAACACCGGCCGTCAGTGATACCTGGTATTTTCGGTCATCATCAGTAGCTGATCCTTTCTCCCTAGACTCTGCTAGCCTCGTTAGTAGGTGAAGTTGGCTTTTACTTACCTTCTCTTCCAAGGTCATGCGTGAGACCAATTCCCTCGCTTTATAAATGGCTTCTTCCCAGTCGCCATGCGCAAGTGTCTCAGCTACATTATCATCATATCATTAGAAAGTGGCACCGAGGGCTTGACTAGCGGGCTATCCCTACGCGACGGGTATACAGGCGGCGACTGTCCATAGAAGTGTGTGTCATCCGTGACCACAGCCTGAGACCCGGTAGTAAAGACAGCCAGCCCGACGAGGGCGGCAGCGAGGGCAAAAGAAGTCCCAGCAACCATTGTTTCTCGTGCTTTCGAGTCTTTACAGTCGTCTGTGATTGAGTTACGGTGAGAGATTGACCTGTTCAGAAGTGGAATCCCGAACTGTGGACTAGAAAACAAAATACTCCTGACAGCAGTGGCGATGACACCAGGCTACAAAACTTTCGCTCCGATGCAGTGGTTGCCAGTTTACTAAACTTTAAGTGTTCACAATAGAAAATCTATCAATATCCAACTACACAGGTACCTATGTAAGTCCTTCTTTGCCTTGAGCTCAATACCTATGGACGCCATCATACCCAAACGGCAAAGGTCCCGAAAGCCCCCTCTCCGGCCCGAACAACAGCGACCATCTGGGCAGGTAGCTCGGAAAGGCAACTTGGCGATCGACTCCGGTACGGGATATCTTTTTACGTCATTCACCGTTTACAGCATGTGAAAGCTGTTTTTGTGTTTTATCCTGGTAACGCAACATACTTGGACTTTTTCTTCCGTAGCTCCATCTAATTTATGTCTCTATACTGACTCGCACACAACAGAACTAGAACATGAACAAATCAAGCCATATTATTTACATGCAGACTTATATGTGTTAATGTTTGTGCAGAAAGTGGGCTTATTTTCTTTCATGGACCAAGTACTCCTTCAATTCCTGGTTTGTCTCACTTCGCGTTCTGAATATTGAGGCAACAAGCGTATTGAGATCACTTGTTGGACACCAGGCGGGTCTATGAAAACACATCACACCTGATAGTACCGCCTCCACTTATGTTCTTCCTCAAAGCCCAGCAGTAGGCGCATTTTGTGATTACTGATTGGCGCCTCGCGTGCTCCAATATCCCTGGTGAAAGGCGTGCCGGGACATTGGTCCCTGAGAAACTCTCCGGTATCCCTCGTGTTTGTGATCTCGTTGTTGACGGCGTTGAACACCTGAAAACCAAGCCCGTCTCCTTGGATTCCTAGAGCACACATGCGGCCAAGATCACGTGCGTCCGTGTATGACCAGCCGTGAACCTTCCACCTCGCGGGCTGTTTGACATAGCTGTCGAACACGCGTTCGTATTCCTCGGGTGCGATGATGGCTCCTATGCGGAACGCATAGATATCGATGTTGAACCTTGACGCGAAACTCTGTGCTGTTCTCTCCGCACACAGCTTGGAAAGTGAGTACACATCTGTGGGCCTCGTTTCAGTGCTCTCCTCGACGGGGAATGAGACAAAGTCAGCATCCCCCTCGGCAAACGTCACGCCGTAGACACAGATGGAGCTCGCCAGCATGATCTTCTTGACGCCGAATCTGCACGCGGCCTCGATGATGTTATAGGTACCCATAGTATTGATCCGGAAGAGTTCGCTGTCTGGGACAAGCATGTTCCGAGCCACGCCTGCTAGGTGGATCACCGCGGAGGGGGCCTCGTTCAGAGACTCGTGGAAAGGCTCGGTCAGGCGGAAATGAGACATTAAGGCGCTGTATACCTGGCCTGTATCGGTGATATCAACCTTGATTGTGTGCACACTTTCCCCAAGGTCGCCGTGTATGGGTGCCAGATCAAGATTCAGAACCTCGTAACCCTTATCCAACAGGCTCTGCACAACGTATTTGCCAGCTTTTCCGGATCCGCCAGTGACGATGATGCGTTTTCCCATCCTGCTCGGCGGTCAAGCCGTAATGGCACAGATTTAAGCCTTGGTTCCTTTTACTGATTTTATGTTGGCGTTTGTGTTCGCCTTCACCATCCCTTCGAATGCAGAGATTGTACTGAAATTCGCGGAGCAATCAAGTATGAGAGAGTCACGGGAGTATCTTGCCAGGTAAGAAGTCGCCCTTTGTCATTGAGAGATATCTGCTATTTATACAATGCTAGGATTATTGCCCATTCTAAACTGTTTGCTCATGCTGTTGAGGTCGGCCATGGCACGAGGTTCTACCTACCTACTTAGGTAGGGGGGCATACTCCCAACAATATTGATGCCACGCCACGGGTGTTCTCCCAATTTGCTGGAGATAATGGATGGTAGCAGCCGTACGTACACAGTACCTGGGTATCTGCTCAATACATGATATGAATAAGCTCCTCGTCTGGGTCCGATGGCCTGGGAGGGCACGTCAACCCTCAAGATGCTACACAATTCGAATTGGTGTATGTGTATCAAATTGGTAAACTGTGAAATTAGAGAGAACCTTAATCCCTAAATTCTCTAGCCCGGGACTAGAACCCGGTTCTATCATGCACGTCCGGCCCGGACAGCGGGGTCACAACGTTGGAACTTGTGACCATTCAAGGCAGCGCGCCGACGCAACGGACTGCCCGTCAGCCCAAGCCGAGCCTAGCGTCCCCACCATCACTACCACTGACAGCCCTGGAGTGTTACAACCCGGCCTGCCATGCTGCCTGACAGGCAGAGTAAGCTGACAAGAACAATAGGATGCCGAGGTTCATTCAGACTCCCGCGTCCGGTCCCACAACTTCGAAGGCCACCAGACCAAGAATGAGATACAGGTGCTGAACTTGGTGACTACGGGTGCTATGGCTATTTTCAGGCATGTGACAGCGCGGAATTCTTTCCGGAAAGGTACACCCACCTTCTTCGCGTGTGGGGAGAAAGAGTGAAGGAACGCCTCACATGAACTGAGATTTAGACTATACACTTGAGTGTCGTCTACTTTTAAGCCCACATTAAGTAGGTGAGTTTTACTACCTGTGATGATGAGTAGAATTTGGGGTGGCAGTTAGTGGGAAAGATTTGTCGTGATTTCCATCAGCATATTTATGCTTTAGCTACTACTGTAGGCTTGTCTGGCATGCTGATTATATGTCCCGACAAGCCTTGGGAGTTTAGACACGTGCCTCGAGCCATAATTACGTGCTCTGAGGGAAGGTGGACATTCACGAACACAGCTATCACGTGATAGTGCAGGCCTTCGACCGCGTCCAAAATATATGAATCTCTCTATGAGTGCCAGGGTGTATCTGAGCACAAATTTCCCGCATGCTCGTAGATGCGTTCTCTGCAACGTCTGGCCAATGTAGGGGAATTTGCTCAGGGCGTCTAACTCTCGATCGCCGCCAGAATGTTGCACAGATCTGAAATGGCTACCGCATGGCAAACTTAGAGTGATGGGAACCTCCGGAGAAAGGCTAGTTGTCTCGTGGAGGGGGAATCTAGTCAAATGACGCCCATCCCGAGGTCCCGTGTTGATTGCATCGGGTGAGGCCGTCGTGGAAGCAGTTCAAGATCAACATGTGATGAAAGTCTTGACCTATTTCATTCACAGGAATGCTTGTAATGCAAAAGACAGAGTGGAAATGAAACCCATGCTGACGACTTGCCTGCCCAGACGTCTAAAGCCGATTCCCGAGTGTGCTGCCGCTACCTAGAGACAAGTCGGGTTTCGCACTCTGTGACTCCGATGAATCCTGCGATCATCTCAGCCCGATGAGGTCGTCAATCTCGTATCATGATGTTTATGCAAGGAACGTGAGAAATATTCCGGGGTGCTGCCAGGCCTCCATCATTCATGCCGTACCTGTGTGCCGGTGCTAGAACCAAGTAAGTGCGCTGGGATACTATTGGGTCAGCCGAGAGCCAAGAGTACACTTTCCACTAGCCATGTCTGTTGGCGGTGGCGTTCGGATGGATTTCCAACTTCTCGGGTCTATGACAGAAAGGGAACTCGTATTTGGGCAGCGAAGAGGAAATTGCGGATAGAAAGACGGATCAAAGAAGTCGTTACAGGTCATTTTCCCCATCCTCGATGCAACGGCGGCATGCGGAATCGCATGGCTAGCCCCTTTTGGACGGTGAACAGGGCCGTGCTGTGGAACTTCCCACGTCTACCTGCTTATAAGTAATCAGGCTTACAAGCCCTTTCATCCTTTAACAGAACTCAAAAGGCTTGGTGCGCCGTTTTGCTTTGGAGCTTAGTTTTCCCCATGGGAAAATCCGTGGGGACCCCGTGGGGTTGTGAGGCTAGGGACATACCGCTGCGATGTGCCGCTACGCTACATTACCACCCACCCATCAGCAGCGAATTATGGGGCCCCTGATCCTGACCTCGGCTCCATCTCTCGGGCCCTTCGAGTTGACCGCTCTCCATCTCCGTGGTTGTTGCGTGGGCTGGCTGTCATCACCAGGGATCCGAGTCAAAGATGCCTCTTATCTGACTTTTGATGAAGGAAAGGAGGTAATGTGAAGAATAGATGGAGATAGATATTGAAGTAAATCATTTTTCATGTGTGTAAAAATACAGGAATACTGCACACTATCTACTGTACATATAATTGTTTCCCCAGTTTTCGCGCCAGACCCGTTAACCCTGCTGCAGATCGACAGCAGTGACGGCAGCCCTGAGAGCACCTGGGCAGGCTGGCAGGGCAGGGGAGCCAAGACCACCTCCTCACCCCCCTGGTCCAAGTCTGGCCTAGGGTGGTCACACTTCGGCCCTTGCTTTTTGGAAATATCAGAAGCAGTCTCCAGGCGCTCTAGATCATCAGGATCAGACCAGTTCTTCACGATGTCTATCGATTGCAATAACTTCACTCTTCCTCTGTGCGGGGTCTGAGATCGAGTGAGCAACGTCGTCGCCGTCAGATGTCATTCCCCTCATTATGCTTTCTGTGCCCATCGCCACAAGACGCAGCAACAGAACAGCAACAGCTTGAACCACATCCCTATGCGAATGACGGTGCTGCCACGGACTGCGGTTTCAGGCACGAGATCGCAGAGATGCCAATGCAGACCCAGACCCAGACACTCAGGCGGTCGATGCAGGCATGCCGGCGATGTCGCCAGCAAAAGGTCAGTGAGGAGGTTTCACACCTCAGGCCGTTCTATGAATGAATGGGATTTCGGCTTTCTTGCTTGCTTGATATCGAACTAAAACGAATTACAGATGAAGTGTTCTGGTGGACCGGCACCATGTGAGCGGTGCATCAGGTTGGATCGCCAATGCATATTTGAGGCGACTTGCGCCACGGAGCAGCAAACACAGCAGCAGCAACAGCAGCAGCAGCAGCAACAGCAGCAACAGCAGCAACAACAAGAACAACATCATGTTGCAAGAGAGTGTGCTTCACAAGATCTCGTCTCACCCGGCCCCCTTACGTCAATCACGCTGGGCGAGCCTCAGCCTCTCATACAAACCGTCTCATCCGCATCATCCACCCCTTCGGACGGGTCCAGTGTCAGGACGAGCTTCAACTTGAATGTAGGAGGCCAATACCCGCTCGTTGCGAAGCGAAAAGGGCTCAACGACGGTGACTTTAGCTTTGGACATCACAATCAGCAACCTCAACAAAAGAAACAGAAACAGCAACAGCAACAGCAACAGTCAGAGCCACAGGACTACATCCCTACTCCCAATGATGTAGAGACACCCTACTCAGCCGTACAGGATCTCGAGGCTCACCAGCTTCCCGTTGTGGCCACGGGTCCTATTCGCTCAAACACCACATCATATACAGAGAGACCCCCAGACACCGGACTGAACAACCACGACCACAGCCTGCTCTCGTACCTCACCGTTGCGGGAATACCGCTCGCCGAGGCGGAGCAGATGTATGCGCTCTTCGGAGAGCGCATCGCCCCTTTCATACCCAGCCTGGTCGAGGAGGACTTCTCCAGCCTCCCCACCGAGGCGGACTCCCTCCTGGGCCTGGCCGCCATCCACGCGATCGCCCGCTACCTGCCCGACACGGCACAGCTGCGCTCAAGACTGTGCGGCATTCTCAAACGCCGCCTCCAGGACGTCGTCTTCCGGACCCCGCAGCGCAGTAACGCCGCCGCGGAGCCGGACGCCGGCCTCGACAAGGGGACCATGCAGGGCCTCGTGGTGCTGTACTCGTGCTGTGAGGCGAGCGGGCCGTACCACGCGCAGGCGGCGTGCAGGGAGGATGACCCGCCTGACATGCTGACGGTCAAGTCCATCACCGAGGGGTTTGCCGTCAAGATGCGCATCGGCGGCGTTGACAGGTCCGATGGGCAGAGCCCGCTGCCTTATATATGGTGGCTTTGGCTGTACACAATGAGTCACCAGTATGTTGCGACACCGCCTCCTCACATTGTCCCAGTGAAGAGAACACGGATTTCTGCTGACGCGACCAAACCCTCCCCCAGTGCGGCTGTTCTACACGGGTGCGCCCGGACGATGTGGGCTTCTGCGGGCGTGTACCGTGCAAAGAGAGTTGTCGAGCAGCATTCTGATAATGTGCGCTTGAGGCGCCTTGTAGGGGAGGCTGAGCTTTGCTTGCTCTGGGAGTCCGTCCGCTCCAAGCCAGGAGATATGGCTTCGAAAGTCGATACAGAACTACGTGCCTGGATGGATAAGTGGAGTGCATTCTGCGGTAGAGGTATGTGTCAACCAACACTTCATTCTTGTGAGTATTAAATCCTTTGCCTCTGACTTTTCTCTGCAGCCGAGGGCCGCCAGCTCCTCTTCCACTTTCACTTCATGCGGTTCCAGCTCTGCACATTTCCCGCGCGGTCCGCCGTCGGTAGCGCGCTGGGGGCTCGGGCAGAGAGCCTCGAGGCGGCACAAGAGTTCATCCGCTGCATGACGGCGCTCTCCCCGATAAGCAAAGAGCGGCTCAGGTACATGTGCGACTATGGCTTCGTCATGGTGGCATACGCCTGCGTCTTTGTCATCCGCAGCATCGCCGCCGCTGCCGAGGCAGTCCTCGCCGGTGCCCAGAGGAGGAAGTTGTTAGACGCCGTCATGGACGCCGCCGCCCTGATGCAGAGCTACAGCGCCAACAAGGGAACCCGGCCCTCCGTCTATGGCTACGCCCTCGACAGGCTCTGTGCCACGAGCGTGCCGGGCGATGTCATGGCTCTGGGGCCGAACCGCCAAGCCGAAGCCCAAGCGCAGCCTGGTCTGGGTATGGCCCCCAGCTTCAACGTGAGCCCGCCCACGTCGTCCACTGGGCTGGTCTTTCCGCCATGCTCGTGGTCATTTCACCCGCCTCAAACACCACCAGATTCCTCCGCAACTCCCGTGAACGACTCGACGGCTCTGAATATGCTGGCTTCCTCAATGGTACAGTCTGGTGGCTGGACCCAGTTTGGTGCGTCGCCAAATACGCAGCAGAACAATTCCTCCTGTAGTGCACATCTTCAACCCGAAGATGTGGGCCCCGATGACCAGGCCGCCCGAGCTTTATCTGAGCTTTGGAGCTTGAATCAGAGCTTTCCGCTCTTCGAGGACATCATGCTCGATATTCCTCCCGGGGAGTCATGAGCAATATCATCGCGAAAAAGGGCTTCACTAATTTGGGCATTGGATGGACTAAAATAATATGATGGAATGGAATGGCTAAAAACTCAGGCTCCGGTGGATACTCCGGTGGCAATGTTTCCTTTCTATCTCTCTCACCTAACTCCTATTATGGCCCCTCCCTGCCATTCTTACAACACCACCCAACCCGCTTTCTCTACGAGATTCATGACGCCATAATAGGAAACCTTCGTTCCCAACTGCTGTTATGTTACTGTCATCCAGAATGGCCCCCTTTAAGGTTACCTTTTGGCGAAGAACAAACGCTCTGAGACAGGACAATCCAGAACCAGGCATATTCTAAACCTTTTAAATCAGTTCAATAATAGTCCACAGAAGGTTTCACTTTGTGCATAAGCTCGCTGCCGCGAAAGTCAACCCCTCTTTTTCTCTCCAGTATTGCCTACATGGAGGGTTTGCTGAGCTCAAAGTGACACATCAAGCTCTTGAGATCCCCAGCATACCGCCCAATCTCGAAGTCGACAGAACTGGCATCCAACACTAGGCGACCGTCGATCCACCGGCGGAGAGGTTGCAGACTTGTCACCACGTCGACGCGTCTGACCCTCCCAGCTTCGATTTCCTCGGCCTTGAAACCGACCAGGACTCGACCCGGGAAGTCGTGTGGACCAGGGCCCAGGTTAGGGCGCGCATATACCTGCACGACACACCAGCCCGACCGGTGGCCCGCGTTGGCCACGTTCACCGAGATATGTAGCGCCAGACACGGGCTCGGGCGGGGGCTGGCCACCCTCGCGCCGTCCAGCTCGAAGCGGGTGTAGGAGATGCCGTAGCCGAGGGGGTACTCGGCAAGGACGCCCATCCTGTCGAGCCTCCGCTGGCCGAACCACTTGTCGTAGACGGCCTCGTCGGCATCGGCCTCAAAGGGCGGCAGGTGGGCCTCGGCCAGCGGCATGCTCCAGGGGAGGCGCCCGCTGGGGTTGGCCGCCCCCGTGAGGACGTCGGCCAGGGCGCTGCCGCCCTCGCAGCCGTTGTACCAGCTGACGAGCAGCGCCGGCACGAGGTGCAGCCACTCGGAGGCTATGACGGCCCCGGCGGTGATGATGGTAACCACGGTGCGCGGGTTGGCGGCCGACACGGCGCGGATGAGACGGACGTCCTCTGCGCGCAGGCGGACGCTCTTGCGGTCTCCCCCGGCTGGCCTGCTCGCCAGGTCGTTCTCGGGACGCCCCTGGCCGCTGACCGTTGCGTTGGCCACGGCGGTGGTCCCGGCTGCGGCGGCGCGGGCGCGGGCTTTCTGCACGATCTCGGATTCGGGAGAGCCGTCTGGCTTGGGGAGCAGGCCCACGGCCTCGGGGTCGTGCGCAGCTGTAGGCTTAAGGAACTCTCCCTCATCGACGCCGTCATAACCGACAACGAGGATAGCGACACAGGAACTTTTCGCGGCGGCCACAGCGGCCTCTATGTCGTCAGAAGCTGAGAGGTTGATCGTGGTGTTGGGCAGCTTGCGGGCGATGCCTTGATAAGGGGTCACGATCTCTGGACAATCCACCCACGAGGATGCCCTATCACCGGTGAGCGGAGAGTCTGCGTGTCGCCCGATTACGGCGCAGCTGCGCAGATCCGAGGGGAGCGGAAGTAGAGGCTGGTCATCGTCCGCCCTGTCATTCTTGAGAAGGACGATAGCGCGCGTGGCCACCTCGCGGGCAAGTCTCCGGTGCTCCGCACAGAACACGACATCGTGGGTCGGCTCGGGGGTGTTGCGGGAGGCGTAGAAGCTGATCTGGTTCCGCAGGATGCGGCTGGCGATGCGATCTATCTCGTGCCACCGTAGCTCCCCCGAGTCGAGGGCGGGTCGCAGTGCGGCGAGGCGGCGGTTCCGGAAGGGAGCCTCGATGTCCAGGTCGGCCTTGACGGATTTGACGCCATCCCGGACGCCAAACAGCCAGTCGCTGATAGTGACGCCCTCGTATCCCCACTGCTCCCTCAGGACGCCACGGATGAGGGACCCGGACTCGCCGGCCCACTCGCCGTTGACCGAGTTGTAGGCCGTCATGACCGAGTACGCGCCGGCGTCGACGGCACAGCGGCGGAAGTGCGGCAGGAAGACCTCGTGCAGGGCGTCGTCGGCGATGCGCACGTCGACGCGGAAGCGGCTCGTCTCCATCGAGTTAAGAGCAAAATGCTTGACGCACGCCATGACGTTGCGCTGCAGGCCCCGGACCCCGGCGGCGCCAAACTCGCCGAGGAGCAGCGGGTCCTCGCCGTACGTCTCCTGGACGCGGCCCCATGCCGGGTGGCGCGGCAGGTTGATGCAGACGGACCCGACCGTGTTGGCCCCGTACGCGCGGGCCTCGAGCCCGATGGCCGCCGCGACCTTCTCCTCCAGCAAGGGGTCCCACGTCGCCCCGCGGGCCATATTGCACGGGAAGGCGGTGGCCTTCTGGATGTTTACGCCCCGCGGCCCGTCGCAGTACCGGACACCGGGGATGTTCAGCCTTTCGATGCAGCCGTGGACGTAAGGCTTCTTGCCGTATTCGTTCGAGTAGAGGTCGAGAATGCCCTTCCAGAACGGGGGGTCCCCGTGCAGCATGTCCAACTTCTCCTGGTCCGTAAGCTGCTGGAGAAGCTCCTCCGTGACGACTCTGATGTCCTGGCCGGACCTGACATGGTCCACGACTGTGTGAAAGTCTAGCGAAGCGGCCATTGCTTCCTTTACTTCAATGTTGTTATCCGAAAGAAGGACAAGGACTCGAATGGATGTAATTGGCACACGGCTTCGATCCAAGGCTTAATCTCTCTCCTCTAACGACTCCGGTCGGTTGTCGAATTACCTCCCCAAAATACAGGCACCAAAATACAGATATTTGTTGGCTCATAATCCCCAGGTCTGGAGGAGGTTTATGGAGCATTGCCTGGGCCAGCTTGATGCCAGCCACCGACCTGCTTGTATACCTAGGTAATACTAGTAGTGTCCACCAAGGTGGTTGGCAACATGGACTCGGAATTACTTGTACTCTCTGTATGTATTCTTTGCGTGACTGTGATCTCCTATCTCCTTCCTGTTCAAGTCGGCGAATAATCCTAACATTGAAGACATCTCAATCATAACAACTTGTTTCCACGCCCGCTCCGTTTTTCTGATACGGTATCACCACTCTCATTGGATTCAACAAATGCGCATCCGGGCCGGACTCGTGCAGACTTATAACATGATTGGTCAGATCCCTCCCGGACCCGGGAGACCCCCACATCTGACGACGAATGTTTCCCAGGATGGCAGGTTCCAAGGTTCTATGGGCGCCGCGGATCAGTCGAGAAATGGCAAATACTCGCTTAAGCCTTCATAGACAATACGTTTGTTAATCACAGATAAGAGCAGTGATCCTCAGGTTGCATGCTAGAAGATCGCGCCCGTAGCCACAGACTGACATGAATACTGTCACTTGTTCATGGACCAAAATTTTCATATGTTTATAATAATTTACTAAGCAACTAGTTAAAGAGTAGGTTCCAAGAACTATATGTTTACAAACAGTAAAATTGTGTGTGGAATTCTCACCGAGTGGAAGGCGAATGGCACACCCGAACGAGGACAAAGTTGAGGCCCACGGCTTCTCGTAGCAAATCGAATGTAACCCCCGGGATGGGAATGCCGGGCTTCAAGTCTTCTCACATTAACAGGAATGAATGGAAGCAAGAATACTATCTTAGGATTCCAATTCTTAATGTGTATGTGGTTTCGCTTCTATTCCGTATACATCTGAGGACATACATGGCGCCTTCATACGATGGTAAACACTCATGACCCAGCGTTCCAAAAACATGGAGTGCCGATAACAGTGATCAAATAGGTCCTCAAGAAATAAGCATGGCAAGCTGTTTTCCCTGGACTTCAAGGTCAGGAGCTAGGTGGGAGGTGGACAGGAGTTGCTTGCTCCTCGGCACCACACAACATCCTCATAACTTTAAAAAACGACCACCCGGGTACAAACCTTGGAACAACATACAGATATATTGATCAAGAACTGCTGCGTCTGATCGAGTAGTAGGCACTGGAGAAAGCTCAGTACATCATGTTCCCACAAAAGAAGAACCACCTGGGCATCGTGGCGAGGAGCATGTTCTCGAACCCTGTACAGCCTCAAGCTGGCTCGCAATACATAGATCTGTCCCTTATACTAAAGACAATCTGACCCCCTTAATCAGTTTCCATGAATTGCCAGTGTTGTTCTACGAGGCTATGCAAACAGGTATGAGACCACCGGCACTGGCAGTTGTAAAAGATTCCTCTCCGCCACTTCTTCAAGTCGGGACGCAGAGTTCCCCGCAACCAACGTAGGCAGGCATCACTTTCCTCAATGGGCACCTGGAGCCCAGTTTATATACTGACCAGGTGGTTGGTTCCGTTCTTACTCCTGTACCAACCTCCAAGGCGTGCGGTATCTTCACACAGCGGTCAACGCTCAGAGACCAACCCAGCTGCACTGATCAACTGGCAAGGCACTCACTCAGTCAGCCCGCCGATACCAGTCCGCTGCGATGATGCGGTGACATTTATTGTCTACTTGAGTAGACCAACTACCTAGGTACCCCACGCCGCAAACTGTCCCAGAGGACCGAAAACAAGGCACCCCCTCCCTCACATCTTCCCCGTCCCCCCACCTCAAGTCAAAACACACAATTCACGAGGTCCAACTAACTAACTAGTAAACACCAACAGTCACCTGTGCAAACCAACAAGCTAATCCCGACCCTCCCCAGAGCCGCGGTCCCGATCATAAACTTTGTCGCTGGTTGACACATGCACATGTGCACACCATCTCAGCCCTCCCTCAGCCGCACCGGGCAAAGAGCCCACGTAACGACGCACGGGAACGAACTATGTCCAAGCGCATAACAACCCCAACTATTGACTGACACTCTTCTTCAAGGGGCCAGACAACGCTGACACCAGGCAGAAGAGACAGAAAATAAAAATAAAGTTTGAACATACCGTCATAACCCAAGCCGTCACCAATACTTGTCCCCACTCCGTGCCACCCCGTGTCACAAGCTTCAAACACGCGTTCGCGATCGATCGGGAAAAAGGGAGACAGAAAAGCAAAAAGGACGAGAATAGGGGGAGCAAAACACCGGAAGGACCAGCCAGAACATGCATATTGGACAAATTTCCCATATCGCGCGCATGGATATGGCCCCGGGCCGCAGACAACAAACGACAACAACAACATGTCATCGCCGATCGTGGGAAACGAGTTATTTAGAGTTCATCGCCGCCCCGAGCTGTCGGGACATGCATCCCTTTCTGTGGGAGACAAGAACCCCACGCCCGCGGCGGCGGCCACGCCCGGACGAGCAACCCAGGGCCTCTGGTTCAATGCAAGAAAAAAAGGCACTTGAATTATGGGTTTCCTCCCCACTTCGTCCTTGGAAGTAATCAGCTCTGGTGGACCTACCCGGTCTGCCGGGCATTGAGGGTCCAAGGACTGGACCTGGTTTGACAACAGGCAGGTCAGGCTAGTACACAGTAATAAGCGCCGCTTGAGCAGTCAGTCGTGTGGTCGGCGCGTGCTTGTCATCCAAGAACAAGGAGGGCCGCGGGACACGGGGGCAACGGCTCAAGTTCGGAGAGGACCAAGACGCCCGGGACAGCCCAGATAGGTGAGACAGGCGCGTCCCGGTTGCCTGAGGCCGTAGACTTCCGCGGCACGGCTTGAAGCGTGCCAGATGGGCGCTAAGGAGTGTCGCTGGGCGGGCTGCCAACCCAGGGCTGCCAGGCTGGGAAATTCTCATGTCCCAACCTGAACCGTCTGCCCCCTTGCCCGGTGTCCCAGTCCGAGCAGAGCATGTTTCTATTCATGGGTGAACCTACCGTGAGAATAGAACCGTTCGCCTTATTCTGTGGGCCTGTCGTCATCACGTAGATGCGCCGACTTTCAGACGACGCGCTTGAGCCCTCGGGGTATAGGACGCGTTCGAGAAGCTTTCTGAACTCATTTCCTCCCGGCAACCGGCCGCTTGGCTTGGGAGCGGGCTGGCGGGCTGATCGCTAAGAGAGTAGACGATCAGACGTTGCTATGACCGGGTGCCGGCGCATGGCAGGCCTCCAGAATAAAATTCCGTCGGGGACATAGCCTGGACTTAGTTGCGGGCATCGCGAAAGTGGGACTACCATGTAAACAATCGCAATCAAGACAGGTGTGCACCAGAGCCCAGCGGCGAGACCGCTCTCCGGTGCCCTCGAGCTGTGCCCTCGAGCTTCGCCAAATCCATGCAAATGACTGGATGGCCCCTCTCCATCGCCTCCGTTGGGTCTTGCTTGTGCGTGCGCAACCTGCCCAAGGGTCGGATTAAATTGCCCAGCCGTATGGATTCAGCGGAGACATGGGCCCCATCGGCTCACCGTATCCGTCGTCAGGAGCGGCATTCCGCGAGGAGATCGACACGGGGCTCTGGGATGTGTGCCGGCAGCAAGGAGGCTAGCCGGGTTCCGGAGGCCCGGGCAAGTGCATTAAACATGGCCTGGTGTGCATCCATGCAGGACGCTCGCTGACTGAGGCCTCAGGTGGCCGTTGTTGCGGCTGGCCCGTTTATGGGCCACTTGGCCTCATTTTGCAACTGTGCAACGGAGGCGAGAGGCATTCAATAGCACGGCCGCTGCATGACGGCCATCTGCTGGTGTCGCAGTTAGGTTTTCAATGCTCTTTGATGGATTGGGTCGCGTTGAATGGTTGAATCCTCAGTGTTGGTAAAGATCGACGATGAGGGACAGGCTGGACAGCGCGTGGTGCCCTGTTTCAAGGGATCCCCGAAAAGCTTATCGGGGCACTGGCGTCGCACCAGCAACAACTGACGGGGCCACCATGGACCAGTCTGGCCGCCAAGAAGCTCCATTCCGCTGGCTGCTGATGCGCCGCCAGGAACCAGTCCAGAGGTCGAGGCGTTGGCAGGCTGGGCAGGCTGGCAGGCTGGCAGGGCAGCTTGGGACAATTTTAGTTCCTGGGTTCGGGTTGCGAGTTTCGAGCCCAAAACCCACACGGCAGTCTCTCTGCTGATGTCGGTGGCGCTTTTGGCGCCAGATCTTGCATTCAGCACAACTTGCCTGCTTGCTCCCCCCTGGCTCCAAGGCGGCACCAGCGCAGGGCAGCGGGCAGGGCTGTTAGGCGGGCGGAGACAATGCCAGGGCAGTCCAGGGCAAGCCCAGGGCGAGCGGTGAAGTAGCCCCGATCCGGTGAAGTGCTCCGGCTGGTGGGACCAGCAAAGCTTGAGTTCGGCAGTGCAGATGGACTTGTTCGGATGAGAGCTGAGATCTCCACTGCCAAAAGGCGCCGTGCCCTGTGATAGCGTGTGTGGTGTAGACGTTATCAAGCATCAGAACAACGTCTAAACGACGAGCCTTTCTTTGGGCGGTGAATGTTGCATCGAGTTGAGTGCTGATGCGACGGGAATAAGGCGTGCCATGCCGGGCGAACGACTCTCCTGCCTGATCCGGGACTGTCTGTCTGTGGGCCTGGGAGTTGGAGGAGCGTGACGAGGGCTGCTACTGCTGACACAGCATGACTTCCGATCGCATGACCCATGTCGTCGGAAATTTCTTGCCTCATGCTGTGGAGAAAGAAGCCGGGGAAGGATTGGTTGGAGGTGATTTGCTGCAGCTCGAGAGCATTTTTTGGTGACTGCTCACAACCGCAGCATTTGTCGATACCACGATACAGATGAGGAGGCAAGGAGGTACTCCGTACACATGCACAAGCCCCATGCTGTGGTAGACCTCATGATGATAAGACTCGCGTGGAGTCATGATCCATGCACTGGATGTGGCGATGTGCATTTCGGGGTGGCCTTGACAGCCAGTCATACAGTCACCACTGATTGTGTCAGTGTCTATCAGTCGCTCTGGATGAAGCCCTGAAGCCCTGAAGCCCTGAAGCCCTGACCCACGGACTGATCCGACGAGGCGTGCGGGAAACGTTCTCGAAGGCCGTGGAGAATGATTCGAATCATCAGGGTTGTACCTCGCTGGCCAGGATGAATTGTCAGGGCGGCTAAATGCGATGTCGGGCTGGCTGGCTGGCTGGCTGGCAGGCCATCTCCAGAAACGAGTCGACCAATCCTTGGGCCTCTAGCTGCCGTTGCTACCTTGGAAGTAAGTACCTACGGACTCTCCGCAGGAGCAAAACAGACAGTCGACGAACCTGAGGCTGCGAGGAGGTCAAGAATTTCCTTGCGCATGCATGACTCGAAAAGTGGTGACGACCTGCAGAGTATTGATTGTGTGGCGAGCCTCGTGTTATTTTCTCCTGATTTCGGAGATATTTTTTTCTTTCTTTACTGTGGTACCTCTCTTCCTTCTTTTCTTTCCTGCACGCGAGGCCAATTCTTGCGGGTGTGAGCGGGGATGTGGGAAGGTGTGACGGAGGTGAGGGGCAGGCAGTGGAGCTGTGCCGATTGCCGTCCCAGCGTGTGCCTTCCGTACCGTCTGGCCGTCCGTCGCCTTCCTGGTTCAGAACCGAGCCGTCATCAGTGGTGGCCGGCAGGAGCTGCCGGTGCCGTGCCAAGGAACATGAGCCTCTGACGGTGACGTAGACAAGGGTCCAGACTGCCTTGGGGGTTCTGGGCCTGAGCTCAGCTGGACCTGGGCAAGGCAGGCAAGGTGCTGTGTATGGATCAACGATAATGAAATAAAGATTGCATTTCGGTGTGCTCGTGTGTGCTCGTGTGCGTGCCCAGCAGCGCCATAGCAAGATGTGGCCCAAATCAGGTTTCTCCAGGCGCAATCCGCAGGGTTCGCCAGCTTTTTCCGAGCAGAGCTATGCCACAAGTCAGCTAGTCCCCTAGTTCCTTTTAGTTGCTGGGTCACAACGACACTGCATCGCTAGCTGAGACAATGGTCGATTGGGTGACAAGTGTCGATGGGCAGGTTGGGCAGGTTGCACATTGGACAATAGTGATGAGAAGATGAGGGCCCTTCAGGCTTCGAAGCCATCGTCGACAAGTCAACGGCCCTGACTCACCCGCCCGGGAACCAGGTTGGTTGGCTGGCTGGCTGCTGGCTGGATAGAGTTGCTAGGACTAGACAAGTGCTGTGGAAACGGTCTGCACTTCTCTGAGTCTGCAGGGCCTGCACCTCTCCACCTCAACAGCTCAAGTGCTCTTTTTGCACAGCTGGGGCGGTGGGGGCCGGTAGCCGGGCAAGCCTGCAGATCTCCAAAGGTCATCAGACCCGTACGTCGAGCCAGGCCTGCAAGCCTGCCAGCCCGCCCCGCTCCCCATTGGAAGGAGGGGAGAAACACCAAACGAACCATGGCACCGTCAAGCCAGTAAGAGGATGCACGGCAGCAAGATGGCGCTTTCCTGACTGCGCTTGCTATGCATCTTCCCGTGCACCAAGTTAGGCCGTCCTAGCCGTCTGCCGTCTCGATCCAAAAGGAAGGCGCTGCCCAAAAACAGGAACTGAGGCAAGAAGGGCCTTGCCAAAACCAGAAGCCACACTCAAGCCTGGCAAGCTGGGAGTGAAGGGGGGAAAAAAATAAGGTACCCTGTCTGCCTGTTGCAAAATGCAGGGTTGAGACTTGGTCAGCAGGGATATTGCTGGGTCCGAAGCTCAAACGCATCATCGTGCTGCTGTCCAGCCAGGCGATCATTCATGGCAGACTGGGCACACAGTCAGTTAGTTGTTCTGCACCGTCCTGCTGCAGCTGTTCTACTGTGGTATCTGCCAGTTCTGCCCAGGTGCCCAGTAACCTGTCCAGCAGGCACAGTCTGGCAGGTATGACCCAACTGCCTGCAACTGCGTGCAAAGGCGTCACAACCCCATATCCCCACATTCCCCTTCCCGTACTTGGTGATTGAGAGACGCTCATTTTCAACCACTCACTCACTCACTCACTCACGACGACCCTTATCCTCTAATCGTCTTGCCCCAATCAATTGATTGTCAATTACTCGACTGTGGGCACTGAGGTTGACTGACATTTTGCAGGTCGTCGTCATCAGCTCATCCATTGCTGTGTGGGCCGTGGTCTGAGCCTCCGTCGGTGACGATCTGGGGACTTCCCTACGAACCCCACGCGACCTAACTCGTCAGTTCCCTGCCTCGTTCATTACTCATCAGTAATCCAACCCATAGCACAGGCTGCCTGGACGAGAGCAGAGCGCAACAATACAGTCAGACAGTGCTGTGCAGACAAGACGAGACGGCATTCCACCTGGTACTGACGGACCAAACCTTGTCGACGCCATCCATGCTTTGATTCTGCCTGTCCATGCAGCGTCGAAACATCACGGGCTCGTCCACTCACTCGGCTAATTCTCGCTCTCTTCGCTCTCTACGCGCCTCGTCCACATGCGCCCCCTCCCCCACGGGTCCCCAGCTTCACAATAGCCGACCGAACCTTATCCTACGTTGTCCCGACTCTCGTGACATAGAATAATTCCGAATCGCTTCGTCATCATCTGCTGCCATCTGCCCACCGTGCACTCTGTCAACCTCACCCGATCAATCAATCAATCAATACATTGATTGTCCTGACTACGCGCCCCACAGGATACATCGCACGCAGTGTAAGCAGCAGCAGCACCACCAGCATCAGCAGCGGTAGCACGCGCGGCCTCTCGTGTCGACTCAAGCACCCCGATTCAATTCTGTGGCGGGTGCGCCGCAGATCTGTCAGTAGCTAAGCAACATCCTGGCGGGCCAACTGCATCCATTTTCATTCGCCCGACTCTAATGCAGAGAACCAGACAAAAGCGACCCGGCAGTCACTCGCGTTTCGGTTTCACGCTCCTTCGTCCTTACGGCCTTGCGGCCCTGGTCTGACCGCATACGCCCTTCGGCTCGGCCTTGAGCGGTGCACATACGCCAGTTGGCCAGGTCTAGATTGCATCTGCTTCTGGCCGCTGCGTCTGAGCATCTGAGGTCTCTTTTGCTGGCTCTGCCCTCTTTCTCTGGCCCTGCCTCCGCATCCCTGCCGTGGTCGGACCACATACGGCATAGCCTGTCCAAGCAAGGTTGGCCGTTATTACTCCGGCATACACTTCATCATCATTATTAGGTCTCTCCGAGGACAAGGTACTTTACCTGTACCGGTCAACAGTCAGGAAGTTCTGCGTAGGCGTCTCGCTGGCTGCAGTGCTTTGCCCACCAGCCACCACCACCACCACCCCAGGCCTTCTCCGAGGTGCACAAGATACTGTGTGTACCTAAGTATTGCGACTCAATCTGCGGGACATCATCCCCAAGACAAGGTCACGCCTGCGGCTCCTCCCTCCAAGACGTCCCCGGAGTGACATCCGCCCTCCTGCACGATTCCACAGGGCGCCCACTCGACCCCCGGTCCCCAGACACATTCGTTTCTCCCCTCCCCCTGTCTGCCTGCCTTGCTGCCCGCCCCGCTGGCCTGACCTGACCGTCGACGTCTGTTCGTCTGCATCATTGCCCTCGCCCACGCGACTCGCAACACACCCATCCACCCATTCCACGGCTGCGTCTTGTTCCTGTACATACCGCAATACCACAGTGCCACAGTACCACAATACCTACCTCCCTCTCGTCGTGCGCATGCCCGTCATCCGGAGCTCTGAACCTTCTGAACCTTGAGGCCCCCTCTCTCTCGTCCCGCCCGCCTGCTGTGCTCCAATGGTCGTGGTACATCCCGTGTAAAACATTCTCGGAAGCACATGCGCATACTTCTCAATCTGCGACATACCTCGCTCCCACATATGACAGGTACGAACCGCGATCAGCGTGGTAATTAATTATGGCTTTGTGATTCACTGCCAGGGATCCCGTGAGTTTGCATTTTCCTCCTTTCTCGGCCTGCCCTGTCCTGCCTTGCCTCACCTCATGCTGGCTTGCTCGCACGCCCGCTCGATCGCTCGCCGTCCTGCCCATGCCCGCATTGCCCAAAACTCTCAATCCCCCTCTTCCAATACATGCCTCCATTCCTGACCGTCATTTCACCTCCCCACCGCCCTTCGCCAGTCCTGTCCTATTCTGCTTTTATGCTTCATGCTGCTGGGACTGTGCTCTTCGCTACCCGCATTCGTGCCCCTTGATCGATCCACCGCCTCGGGTTCTAAACTTGTCGCAAGCCTCGCCCAGAGTCTAGTCAACCCAGGCGATCCCTTCCCATATCCTCACCCCTTGATGCCTTACGCTTGCCAGCGCACCTCCCCGTACCCGTTCATCACTTCGTCTTCTTTGCAAGTCTAGCAAACCCAATCGAATCGACTCGAGAGTGTCGCTCCCTGCACCCTGGCTCCGCCAGCTCCTCGTCATACCTCTGAGTCGCCATCATGTCGGCCAGAGCACATCTGGAAATACATAACTTACACTTGGATGCCCCCCGTGCTTCACCGTGTTCGTCGTAACTGTCCTCCCTCTTGCGCAGAACTTCTACCCTCTCGCCTGGGACCCCAGAATTCTAACTAGTCATCCATAATGTCAGTAGCAGCAGATACTCCCGGACGACCTGAACCTTACTACTATTCGTCACGAGGAGCAGTTTATTACACGCCTCGGACTTCTGGTGATAGGCGGGCCCGTCGCTCAGCCGCGCCCGCGAACCCGAGCCTCCCGGCACCTCATATTGGGCCCCGCCAACGCCGCCCCCACTCTATACATATCGTCTCATACCCATCCGGATTCATCCCCCAAGAACTACGACCCAAGACAACGCCCCGGGACCTAGAGAGGCAGAAGAAGAAGGAGGAAGAAAAGCGCAAGAAAGAGGAAGAGGACAGGAAGAAACAGGAGGAGAAGCGCAAGAGGCAGCGTGAGCAGGACGAGAAGAAGCGCAGGCTTAAGGAACAGGAAAAGAGGACCTCTCTTGGTTCCTTCTCGGGCGAAAAACGGTCCAGCGGTCTCTTCAATAAGCTCAAGTCCGCATTTCAATCCCACGAGCCACAAAAATACGCGGAAGGTCCTGACGGCACGACCACGCCAATCCCGCGGCCGCGGCCCCAAGCGAGGACCAGGGTACGACCTGTCAGCTGGCTGAGCGTTGCGAGTCGACTGTCCAGAGCAGAGGACACAACACCTGCCGACGTCTCCTCGTCACCACCAATCGAACTCCCGCCGCCAGCAACAGCGGCCTCTCAGACCCCAGGGCGACGATCCACGACCGCACCCCCCTCAGAACACCCCATCCCCGAGCACGAGCTCGAGCAAGAAGAAGCTGCTGCGCCTAGCGCAACCGCCACGCCTGACACGCCCGTCGCACAGAATTCGGCGGTCGCCCCTGTCAGCTCCACCACATCAGCGCCCGCTGTTGCTACCCCCTCGTCATCCGCAATGGTCGACGTTCCTCTAAGAGCTCCTCGCCTGTCAGCTGGACCGGGCATTGGGGCTGGGCACTCTCGTCGCAACAGTTTTATGTCCGTTAGGTCGGCAAAGAGCACCATGAGCTCTTCGGTGCAGGAGATCCACCAACCCAAGCCAATAGCCTCTGGTAGCGGCCTGTCGTGTACGATCATCTTGGCAGAACCCAATGTCTTCTTGACAGGATTTGATCATGATGGTCACACGCGACACGAAAGTCACAACTCCACCGCGCTTCTTCGCGGTAAACTGCAACTCAATGTCTCCAAGAACACCAAGGTCAAATCGGTCACCTTGAAGCTCTTGGGCAAGGCACGTACGGAATGGCCCGAAGGCATTCCCCCTCTCAAGGTCGACATGTACGAGGAGGAATCATTGAGAACGCAAGCTTTGACCTTCTTCCACGCTATGCACGATGGCTGGGAGACCGAGTACGGGAACCAATGCACATACAAGCTCAAGGGCTCGCCGATGAATCTGAACCTTAACCGGTCAACACTTAGTCCCGGGGATTCGGCATCTGTTTTGTCAATGGGCGGTAGGCAACGATCGAATATGTCTGCCAAGGAGCTCAAGCGCCTGTCCCTACGCTCTGTCGAGTCCAGGAGTTTCGGTAAGGGCGAGTCCCCAGTGGCCCATCAGGTCCAGGCGAAGGGCTTCAAGGTTTTCTTCCCCGGCACATACGAGTACTCATTCGAGCTGCCCATCGATCACCATCAACTGGAGACCATCAAGCTTCAGTACGGTAACGTCAAATGGGAGCTCGAGGCAGCTGTCGAGCGTGCCGGCGCCTTCAAGACAAATCTCCATGGTACCAAAGAGGTGTCTATCGTCCGTGTCCCTGACCAGATGTCACTCGAGACCTCGGAGCCGATTTCGATTTCTAGACAGTGGGAAGACCAATTGCACTACGACATTATGATCTCTGGAAAATCATTCCCTATCGGCGCCAAGATCCCCATCGCCTTCAAACTCACGCCCCTTGCGAAGGTGCAGGTGCACAAGCTGAAGGTCTTCGTCACCGAAGCGATTGAGTACTGGACCAACGACCGGAAAGTGACGAGAAAGGATCCTGGGCGGAAGATCTTGTTGCTTGAGAAGACCGCTGGCAAGCCGCTCGACAAGCAGTACGAGTCCAGTCAGTTGCGTATCCTCAGCGGCGGCGAGCTGTCCCCAGACGAGCGAGAGGTTGCACGCCAGGCCGCCCAGCGGAGGAGGACCCTCGAAGCTCAACGTACGCATTCCTCAGCGGCCCCCCTCCCAGAGCCCACGGAAAACTTGCTAGGTGATCTGGACCTAGGCCTGGAGACATACTGGGGCTCGACCGAGATGGAGATGAATGTGCAGATGCCGACTTGTGAGATGATGGCCAAGGATAAGTCGCTGAGACTGCATCCCGACTGCAGCTGGAAGAATGTGAACGTGTACCACTGGATGAAGATTGTGATGCGTATCTCGCGTCTCGATCCGGACGACCCGGCTGGCAAGCGAAGACGACACTTTGAGATTAGTATCGACTCGCCCTTTACCGTGCTCAATTGCCGCGCGACACAGGCAAACACAGCCTTGCCTGAGTACAACAGTCCAGACACCAGTGGGATGCGTCACCAGGCCTCTTGCGGATGCCCTGATGCCCAAGTCTTCAACAACTCAGGCAACACGCCAGACAACTCCAGTGGAAGTCTTGTCGAGGCCACACCGATCAACACAGCGCTGCCCATGCCACCACAGGCGGCGCACTTGCACACATCCTCACAGGGAATCAACGGCAACTCAAGTGCCGCATCTCCCACCGCCTCATCCCCCACGACGGGCACCGCAGGTATCGGAGCAGCAGCCTCTAACCCGGTGTCCCCCAACCCCCTGCAAAGGGTACGAGATCAGGAGAATCCCAGGCCGATCCACCTGCTCCGTTACCCATCCTTCGACCCGCCGCCATTTGACTACGACCAGGCACCCCCACCACTGCCGACGCCGCCCCCCAACTACGATATAGTGGTCGGCACCCCTAGCGTCGACGGATTGGCCGACTACTTCCAGCGCCTATCCCACTACGAGGATCCAGCACCAGTACAGGCCGAGGATGATTACCTAGCTGCAGGCGCCAGTGGCTCGGGCGGCGATGGTACCGACGACATCACGCCACCTGCGCGCCCAGTGGGTGACGAGGGCGAAGACACGGAGGTGGAATCTGACTCTGACTCGGCTGATGAGCAAAGACCGGCACGAACTGTGAGCCGAGTTGGAACGGTCAACGTGGCAAACCCGCGCACACCCGGTGGAAGGCTGGTTCCAAGCAGGAGCTTTGAGATTGAAAGACCCGCAGCCGACTTCGCCTTGAGTATGGCTGGGGTAGTAAGGAGGAATGGGACAGACAACGCTTCCTAGGAGGATGACTGTGCCTGTCTCATCCCACTCCTATCTATGTTTACAGCAAAACGAGCGATGTTAATCCGAAATTATGCTATGAGAGATACCCTTCCGAGGAAGCAGAATAGGAGGCAAGAAGGATAATGATACCAGCAGCCTTGATTTGGATGTGGAAGTTTTGAGGCGCCGACATTGTTTGCACCACTCCTTTGGCGCTTTTATTTTAGTGGATGTTTAGCCACTCATCCGCGTGTGAACATCGCGGAAAGCTTTTGCAGATGCCGTCCTTTGAGGGATTTTGGTCAGCTCTGTTCGGAACCTCGCGATAGGCTAGTTTGCGGAGGCCCTAGGGCACGGCAGAAGTCAATATTGGGCGGCGTTGGTATCAACGTTGGGATGGACATATGCTCCATTGATATTTACCTCGTGTATACAGCCTCGTGTACATATATGCCTTACATGGCTGACTCGAGGAGAAAACATCTGCGCATGCATTTTTTTATTATTTTTTTTGGTTCTCGGCGGAAAAGTCGGGGACGGATCTGGAATGACCATGATGATGAGCATCAGCGTCGGGTTTTAGTCATGGCATTGGATAGATTTTGGTTGTTCACACCACTTGGGAATGGAGTTCTTTCTCTGCGCTTTAAACCTGCCTTAATTATTACGTACTGTGTGAACTTGCTGGTCTGATGGGCCAACATGTGAAAACCTACCTGCATCCCAGCGGCTGACCACTAGTGCTGTATCGAGCAGTATAGATGCCTCTGCATCTTTTTTCATCCAGTTAGTAGAACTGGTGTTGAATTGCTTTATATACTGTCGCTCCATATCGTCTGACACCCAGGGCACCCCCCCCCCCCCCCGTCACGACGAAGTAGATTCCCCCACGGCCACGCCCTCGTCCCTCGGCAGATCATGATCAAACGGCTTCCGGCCATAGACAAAATACACACCGCAGTACGAGTGGATCTTCCTGTTCATGAGGTCCTTCTTGACATCGACGAGGAAGGCGAGCACGTCCTCGGAGCTCCACCCGAGCACGCGCGTGAACAGGGCCAGCGACATGCTCTGGACGCCCTCGAGCAGGTTCTGGCAGCACATGGCGCCGAGCAGCTTGTTCTTGTCCCCCCGGGGCCACGTGTTGAACGCGCACACGCCGTGGCGCTCGACGACGCCCTCGAAGCCCATCGCGCGCATGTGGGCGCCCCAGGCCAGGTTGCCCCGGAGGTCCTTGCCGACGGCCAGCATGCCCTCGTCCATGAGGCGGTTCCACTCGCCCAGGGCCGTGCCGTCCATGGTGCCGTCGTCGCACCGCATCGGCATGCACGGGTCCTGCAGCTCAAAGTAGCCCCCCGGGGCGAGGTTGTCCCACACGCGGCGCAGGATGGCCGGGCCGTCCTTGAAGCACGTCACCATGGCCCGCGCGTGGACGTAGTCGAAGGGGCGGTCGAAGCCCCAGTCGTCCTCCTCGGCGTCGCCGATCTCGAAGGTGCAGTTCGCGGGCACCATGGCGGGCTGGATGGGGGACAGGTCCGTGCCGACCACCGTCGAGGAGGGGTACTCGTGGGCCATCTCTATCGCCCAGATCCCCGTGCCCGTGCCGATGTCGAGGACGCGGTTGGGGTAGACCAGGGGCGCGAGGTGCAGCCTGCCGTCGAGGAAGATCTTGAAGGTGTTGTGCTGGAGGTCCAGGCGCTCCTGCTCGATCTCGTCGTTGGGGAGGAGGTATTCTGTGAGGGGTGAGGGTGTGTCACGTTGGGATGTTGGCCTGGCCGGTTGGTTGGCGACTTACTATCTGAGTTGAAGGCGTGATATGTGCGGCCATTTTCCTGTATGAACCTGTACAGGTTTGGCTCTAGGGATGTGGTCGAGTCCCTGCGCGGAGATGGATCATCAGCATCATGTTGGTTGGCAGCATCATGTCAGTTGGCCCAATCTGATCCTGCTCGCTTGATGTGCATGCTCATCCGCACACATGATCTTCAGCTGCAAGGCGGCTGGGCTGCAGGTTGTGTGCATGTGTGTATGTACGTATATCCGGGCCGGCCGGCCAAGATAGATGACCTGTTGGAGGGGGGATTTAGGAGTCTGCATACGCGAATGAGAATCCCAGGCCCGAGTCATAGTCCTCTCCCTACGATTGCAATACACAACATCAGTCTTTTGTGGCTCACGCATGTATGTGCAGTGGAGAGTCAAAACGACCCGCGGCGCGGCGGTGACGGAGACGAGACGGGAACGTCAGTCAAACTTACGCCTGAGCCGTCCGAGACGTCAAGAGTGGCCGGCAGGTGGTAGCTCGGCTCGGGCTGGGCCTGGTCAGCAGTGAGCCCGCTCTCGCCCGAGGGCCCTGCCGCTGCTGCGCCTGTCGAGGCCTCGGCGGCGGCGATGTCACCTTGTCGTCCGGCGGCCGGGTCTTGTTGCTGGCCCACGTTGGTGTCCTCCATGACTCTCCCTCCACCGAAAGGGCTCGGCGGAAGCACCCGGAACTGGGGCGGGCGAAGAGGGGGCAGTGACAGATTTTCTCCGACGGTTCAGACTCGGGAGATCCACTCGTGCTGCACGCGGGGGTCCTCACGATATGGAGTATATATGTGCACCGTAGGTTATTTACAAAGAGAATCCACTCGTTACAGTGTGTAAGTTGTGTCAGAGGGAGGAGGAATTCACGTTCACATTTCTGTTGAGGAGATCCCTGGAAAGGTCCCTGGAAAGTCCTCGGGGGAGTCAACCCGCTCCCGAAGATGTCACGGAGCGGACAGGATGCCCAACCCGGGAAGCGGGCACATGATTAATGCCAACGGGTCGACGAAGGAGGCTTGGAAGGGAACCTTGGAACGTGGCGGCCGCTCGGCATTGGGCTCACTCAGCCAAGCATCCCCCCGTCTGAGGACCGTAACCTTGGGAGAAAAAAAAAAGAGACAGACAGGCTCGCTCGCACGGCCCGGTGGGACTCGTCTCCCCGGAGCCCCCTCCCCCCCCCCATCCATTCACATCGTGATCACCTGTCGGTCGGCTGGCTTGTGTGATAAGGGAGAGATGGAGAGGAGGGGCTGACGATGATCCGACCACGACCAGTACGGTGACTAGCTCGCCCGCCTTACTGCAAACGAATGTGGGCTGGACAAAAAACGGCTCACTATCAACGGTGGTGGTTCCTGAGCGCCACACATACAAGGAGCGAGTCCCCATTTCGCCGTCCCTTGCCCTTGGCGCGGTCACATGTGGGGGTTAAGTGAGGGATCGCAGCAGGTTTTTGGGCCTGTCCGGCTGGGAGTCTGGGCCCCAGCCGGGGCAAGGGGGACCGATGGATCAACGGTTCCCACTGATAAGATCGTTGACCCTGCAGAAGATCGCCCTGCAGGTTGGGATCTAAGATTCGAGCCTCATGTAAACCACACATCAGGTTTTATTACCAGTCATATATTTTTCCTACGTTCACTTCTTGGTGAACACCTGTATTTCCTTGGCCGCCCGCACGATCATGTGGTACTTCTCACGAAAGAGTCCCTAGAACATGGCAGTATCACTGCTGAGGTGGTTCGAGTTTGTATTGGATGGCAACTTTATGTGCAAATTGAGCAAGTTACAATGATCCCACTTTCTTTTGGCCATCATGGACAGTCACTTCAATGATTCACAGAGCGGAAGGTTTTGACGAGCCAACCGCTAGGACGCCGACTGGACTGCTCAACGTTAGGACAGCTAACTAGCCGCCCTCGATCGATCGATCCGCCGTGATGGTGTCGTTACACGATAAAGAACAACCTCGGGCAACAGAAAACACTAAGGCAATTCCGGAACTCAGCCGCCAGAACAGAACACGATTCTTCAAGTTTGAGGCTTCTCGGAAACTCAAGAGACGACGCATTTGGCATCGAGGCGGGCTCACTTGGGTATCTAGGTAGGTTTCCGAAGAGTCAAAATGCGGCAAAACTGGCGAACATGAAGGGATGTGAAACATGAAAAGTAAATACAAGATAGAAGCGAGCGCACGTGTCTGCCTACAACGTCAATATTAGTTCACTCTGGATCACTTGGATTCATTCCGGGTAAACCAAAATGCCTCAAGTGTTTATTATGAGCCGCTAAGCCCATGTCTTACCTTGGAGCTTCTTATCAAAATCCCGAGCGTCTGTCCATGATCGATCGAGTTTCTCCTACTTCAACACCACTTTCACACAACTCTCTGTGTCTTGTCCTCTGCTTGACAGCATGGCCTTTCGAAGGCTCATTACTGCGGCCCTGCTTGTTTCTGCAGCCGCCTCCGGGGACTACGAGTACGGTCAACGAACGACGTCGGGCGACAATGTCCCTGGAACCGCTGACTCAGATATACCGGTGTCAGTCAGCCCCAGGACTACAAAGGACGTGTACAAACGAGGAAGCAACGCCAAATTTGTGGGCTTGAACATCTGTGGCTTCGACTTTGGATGGTGAGTGCACGCCAAATCCCCCAGCGCATGATGTCGGGATTGTAGATTGCTTGCCAACATCCCCCTTACCTTGTCAGCGACAAGCAAGGCTCCTGCGACATTGCGAGGATCGACGCGCCGCTGCCCAATGTGCCCCCTGCATACAGCAGCCCACACGAGCCGCTGGGCAACGGCCCGGCCCAGATGCTCCATTTTGTCTCGGGCCACAACTTTAACATCTTCCGCCTGCCCGTCTCTTGGCAGTATCTCGTCGACAACGTCCTCGGCGGGCCGCTGGACCCGACCAACTTCGGCTACTACGACTACCTCGTGCGGGAGTGCCTCGGGACCGGCTCGTACTGCATGATTGACTTGCACAACTACGCCCGGTGGGACGGCAAGATGATCGGGATGGACGACGGCCCGTCCGTCGCGCAGTTTGCAGAGCTGTGGGGCCAGCTCGCCGCCAACTACAAGGACGACGAGAGGGTGTGGTTCGGGATCATGAATGAGCCGTACGACCTGCCCTGGCTCTCATCATGGAAGGACACCGTCCAGGCGGCCGTCACCGCCATCAGAGGCGCCGGGGCGGCGAAGCATTTTATCTCGCTCCCCGGCACGGGCTTCCAGTCCCCGGGCTACCTCGTCTACAAGGGCGACGGGGATGCCCTCAAGGAGGTCACCAACCCGGATGGTACGACTACGAACCTCGTGTTCGACGTCCACCTCTACCTCGACGCTGGGGGCACTGGGAGGAGTAGGAGGTGCGTCACCAGCGGCATCGAGTGGAGTTGGGCGCCGCTTGCGGAGTGGCTCCGGAATAATGGGAGGCAGGCCATCGTGAGTGAGACCGGAGCTGGAGATACGCCTTCTTGCGAGACGTACTTCTGCCAACAGCTGCAGTATCTGGAGTAAGTCCGACGCTTCGCAAACAAACCACCAGAGTCCTCAGTTTGAATTGAGTAGTGACTGACATCCTTCGATTCAGTGACAACTCTGATGTCTTCTTGGGATACGTGATCTGGGCTGCTGGGTCGTTCAGGTCGTCGTATGAGCTGTCTATGACACCATTTGTCCAGGACAACTATTGGGAGGATGTCCCACTGCTCACTAAGTGTGTGTCACGTTGAGTGAGGAGAATGGAGCTGGAAGTGGCTGTGGTCTCTATTCGAATTCGTGCCGCTCTGCAAGAACGATAATTTCCGCGGGAGTCTTGCTGGCTGAGCCCTATGAAGTTTCTGTGATTTCTGGCCTACTCCTTTCAACGATGGTTTCAGTACGGGGGAAGTGCTGACGTAATGTTTACTTCGTATTGTCATATTATGAGCTATATGTGTTCCGTGGTGATTGAATAATATGGGCTTATTTGATTTGATTGAGGAACTCACATCAAGTTGTGGTGATGTGCAAGGCAGTAAGACGAGCAACAGAGTTTCATTGCTTTTGCCCATCATTAGTAAAGTAATTGTCAAGATGGTGCCCCTTAGCCTTGTCTATGCGTTGTAAGGCTGAGGCTATAAGCATTTATTGTATTATAACTATTGTTATCGGCATTATATTCTTTCCAAGCGCTGGGTCTTAAGTACTTACCACTATATGAAGGCGCTATGTATGTCCTTGGATGTATACGGAATAGAAGCGAAACCACATTAGTAAAGTAATTTCGTTAGGCTAATCTAAGACCCCCGGGGCCGTCAATCCTCGATGTCCATATTTCCCAAGTCTCCTACATGTACACAGACTGTCTTTGAAAAGTATACAAGCGAGGCAAATCTTACACGCTGTTGGTCAACAACATTGAAGTGGTGTCAGCATCTTGTCTGGTGTTATTCATGGCTGTTCATTACCTAAATCTTCGAACTTGGGAGGTTTTCCCAACTTTGAAGGGCTAAATTCCAGACTACCTAGGTAGGCCTGGAAGCGATCCTTGTATGTGATTGTTGTGACAGCCTTACGCTCCTTTTGACTGTTGTTCCAGCTTGGCCACAGTAATTCTCCTGTACACTCAGGTACAGATACCTGATAAGTTGATCATTTCAGCTAAAAGCCAAGACAGAGGAGAAGAATACCTGTCAAAGGAAATTATCAACACAAATCCCCAAAGATTAATCGAGCATTGAAAATGAATTTGAGTAAGATTCCTAGCCTTATGCTATTGGGACTTGCCCATAAACACAGTCCTGGCAACCGTAAACTCCCAGAGCAGCACAAATGAACTCACTTCCACGAAGCCAATGTGATACAATCTCATATAGCCAGCTTCCTCATGGCGAATACTACTGGAAACATTATTGGTACACCTTATATCCCTGGTCAGACCTAAATTTCAGGACATTATCCATGTAAAGACTCCATGGGTCGTCGAAGAACTTAATTCCAACATTTTTACTGTCTTCAACGTTGAACACACGGAGCAAGATATACGCATCCTTCGCCGTCCCATGGAACTCTCTCATCTGCACGCAACCCCGAGTGATTAGCATTGGGATGTACCGTCCACACAAGTCCCACAACTGGCTTTTCTTCCACTCAGACTAGTGAACATGTGGGACAAGCACTTACCTTGTCAACTTGATTCTGCGAGACGAATATGGGCTCGGCGCAGGAACCCAGCGTGCTCTTCACCTCGAGGTGGAACTTGGTAGCATTGGACCATGCTGCGTGGGGTTCAATACCAACATCGCTTAGCAAAGCCCTCATCTGTCCGGAGGCATCGACGTATGTAAAGTCTGAGAAGTCTCTCTCGAGGCCTTGGAAACGTGGATGCCCCGCCTCTGACCGCAAGCGGCTTGTCCAGGACTCGGAAGTCCAATCATCAATTTGCTTCGTAAACATCTCAAACACCTTGTAAAATGCTGTGATTAGTTATGAAATCAAAGGTGTTCAAGGAGCTACTTACGAAAAGTTCTCCGAGGTAACCAATTTCTCGAGCTCTGATCTCTTCCGTATCATCGGCCCTGCCACTACTCTGCGCGAGCGATGAGCCGCCTCCGGTCCCCCTTCCAGCCCTGAGAGTTCTACGGTAGGATCCTCCCGTGGCTGGCAATCTCGTTGACGATGAAGCACCATCTTCATCGTCACTTATTTCAAGGTTCCCGGTCCTGAACGGCAGAGAGAAACGGTATGGTGCGGTTGTAGATTCTGTGTGGTGCCAGTCCGGAGCTGCGGCTTTTGCACTGGATAGTTGGAAGCTCCTCGCCCTTTTGATGATGAGATTGCTTCTTGATTGATGCGATGGTATCAGATCTCGCAGCGGAGTTGAATCGTCGCGGCGTGCGGTGCGGGGTGTGCAGGATGAGCGCCCGCGCTGTTCTGTGTCGGTGCCGTTATCTCTAGCCGTAGTGCTGAATACAGTCCCAGAACTAGTTGAGTCATTCGTGCTAGAGGTATCACTGTCACTGGAGTCATGGCTACCATGAGGATCATCCGAGTCGACGCTGCTATCCTCATCCACAGCCTCGCCATCTTCCGAATCTGATGTCTCTTCTCCGGAGCCTGCGTCCACATCGTCAAGGGACATGTTGTGTTTTTCCAGGATTCGTGGAAGGCTGTGAATTTGGGCACCCAAGAGACAGTTAACGAGGGCCGTATGCTTTTCGTCGAATTCGATCGTCTCCTTGAAATATTCCACAAGTTCATATGTGACTTCGTTTTGCCGAGATTGAATGGCTTCTTCCCGCATGTATACATCGATGATATCCGCGCTCGCCTCAATCGTGACCAACTCGTCTTTGTTGGTTACCTTGATGCTGCCCAGTGACAAAGTGACTGTGATTGATGGTACCGACCACACTCGTATCGACGAAATGTTAGGGAATTCCTGATTTGAGCTGCCTTCAACTACTCTGCAAGAAAGTAAGTAATCAAGTCACAAGATCATAATGAGAGTACGGGTATCAGTACCGATATACGTATTCGAGTCGTTTGTGTAGGTCCTGCTCTTCACGGGCATTGCGAACGGTTATCCCATCTGGTTTAGTAGTCCGCGTGACTGCCTGCGAGAGAAATTTCTTTGTACACCACAAATCCTCCAATAGATCTTCCAATGTTCTCACGGACTGTACTGATAACGCGAGCATGTCGACTCTGCCTCGGAAGCTTGCCTCGAGGGTTATAACATTGGGTATGTACCAGTTCTTATGGCGAAGTGAACGCATCTCAACTCGAGATGATCGCTTTACCGGGGTGAGCCCCTTGGGCAAGATAGGAAAGACTGAGGCGGAGCGTATTTTGTGAATTTGATCGTAAGTCAAACTGGATTTCCTGTGAAACTTTCTTAGCAAGAACAGCAGTGACTCGAAACGCCCCTCCACATTGTTGTCTTCTGTGGAAGTGGGCTGACATATCTCATCGACAACATGTTGCACTCCAGCTTCTTCAACTTCCAAGCGAGAACAAAACAGGGTTCGACAATTCTGATAGTAGGTTTGAAGCTTAGTGACTCGAGTCAGGAGCTTGTGTGCTGTCCAAACGCAGTCTTCGTGACTCAGCCACGTGGGCTTTGGTTTGGGAACAAACACCAGTGGCTCAGACTCGAATGCCGTCCTGTGAATTTCATTGGTGTCAGCCGTCAAAAGTGAATACTAGCCACAAAATTCATGGCTACTTTACTTACACTATCTCCTCTTCTCTTTCCAACGCATCTGAGTTCATCGCCTCGTAGAGATCCCTCACGGTGCTTGCGTCAATGTCTCGAGCAGGGATCTTACGGAGTTCATGAAGCTCTCTTAGAATCGCTGTTGTGCATAGTTTTGTGATGACGCCGAATTGCGAGAGGAAGCCCCATCTTTTTGATACTGGTCCTGGGAGGTCCGCAAACCTGAGGTGCGGGCAACGGCGTTGAAGATCAGGGGTTGGTATCGCCAAACTTCCAAGAGCCCGAGACTTGCCGTCGAGACAGCGGACTTGAAGCATTCGTACGGCTTCGTCAATCTTGGGGGATGGCGGCCTAGCGCTTGAAAGATGGGCCCGGACAACAAGCAAAAGATCCAAGACGTTTCGGTCGCGGAGAAACTTCCATTCTGGCGTCAAGCTGGAGTCCCTAACTAGGTCGGGGATGGTTGAAAATTTGGGAGACCGCAGTACCCATTTCCTGAATGCTGGAATCAACCTCTCATCCTTGTTCTCAAGGAATTTGGTGCCGTATGCATCACTGAGCACAGAGAATGGTGAGCCCGGAGTGTCCTTGTGTTTTGCGACCACGCTGTAATTCGTGTTTGGGTTGATGATGTAGATTCGTGGATCTTTTTGGATCTTAATGTTGCCGCCCCTGTCAACTGCGCAGAATATGTCTGGGAATCCGGAGCAATCGAGTTGTGACTTGTGCCTAAACAAATACACGGCGTCGTCAATGAGCTCTGGGACCGAACGACCGGTCCAGTCTGAAGCAAGCTTGCCATGGAGCTCGAGAATGAGTTTGCATACTTCCCCGGGATTGTATTCCTTGATACCTAGATACTCATAAAATCTCCTCCTGACGGTATCTTGAGCAGCGTTTCTAGCAACAATCGAGATGTTGATGCCACTGGGAACATGTTCGTTCTTGTTTGGGGACGGAAGGTAGAGGTGGGGTTCCATTGCCGTGACCCATGAGCCATGGCGGAGCGGAATGATGGGGAGAGCCTTCAGTTTCTGTTTTATCCAGTCTCCTTCGTAACTGAAGATTTCAGCGACTCTGCTATGCCAAGTATTCGGTTTTCCCTCGAGGCCAACGATTCCATGGCGTCCAACCCATTGGCAAAATTCCTGGCACAAGTCGTTCAGGGAAAGTCGAGACACCCCAAGATGCATCAAAGGCTCATATACATGGTCGTAAGCGAATGATAAGTGTGTCTTGTTGATAGATGGGAGGTCGAAGAGAGTCTGTCCCTTGAAACGGTATTTCTTGGGTACGTAGCGGACAGTGCCCGGCTTTTGAAGGTCGCGTACAGCTTGCCCTTCCCGAGACTTCAGGATTGCCTTGTTTTTCAAATCTCTCAGGACGTTATAGTGGAGGGTATCCCACAATTCCGAGCCATTCTCTTGCCGTGTAAGATACAATGGCCAGCTGTAGCAAAGACCCTTGCCGTCCTCGTGATCCTCTAGATCTACGAAGCGGTTACATATGGCCTCTACCACTGCTTTTTGAACTCCATCACGTAGAGCCCGGTTCCAAGGGCAGTGCTCTTCAAGACTCTCGCGGCTGGCGGTCAAAAGAAAGTCGGCGTGGACGATGAACTGGATAATTGGTGAGTCAGCAGTCAGGTATGGTATATATCATCATCCTACATGAGAGGGGTCAGAATTACCTTGAAGCCATGGTTTTGAACGGGCAGAAAAGCAAAAATCTGTTGGGATTCGACGATTGGCGTGCTCTGGTCTTTGATGGGGAATGCGACAACGACCTCAGAGGCAGCGACTGTATCTCTGCGGGGATCCGAGGGCAAATCCTCCACAGTTTGTCGTTCAATCAAATATTTCGTCGTCTCAGTCCGCTTGTCTGTAGTCTCTGAGATTATTGCTGTTTCTCCGCCGAGCTTCGAACCACATGCGTTGCTTTGATGCTTGTAGATTTTGCGTTTGTCATCGATGGTGATGTCCAGTTGCTCCAAGTTCTGCAGGAAGAGAAAGATCTCTGGTTTGATGTTCCTGAGATCGTCTTTGATGTACGTGTAGTCTTCTTTGCGCTTCAATTCAAGCAAGAATTGGGTATTGTTCTTCAAGCGGTCACCTTCGGGAAATTTGGAAGGTCTCGGCAGCATCATCCCTATAGTCTTACGCGCGTCGAATTTGAATTCGTAGCAGCCACTTGCAACGCGTACCAGGTCAGCCACTTTGAAGACAGACTTGAAGCCGATTCCCTTCTCTCCGATGTACCCCTTATACCCATCAGCGGCTTTTTTGGTGCTCCCTCCGATTCGTGTGAGGGCATCTAGCTGCTGAAAGGTGAAACCGATTTCGTTGCAATCCGACCGAAAAATCGCCTTCCCGTCCTTCTGGTATAGCGACAGATGTAGCCTCGGTATGACTCCACGATGAAAGACATTGTCGTCGGCGTTCTGGATCAACTCGAGGAGGAAGTGCGTCGGTTTCGAGTAAAGCTGTGTGGACAAGCTACATGGGCCCATTAGAACACATGATATACCAAGGCCACCCAAATGAGCACTCACGTATTAAGAGAATTGTTAAGACTGGATACCAGCACTGGCAGCACATTGCCGTTCTCTCCGAATCCTCTGTCTTCCAGAAGCCGCCGAAGTTGAGCATTCGCTTCACTTCTTGTTGATGCCACGTCGCCCATGTCGGGTGTTGATCGTCTCCGCTGTCTGCTAATAAGCCTCTTAGAACGAAGGCGGTTGACATGTGCGAACTGGTAGATACTGGAAGAGAGTAGTCTCTAGTCAGTCGAGTGCGAAAAATGGATAGCTGTAAATCCTTCATCTTTTTGCGGTATAAGACCTGGAGATGTATTGTCGGCGGGTGTGACTTATTAGCGCCCGGTCAGTTCGAGTATCAGGACTCCGCACCTCCAGTGTGGTTGTGACGTCTCAACCCCCTGGAAGACTCTAAAAACAGTTGCGGCGTCTGTACTCCGCTCACCATTGGTCGCCTCATTGCTCCCCTCCCAACCGCCGCGCCGCCTGGTCGCCGCCATGGCAGCCTTCATTGAAGGATGGTACTTATGCACTGCGTGGAGCATCCAATCGGGGGGGGGGGGTGTATTCTGTTCTCTTGGCCAACTGGTCTATTTCGCAAGCGGCAGACAGGTTCTGTATCATCGTGCGCATCGAAGTGCAGAAAGCAAACGTCCAATTAGAGTAAATCTTACCGCCTGTCACGGCCCTGGTGAAATGTTCTACCAATTATTTTGTTAAATGGGCTATGTACCAGCTCTGTATGTTGCTGCTGTCATCGATGTTGTCCACGGGTGTTAATGGTGGGTTTTGGTGTCTTATTCCTTTCTAAACAAAAAAGTAAAAGCGGCCGGGTCTTGAGCGTTTACCACTGTATAAAGGCGCTATATATAATGGTTAGGGGTAAAATATATTAGTATAGCGCTAATTTTAAGAGTTATCTTTTCTAATCTAATTAAGTAGAGTAACTTCTAGCTTTATATATATTTTATATAGATTAAGACTACTTATATTTTCATTTATTAATATTTATAAAAGAAAAATATTTTTATTACCTTTAATTTTTTATAAGTAAAGGTATTTATAATTAAATTCTATATTATTTAAAAACTTAAAAACTTTATTTTTAAATTATAGATTTATTTAATAATAATTTACCCTTAAATTTAATATTATATAATTTAAATAATTATATAGATAAAGATTTAAATTTTAATTTAAAAGATAATAAATTATTATTTATATTAAATTATTATAAAGGTATTAACTTTTAAATTAAGTTTTCAAAGAAATAAATAGTTAAATTAATTTGTAATTAATATTAAATAATATAAACCCTTTATTAAATACTTAACTAAATTTAAACTATTATATTTAAATATTAAAATATTTTTAAATATTCATTTTTATTTTAATTATATAGTAAATTTAAACTATTAGTAATATAATTATATTTTAAAATTAAAGTATAAGAATTATAATATTAAAGTTAAAATAATTAATAAATAAAAGCTTTTGTATAAACTTTTTAAAAATAAAGATTATTTAAAATAAAGGCTTTTTTAATAAAAACTATTATATTAAATTGAGGGATTAAAGTATATTTAAAATATAATAATAAAGTATGTGCTTAAAAATATAAAGTATTTATAAATTTAATACTCTTAAAACATTAAATATACTTAAGAATATTATAATATCTCGATATAATAATATAATAAATATTTGAATTAAATTATAAAATAATAAGTTTTTATATTTTTAATAAAATTTAAATTAATAAAATTTATTTTATTATTAATAGTTTATAATTTATATAATTAAAAATTTAATAATATTATTATTATTAAAAATACTTTAATAATTAAATATTTTAAGTATTTTTATAATAATATAAAAACTATTTTTTTAAAAAATTTAAAAAACGTTTTAAAATAAAGTTAAAAATATTATTTTAATACTAATAATTAGAAAAGGAATAAAGTTATATAAACTTTATTAAATACTATTAAAAGAGTTTTTAAAATTAAAAGTTCATAAATAAATTAAAAATAAATATAAAAATAATTTTAAATTTTAATAAAGTAATACTTTAATTTATACTTTAAATAAAACTATTATTTAAATAAAAATAACCTTTCAAATTATACTATTTAATAGTTAGTAAAGAATTTAAATTTTAACTTTGTTAAATAAATTTTATAATATTCTTTTTTAATATTTATTTTAATTATTTTTATAAAAATATTTAATATTAAAAAGAAGTATATTTTTAAAAGGACTTTATAAGTTAATTATTAAGTTAAAAGCTTTATAATACTATAAAAATATAATATTTTATTTTAAAATACTTTTCTAATATTTAATAACTTAAATATTAAAGTAAGTTAAAAAAGTTATTAAATTAAAAGAATAGAAATTTATATACCCTTAATTAAAAGGTATATATCCTCCCTACTATTTAATTAATTAGAGTATAAAACCTTAAAGTTTTTATAACTTTAATAAATAAGGTTTCTTTATAATTAAAGGATTATAAATAGAGTAGGTTAGTCCTTTAGGAACTTAAATTATACCTACTAGCCTTACTTACAGCCCTTCATTATACTTTACACTTTAAGGCTTACCCCCTTTACCCTAGCTAGCCCTTTAAGAAGAAGTCATCTTATATTCTATACTTCTTAATTAATAGATAGATATATACCTTCTAATTAAAGGTGTGCGAATTTCCGTTATTTAAATTAAAAAAGAATTATATAAGTATTAAATTTATTATAAATAAACTATTAAATAAAAAGTTATTTAATAATAATTAATCTAAAAAAATAACTCCTAAATAGCACTATACTAATATATTTTACCCCTGACTATTGTATATTTTATATCTATAGGATTAGAAATAAAACCGCTCATACTTACGAGACTGACTGACTGACACCCTCACTCTCTCCTTCGCGTAGTCTCGCTTCCATCCGATAGCTTACCCTAAGGCGAGCTTTTTGAACGGCAACCTCGTTGTTCCCGCCTGGGACGTGGAGGAGCTTCAAGGATATTGTTGGTGGACTACCTAGGACTGGTGAGCTCTGACTGGGTTTCCAGCCTTCCCCGGTTTATTGCGGGTAACCCCCCGCCTTTGCCGGATAATTACGCAGTAGATGAGACCGCTATTTAACTATGTCCAGAGAGACGGACGTGCAAGTCCTTCAAGAATCTTAAGTTGGAAACCTCACGTGTCTGTGAGTCCAAGTTTGGATGCAGCCTGGCGTTATACTTAGCGTCGCTGGTGGGCATGGCCTTGATGAGTGAGTTGTAATATTGGTCGCCGCTGACGTCTTGTTAGAGACCGATACTCTCTTCCTGGGTGTTTAATTGTGTGAGTATGGTTGCTGTGACTAGCCACAGCCGGCACATGTCGACAAACCGTCTCACAACGCCTCAAGTATGCCACGTGGTTATGAGCCAGGTGCGTATGCGTTCGCGCGCGTGTCAATAGCACCTGTCATCTGATCTCGGGTTCGTAGCGGCGATCGATGGTAATAATCCCTGTGCTTATCAAGAGCTGCAGAAAAGATTTGCTCCTTGCGCAAACAAATCCATGGAGAATGTTTCGATCCGACATCGTGCAAGACTCAGGTATGCTGGAGGCTGACCCGGGCCCATGTCCGTTCTGACGAGATTACAGGACTTGATCCTGCTGGGAAAAAACGCGACTGGCCTGCTCCTTGACGAATGGGGCGCACATTCGCCCAAACAAGTCTAGCTTGCCCTTCCGCCTCAAAGCCAAACCGACTCAGGGATGCATATTTAGCAGGAGTGGATCCTCCACCACTTTACATGTTTCGAAACGATCGCTACGGGGAAAGGGGCAGCATTATGCATACGTGCAAAATGTTCCGCCGTCATCCCCAATCTCACAGAACCCGGCTAAGCGCCCTTTGTGATGCCATGCGACATGCGCAAAATTGACAACCGAGCCTCATTCAGGACGTCCTCCGGGCGAGAGTCCAAAACTGGGCACTCTCCCCGTCCGAATGGGCGGATCGGAGCACGCATGCAGTAGGTTCGTATCTGAGATATATTACAGCTACCCCTGGCGCCTGTCATCTTGCCTTGTTTATATAGACAGTCAGTCGTTGCCCGTGGCTTGTCTTGACAGCCTCACCGAGTCCTCTACCCGGCTCTGCTCTCTCTCGTTCACAAGCACCACTCTCTTTTCACAGTCTCTCCTTTGAAGCAAGTCTTCACACAATGCACTTCACTTCTCAAACAGCTCTGGCGCTGGTCGCCGCGACGGGTGCCAACGCCCAGCTCCACCAGCTCGCCGTAGCAGCCGGACTCAAGTACTTCGGCACTGCCACCGACAACCCCGAGCTCGATGACACAGCTTACACTGCCATCCTCAACGACGCCACGGAATTCGGCCAGATCACAGTCGGCAACACCCAGAAATGGGACACGGTCGAGGCGCAGCAGGGTGTATTCTCATACACGAAGGGTGACGTGATCGTCGACCTTGCCGAGAAGAACTCGCAGGTTGTCCGATGCCACAACCTGGCCTGGTACAACCAGCTGCCGTCCTGGGTCTCCTCGGGCTCGTGGACCAACGAGACCCTCATCGACGTCCTCGAGAACCACATCACCAACGAGGTCGAGCACTACAAGGGGCAGTGCTACTCTTGGGATGTCGTCAACGAGGGCATCAGCGACAACGGCGACGGGTCCTTCCGCGACGTCGTGTTCTACAAGGTCATCGGCGAAGCCTACTTCCCGATCGCCTTCGCGGCGGCCGCCGCCGCGGACCCGGACGCCAAGCTCTACTACAACGACTACTCGCTCGAGTACTCGGGCGCCAAGACGGACGCTGCCCTCAAGATTGTTGACATCGTCAAGGGGGCAGGTGCTAAGATCGACGGTGTCGGTTTCCAGGGCCATTTCATCGTCGGCAGCACCCCCTCCGCGAAGGACCTGGCCGCCGTCATGGAGAAGTTCACCGCCAAGGGCCTAGAAGTTGCTTTTACCGAGCTCGACGTGCGCCACGCTTCCGTCCCCGCCGACGCTGCCGCGCTCGAGAAGCAAGTGACCGACTACGTCAATATCGTGCAGGCTTGCGTGCAGGTTGAGGGATGTGTGGGGCTGACTTTGTGGGATTACACCGACAAGTTCTCCTGGGTCCCGTCCACCTTCGCGGGTGCCGGTGAGGCTTGCCTGTACGACGAGAACCTGTCCAGGAAGCCAGTGTGGACCTCCGTCTCCGCCGCTCTGGCTGCTGCTGGCACCGGTGGCGTGGTCCCGTCTTCTTCCGCCGCGAGCACGGCTGCCGCTGTTGCCACTGGCGGTGCTTCGGCCGCTGCCCCCGTTGTCGGCGCCTCGGGCTCTGCTGCCCAGTCTGTTGCTCCCACTGCTCCTGCTGCTGCTGCCACCCAGGTGTCTCCTACTTCTTCTGTGGAGGCTGCCGCTCCCACTTCCACGGGCAAGACTTGCACCAGGAGGACTAAGACCGTTTACGTTACCGCGTCTGCGTAGGACATACTGTCCTGGGATCTGTCAAAACGGGTTTGATGGGAGGCATTGATCCTATCGAACAAAAGCTCAAGCTTGGAGTGTTCTTGTACATAGAAATTCTCAATCTGCATAGTAAATATCTCATGCCAAGCGGAAGTGCTCCTCTGAACCAGCGTGCATAAGGCGACTGCTACCTGTCTAGCATCCCACGGGATGCCTTATCTTCTCGCTTAGCACATACGCGGCTCGGCACGCGGGTCACTTATCAAGGTTGCAGTACAACGGGCCTGCGGGCGTGCATTTGGTTGCTCTTCCACAGGAATGGAATACCTGGCGATGACGACCCAACAGATGAATTTAGGGGCACTAGCATAATTAAGTACGATTCAAGAGATCTCATAGTAAAGCCCTAAACACACGTGATCAGTAACTAACTATGCGTTGACCGTATCTAGGTACCCAGCAAAGCCGAGATGGCATCAACCTCAGAGCTCAGCCCGGCCGAGTTGGCCGCCAGAGGCCTAGAGATAACAGGGCGGGAAATGTTCCAGGACTTCCCAGATGACATCGAGGGCTCTCGCGTGGGGGAGCTCATGGCCGCAATGCAAGCAGCCTCGCCTACAGGTGGCACCGACATGGCATACGGCGGCTCGGAAGCACAACGTCTCCGTCTCTGGACACCAGCAGCAGCGGCAGCGAACGCGGCCCCCATCATCGTCTTCGTCCACGGCGGCAGCTGGAAAGCAGGCACCTACCTAGACTCGGTAGGCTCGCTCAAGGTATCCCACCTCGTCAACAAGGGCTACGCCTTCGCCTCGGTGAACTACACGCTCATCCCGACCATCACGGTTGAAGAGCAGGTGCAGGAGGTAGCTGACGCGGTGGGCTTCCTGGCCAAGCATGCTCGTACTCGTACAAACGGCCTGGACCCGGAGAGGATACTGCTGATGGGCCACAGCTCCGGCGCGCACGTCGCCACGCTCCTGGGCACGGACACAAGCTACCTGGCCAGGGCGGGCGTCGACATCAGGCGCGTGCGTGGGGTTGTGTCGCTGGACGGGTCCAACTTCAACGCCGCCACGGAAATGATCGACAGCCCCGGGCCGGTAGCCCAGGGGACGGCATTCGGGCTCGGATGGGACATGGCGCGGCTCCGGGCAATGTCGCCGAGTTATCACGCGCGGGCGCCCAACGCGCAGTCCTTCCTCCTGTTTCAGGCTCAGAGGCTAGGTGATATCAGGCAGGCTGTTGAGTTGAGCCTGGCGCTTGGGGCTGCGGGGACTGAGTGCGCGATGCACGTGTTCGAGGGCCCTGGGTTTGAAGGTCATGTGGCGATGCTTCTTCGACTTGGTGACCCCTCGTACCCTGCAACGGCTGTGTTGGACCGCTGGCTTGACAGTCACATTCCAGTGGCGTGAAGCATGTGAAGTTTTGTACCAAATTCTCGGATTCACGTAGCTGAACTCGAAAAATTCGCTTCGGAAGTTGAAATGGTTTTGCCGGTGTCTCGGTTCGATCAGGATGGGACGGTATATGAATAGTCAAGCTATAGCTTATTTCTGGATCAGTCTACATCCACCGAGAAGCCTTGACGGTTCTCCATCTGCCTTGCTGACCAAAGCCCATTCCTGTTGTCTCATCTGCGACGCACCCTGGGCACGCACAGAGATGGCGTATGCTGTCCATGATACATAGTCCACTTGCATATATAAGGAAGAACAAAATGAGGCTGTCGGTCACGAAAACGAGGAAGTACCCAACGGGCGTGTCCGCAGAGTGACATTGGCGATACTGATGGAATTAAGAAGTCTGAATTCATGGCAGTTTGCGGCGAAACCCGGAGAAAATTAGTAAATATGACTCTATATAAGAAGCAGTAGTCCAGCACGATTTTATGACAGCATGGCTCAGGTGCTCAGCTACGCACGAGGCCGGAGCCCTACAAATTGGGAAGTGTATTGTCAAGCCCACGCTTTGAGCAGTCATACTTTACACCCTGTGTTCCAAGGTTGGCAGAAAGATGTGATGATTCAAAGTCTGCTTACCCCAAAACATGATTCAAACGTCTACTTCGCCGATTTTCTTACATCAACTACAACTCACCCCAGAATGTGCACACAGGACCAAGATAAGGCAGGATCATCGTCATTCATTTGGCAACACATCTCAAGCTCTGCACCTTGAAACCCACGAATAATGTACACACTTAACTCTCAAAGCGAACATGTTCTAATCAAGTTTTTGCGATATGATGTGAGTGTGGGCAATGGTGATTCAGAAGTGACAAGTTACAAATTTCCTGCCATCTGCTGTTCAGGATAATCTCTATCTCAGCCTCCCTCTTGGGGTTTCTTCAAAGCCTCTTAATACTTGACCGTTATAGGAATAGGATAGAAAATTGTCAAGGTTGATATTGTGCATTCTCATTTTGCCCTCGACAAGTCTGCCCAAACTCTGGTGACAGTGATCAACAATCCTGGGGCAGGTGTTATTGGAATATCAGATCCCGAATCAGCAGGCGATATATAGCAACGAAACTTGGAAGCAGGTTTCTCCAACGGTTTCCTCTTCAACAGCCTTACACCATACACAGCTTCTAAAGCAGCCAACAGCATGCGTCGATAAAGGCGCAAGTAAGCTTCAGGTATTAATAACATGAATAGTCTATAACGGTACCTATGCACCAGGAGAAATACAACCCCAAAGGTGCCTACCCTCAACAATATCTCAGGCAACATCTAGTGCCGCAACCCAGCCGGCGAGCCTTGCTGAGCCTGCTGAGCAGCAACGATAGCCGCGCTCTGGGACGCCTGCGCGGCCACATTGGCGGCGCTCAGCTTAGCCACCGCGTCGGCGTTCTGCTGCGCCTGGTCCCCCGCCGCCGCCGCCGGGTTTCCATTCCCATCGCCGCTGTTCTGACTTCCATTGCCATTGCCGCCGTTGTTGGCCCCCGGGGCGCCGGTCGGCTGCGCATCAGCGGCCCCGGCCCCGGCCCCTTGGGCATTTCCGTTCCCGGCGGCGCCCGTCGCCTTGGCCTCTCCTGACTTGCCCGCGGCGCCAGCCTGGGCACCACCGGCGCCGGCCTGCCCGGTTGCCTGTGCCTGTCCTTGGCCGCCTTGGCCCTGTCCTTGGCCACCGTCGGCAGCGCTGGCTGCGGTGGCCTCGGCGCCGCCGGCCGTTGCCGTCGCCGGGTTGAGCGTGATGCCCAGGGATGCCTCGAGCTCGGCAAGGATCGACTGTGCTTGTGCGCCAGTTGTGATGGCGCCGGCTGTGGTTTAGACTTTTGTTAGAACTTTTTGAATCTGTGTTGCTTTTGATCACGCGGTTCTCTTATGTGGTTGAGCACTCGTACCTATACCATTATCCTCAAGAAGTTTTGCCAACTCTGCCTTCTGGGCGGCTAGAATTCCCTGTTCATTACGTATCAGTAAGATTGAAAAGAAAATAGGAGAGACAAGGCCCAGAGGAAATTCTTACCTTTGCTCCATCGTTGGCAGCCGCGTTAGCTTGCCTCTTGACAAGACCAGCGCGCCCTGCTGGTGTAGCCACCACCAGTGAGCCGGAGGCTGCCAAGAAGAACAGTGCGGTGTTTGTGAACTGCATGGTATGTATTCGGCTTTTATAAATTGTTGGTATTAATAATTAAAGTTTGAAAATGAGGAGCCCAGCTAACAACAACAGGTCAGCATACAGAGGCCAGGCTGAGTGTGGTCTGCACAAGACTTACCTCGTCCAATGGGAATATGAAGCGAAAGAATGGTATTGACAAGATGAGCCAAGATCAACAGTTGTACAGCCTGGACATCCAATAGTTCGCGCCAAGCCCGTGGAAATCAGCGGCTTCATATACCCAGACTCACAGGCTCGCAGCCTCGGGGTGTCAGAAGGGGCGGCCTTGCATCCCGGCTGGAAGCCTGAAGTTCGTGACAGAGACCGAGTTTGATCTCCACCCTTGTTTTGGAGTGATTACCCTAGGGCGGCCCAGAAAGTCGGCCACGGGGTTGTTGTGTAAGTAAGCCCGTCAGCTGTTGTGGATGGATTTCAGTGAGCCAACAGTTTCTCGGCGTCAGGTGCATGTGGCCGCCATCTCAGGCCGCCCGACCGGCAACAGGCCCAATCAGACCCGGGGTCCGTTAGCCGCGCTCCAAACCGAGGCGAAACGCTGCGCAACTCAGCTTTGGTTCATCGCCAATTCTTCCGGTACCGCCTGGGACGTCTGCAACCCCTGGGCCTGTGGTGTGATGCCAGTTTGTGCGACGTCGTGTGACTGTGGACGAAGGGCTCGATTGAATATGTGGGAATAACTAGACTTATATCCACCAGGCTGCACGGCGATCACTCCCACATGCATCCACGTGTCTAATTCCCCTTTGTAAAATTGCAAAAGTACCAGAATTACTGGTGTTGATTAAGAAAAACATCCAGTCTTACTTCATCTTTCCTGACTGCGAGAACAGTGACTGGACCAACCTGGCACTGCACTACCAGATCCACCAACACCATTTTTTCCACGAGAGGATTCGGGACTCGACCCCAGAATGAAGTTTCCGCGCAGAACATTCTCTTTCAAAGGCGGCCTTGACGGGTACGCGCGAGTAGAAGGAAGCTCCGGGTGGTTCTCAGTACCGTGGAGAGGCCGCAGACTGTCGTCTGGGCCAAAGACTCTGCCTTTCCGCAGCCGACGGGCGTCAGAATCAACCGAATCTGTCATCAAGTTGCTATGATCCAAGCTGCCTGGGGACTGTGTGGCTCTGGAGAAGCGACTTTTTTCAACCCCCCGAAACGGGAGACGACACTGGTGGTCAGTCTATGGGGAAGCAATTGGTGTACTAGAGCGGCAAATCACAATGAGGCTGTGTTTCTAGTCGCGAGTGGCGGTCTAGTTACTGCTTGACGCACCCGGGCTCGGAGAAAAGTCATCATTTTCACCTCAGCGTTATTCTTTTTTGGGGTCAGGATTATTCCAGGGAAAATAAAGTGTGCCCGATAGAGGGGATAGAGGGGAATGTGGGCTATGCCCACCCAGTACATAATATCACAATCACAGGAAAGGCAAATTCCATCAAATTCAACACACTGCTGTCTGGTCGGCGTTGGAGGATAAAAAAAAACCAAAATTGAAGCTATTCTTGATTCCACAATGACAACACACCTGGTATATGATATCCCAAACTCCATAGATGCACAAGCTACACCCCCCCGCCCCCAGATCACCTAATAATACGAACGCCATAAAATCACCCTCAAGCTAAAAACAAATAACTACCCCCCCCCCCACCACTACACTTCCTTAATCCTCTCCGAGTCCATCCTCAGCACTACTACCAACATGCGGGTTCCCCTCAAGATACTCCAACACCTTCCCCCGCTGCTGCAGCAACGAGACAAGCACCCCGAGCGTCCTGTAGAGCGACCGCACGGCGGCCCCGTCGTCGCGCCCACCGCCCTGGGCCCGCCCGTCCCGGCGCAGGTGCAGCGCCACCGTCGCGACGAGCATGGCCTCGATGCCGTCCCTCCTCATCAGCGGGACGAGGGCCCGCGACGCCTCGCCGTTGCGGAGGAGGTGCTGCCGCAGGAAGGACTTGATGACGTCCGTCTCCGCGTCGGCCTCCTCCTCGTCGTCATGGTCAGCCCCCGGCCCGCGACGCGTTGGTGCTGGTCTGTGCTCGTGCTCGCTGTCGCTTGTCATGGGCGTGGATGCCTGCCCGGAGGAGGAGGAGGATGATGTTGATGATGTTGGCATTTTGCTGCTGCTGGGGGTGGTGGTTGTGGTTGTGGTTGTGGATCTCAATGCCTCGATGTGGAAGGTGATGTTGTCATGCTTGTCCTGGTAGAATATGCTCCCGGAGTCAAGCTGTAGGTTCAACTGGATGCTCGCCTGCGTTGTCATGATTTTTTTTTTTAAAAAAAAGGTCTTGAGATACACCAGCCAGCCAGTCGGTCGATTAATATCAGTGTTTGTTGACTGGAGTCCCCGAAATGAGACTGGGGGTCTGGTTGTATCAGAAGAAATTGCAGTGCGTATTCTAGACGATCAGAGGCCTGTACGCGATTTTGATACATACATAACTTAAATCCCGGCAGATTGCATGTGGTCTGATACGCACAACTTTAAATAAATCGAAATCGTTACTTGGTAGTATCGAAAAAAAAAAATGATATATCAAGCTAGATGCGTGATAAAGGAAATCTGGCAGCAGGGTCAAAGGCTTTGTGTTTGCCGTCAGACGACATAGCAAAGGAAACATGGACAACAATAAAAGTCGCAGGGTCCCTAAAGACAAAGCAATTGTCATGACCTATCAGAAATAAATGCACAGCCTAGAATCGTTTTGAATTGAGGTGAGTAATCATACTGACCATGGCAGCGTTGCAGCGACATGGAGCTTGGAAACCGGACAAATCCGAGTCGTCGGGCCAAGAGCCCTGGATAGGCTCAACCACAATTTGCCCATCAACAAAATGTGATCTGCCCCTCTCGGATAATTAGTTAGACTCCCAGGTTTCGAGATCCAATGGTATTTTAGATTTCGATTTCGATTTCGATTTCGATTTCGATTTCGATTCAATGCTACATCTCTACGTAAACGCCATATCTCCATGCAAGATCTCGCAAAAGTGGTATCCTAAGTGCACACTCTCCCCGCCGAATTAAAATGCATTAAACACACACCCGGGTGCAATTGATGCGACCGAAAGGTAGAGGAGAAACACAGATCGATCGCCCCGCTTGATGCACACTCGACAAAATCAGAGCAGCCAGCCGGCCCACGCCAGTCCCCCTTGACAAGAGAGGGGGACACCTGCAATATTGATAATATGTACGCGCAAGATTAGGTCAGATCAGGGCCAGCAGCACCACCATGGCCACGGCAAGAGCCGCTGGCGAGCAGCGCCTCAGGTGGGCCGCCGAGGTGGACGAGCCGCCCGAGGACGAGGAACCACCTCCCCCGGGAGATGCCGCCGCGCCCGTCGACACCGGGGCGGGGCCCGATGATGAGCCGGAGCCGGATCCAGAACCGGGACCGGTGGGGCGGCCAGCCGGGTCCGTGGACGAAGGTTCTGAGGCCGAGCCGGTGCCCGGCCCCGGGACCATGGTGCGCGGGATGGAGCACTTGCCCTGGAGGGTGGTGAGGTCTGCGGCGCTGGCAATGGCGGCGGGCGTGGCGCCGCAGTTTGTGTACTGCTGCATGTGGATGGCATCGGTCTCAAGGTCGAAGACGGCTGTGTTCGTGAGGGTCAGCTTGCATGTACGGAGTCTACTGAGTGCAGGGTGATGAGAACGGCAGACAGGGGCAGACATACCATAAGCAGAGCGCATGAAAGTATCCCCCAGTAAGGTGAAGGAGTCGCTAGGGGTGATGCCCAGGACGCAGCTCTCGGTGCCAAATGAGCCGGCGGACGAGCGGATGAACTCGTTGTATGGCACCTTGATCTGAACGCCGTTGAAGTCAAAGTCGACGGTCCCGGGGAGGTCGGCCAGGGAGCAGTCGATGGGGTAGAAGCCGCTGTCGTCCATGCCGGGGGAGCCAAAGTCGGCGCCGAGCGAGTCGCAGAGGGCCTGGGGCAGGAGGGTGAGGGTGGACCCGGTGTCGAGGAAGACGTCCATGGTGGTGTTGGGGTACATCTTCCTGTTGCCGCTGGGCGGGGTGATGGACATGTTGTTCATCGAGACCCAGTACCGCGGGACACCGTCCGGGCTGTCGGCTGCCGGGACGATCGGCAGGGTGGCCAGGCTCCCCGCGAACTTTGACGTGTCCACGCCGCCAAACACGATTACGCCCTCCCCTTCATCCTTGCTGCCCAGGGCGACGCTGAACGCCTTGACCTTGGTCTGGTTCTGAGCGGCCAGCTGGTCGACAAAGTTGGGGTACCTGGTGGTGAGGCCGAGCCCGTACCCGATGCCCAGGATGCCGGAAAACTGAGATTTGCTCGAGGTGGCGACTCCGAACTGCACGGCGGTCATTGCTGACTGGGCGCCGGGAAGGGCTATGCTGTCCTTGAAGTAGGTGATGTTGGCGGATCCTATGCCGTAGTTGAGGGTCTTTGTGGTCTGCATGTTGACGGCGGTGGATGACTTTGTGGCGTCGTAGAAGCCGACGGCGTTGCAGAATTCCTGGTCTGACGGGTCCAGTACCGAACAGGTCGGGTTGACCCATAGCTCGAAGGATCCAGTGTCGAGCTGCACGTAGACGGGCTGTGCGGGCGACCCGATGTTGAGCTGGGCATAGTAGGCGACATCAGAGCGGTTGGCCAGCTGGACCTCGACTGCTCGTTTCGAAAAGATGTTCTTGTTTGTGGAGTGAACAATGGGCATGTGTATGCACGTGTGGTTCTGGATCTCTGTTTCCTGGGCCCAGGCGCCATGGAAGAAGCTACTTGCCAGGAGCAAAAGCTGTAATGTGGAGGAGGACGCCATTGAAGGCTGGGGAAAGTCACAGAGAAGCTACCCTCGACCGCCACCGCATGGGTACAGAGTGATGTGATGCTCGCCGGTGAATTATGATTCTGTGCCTGGGTTCGAGAGAAGGAGCTAGCTATACCAGCAGCCGGCGATGTCGATGGGGCGAACTGAGTAGTGAGTGAGATCAAGTCGATGAATGAGTGTCGTCGGAGTCCTCCCAGCCGGGTCGAGTCGAGTCGAGTCGAGCGAGTGAGTGCGACCTTGAACTGCCGGCAGACCTGAATGCGACCCCTTTCTGCCTGCGTTGCCTGCTCGTCCAATGCGGTCTCGGGAGAGGGGTGGCTGCCTCCAGACGGGTTCATGCGATGGTCCGATGGTCAGCAAACGGGCCCCTTGGACAAGAATAAGAAATAATCGACAAGAACCAGAAGCAAATAGGAATAGAAAAAGGAAAAAGAAAAGCGGCCGCCAGGGTCGAGAATAGGGCCGTCGGGTCGGTGGTACTGCACGATGAGCACAGCCGAAAGGCAATTAATTAACTGGGAAGATCAGGTCGAGAACGAGAATAGTCAAGAATGGAATAACAGAACCAGCTGTTCGGGCGAAGGAGAGCGTCGAGAGGGTTGGGGAGCAGCATGGCAGGGGCAGGGGCAGGGGCAGGGACAGGCCTGGCTGCGAGACGAAACAACGAGACGAAAGTCGAGACCCGAGCGGTCGCGCAGTCGCGGTGTCCAACAAGTGCAGGCACGGGCTGGCACGGGCTGGCACGAGCTGGCACGAGTTGTGAGGCGGCTCTGCGAGAGGTGGGTGTTAAGGCTGCACCCGAGGGTGGGGCCTGCGGGGCCCAAGGGACCGCGGGTGGACGGGGTACCTGTATAACAGGGGATGCGGCTGGGGCGTGCCAATGCTCCGACTGTCTCACAATCGCGCCCACCCTTTGCTGTGTGTAGCACCCCTAAACCGCGCCGAGAGGGCTGGGGAAGCAGGACCGACCCAGCTAGCCTGCCAGTCTAGACTGAGAAGGGCCCGAGGGGAGAAAGAGCCGAGCACTGGAGTCCCCTTCCAAAATAGCATCGTCCAGTCTTCGTCCTTTTTGCTCGCTGGTCGCGGGTTCGATTTCAAGAGTCAGCACCCATCATCCGCAGGCACCTGCCACTGCAACATGCGACGGTATCTCGACTTCCGTTCATGTGCATGTGCATGTGTGTGCCCACCACCAAACATCACACCTGCACACCTGCTTCTGCTGATCATAATCATCGTCGACGGGACTGCCAGGCTGCCAGGCTGCCCGAAAATCTCTTGTTTGCCTCAGAAAGACAACAGCCAAGCAGCCAAGCCTACAGGGGGCCCCACCCAAGCAGCCCAAGCAGCCACTGCCGGCTGCCATGCTCTCGGTCCCTGCCGACCTTGGGGGCTGTTTCAGAATGGCAGGGCAGGGCCGACTCCATACAGTCAGTCTGTTCTGTCTGTCAGTCGCACACCCACCCCCTTCCCTCCCTTCCCATCAGCCGATGAAATCGTCCAGACGCCGTGGGCGGGATCATGCCGCCCGCCGTCAGGATCGTGAACCGGACGACGACGAGAGAAGGAAATCGATGCACGGCTTTACTGCAATCGGGCCTAGTCAGGCCAGGAGGGAGCTGGGCCGAGGTGAATGTGTGACGTCCGAACCAGTCTTGTCTGGTCTGTCTTTCCCTTCCCGTTCCCGACTCCCCCCCAAGAGCACAGATCCAACCCCCCCACCTCTGTTCGGCACGCTGTCTTTCCGGCTGAGGGTTCGGGTCAGCCTCACGCCACAGCAAAAACCCACGAGTCAGGGGTCCATGCATCAACATCACCAGGGAACCCAGGCTCGACAACAAGCTCGGGTTGACGTGCGTGAGCCGCAAATCACCATCCATCTATACCACGCTGCTCATATTGCACCCCAGGGCTCTGCAAGAGATCTCTTGTCAAACTTCTTGGGATTTCTTGTAGTTTCAGCCATCATATATGCGTGATTATCCACCTCCCACCTATCCAGCTGTTACCTTCATCCATACCACTCTGTTGACGCCGTCGGCCATAAGGTTGTAATAAGCACGTCTTATTATGATTTGGGACATATTAAACACAGATTGAATTATACGACCTGATCATGTGGTCGGATCCTTGGTTGCACGCACTACCGGGGCGTCTTACTCGGCATGGGAGACCGCGCGCGCAATAACAGCCTCGTGTGACTTGCCTGCTTCGCCCGAGACTAACCAAGTGAACACTACAGGTATTCCCTTTTCTGGTGTAGTTACGAAATAACCCCAGACAAATCAGAAATAATCAAGTCACAGAGGCTACAGTACAACATCACACAAATCTCTGACACTGGCGATCAATGATGCTATGCACAGTATTGATCCAATTTGAAGATGTATCCTAGCTACCTAGGTACCTAGGTATGCGGCATAGGAAATGATCTCTTTTGTGAAAATGACCATCAAGAAAGGCCGTCGGTCCCGAGGTCGTTCCAACATATGGATGTTGGCAGCTTGAACATCACCACCAGGACTCGGAGACATCCAGAGGGGCCCACTTGTCCCCTCGTTTGCGACGACCGGCAACACCACCCCGGTTGTTTTCTTTCCATCCTTCTTCTCCCCGCGCTGCTTCAGCTTTTTGGCGGCTGGGCTTTTCCTGCCGCGATGATGCCAGGGTACCCCAGAACTTGGCCGACTCTGATACTTTACGGGAGGTTTCCTCCTCGCCACTCACGGCGGGTGCACGTGATGATGGCTTTCCACCGTCGTCCAGGCCTGCTGCTACTGCTGCCTTCCGGGGACCTGGTTCGCGCCTGTTCGTCCTCCGTTGATGCCTCGCAGGCGGATAAGAAGGTGGAGGTGGAGGTGGTGGTGCTGGGACCATGAGCCGATCCGTCGTCTCCCAGTCCAGCCACACGGAGCCGGGTGTGGGCGCCACCCGAGCGACCCCGTCCCGGGCCGGCGGAGGGGGGCCGTCCAAGTCCAAGAGGGGAAAAGACTCGCAGCTGCTGCTATTTGCCCCCCGCGCCTCTGGCCGCACGCGTGTGCCCCTGTGGCGCCTGGAAGGCCGGTGGGATCTGCGAGGTGAGACAGCAGTAGCAGCCGGCTCCCACGTGCAGTTCTGGGGCTCCTCAAAGTGTGCGTAAGCCCGGGTGTCGACGACCGGAGGGTCAAAGAACTGCCGGACCAAGAGAAACGGGTGCGCCCTCGCCACCTGCCGCGCAGTCGCGCCTCCGTGGTCCCTGATGTCAGCCACGGCGCCGTGGGCGTCGAGCAGCGGGAGGACGCCGACGACGCGCCCCTCCATCCCGGGGCAGACCTGGCCCAGCAGCTCGTGGAGGGGCGTCTGCCCTCGGGCGTCGGTAGCGTTGACGTCCGCCCCGCCGCGGTCGAGCAGGAACGCCACCGCCTCCTCACACGCAAAGCGGCACGCGATGTGCAGCGCCGTGCTCTGGTGTGGCTGCACGACTACGGGGTTGGCCGGGTCGGCGCATGCGTCGTCCTCGAGCAGCAGCATGGCCACGCCGCCGTGGTCGTGGCAGAGGGCCGCGAACAGCGGGAGGTAGCCGTCGCCGTCGGGCGCGCGCGGGTCCGCGCCGTGGCTGAGCAGCAGGGCGATCACCTCCCGCGGCGCGCCGCCGCACGCGTGGTGCAGGACCGCCTGGCCGCGGTGCTCGCAGTCCGGGGAGCGCCAGCACCCGGGCCCGCAGGGGTGCGCCCGCGGCGTGTCGGAGCGCAGGCTCGGGTCGGCGCCGAACCGCAGCAGGACGTCGGCTGTCTGGGTCAGAGAGGCGTCCCACCCGGATGCAGGCGAAGAAGACGAAGCGTCCCCGTGGACCAGGCCGCGCAGGGCGTCAAAGTTGCGCCAGGGCAGCCTCCTCCGGACGGCGAGGTGGATGGCGGCCAGCCCGAACCGGCTCGGGGTGTTTGGGTCTGCGCCCCTGGTCAGGAGGTACCGGCAGGTCCGCGGCAGGGCGTAGCTGCATGCGATGCGGAGGGCGGCGTCCAGGCCCTTCCGGGCGCCGCGCGGGTTTGCGATGGCGAGGTACAGCGGGGTGATGTCGGGATAGTCGCCTCCGCCCTCCCACACGTCGGTGCCGTATCTGACCAGGTGGTTTGCCACCCTGGGGGCGTCCCCGAGGATGGCGAGGTGGAGGTATGTGACCGTCTCGGAAAACCTCCAGCCGGGGGGTAAGATGCTGAGACCATGATGTGTTAGAAGCCATATCAAGTCTCATAACATTGAAGTAACGATGGGACAGACGCACCCGTTGAGCTGCTCGCTCACATGTAGCTCCTGGTAGCAGAGCCACTGCGCTATGTGTTGAGAGTCGCACTTGATGGCATGGGCTACCAATCTCATGAAAACAATGCGGGGCTGATTTCCGTGGTTGGTGCAACGCCACTGGAAAGCTTTGGTGAACAGGTGATCAAAGGCCATCCAGTGCAGGAGTCGACTGCAGCGGCTGAGAGCGCTCAGTTCTTGGACAGAGTGGCCCCAGCAGCCAAAGATCTGCAGCATAAGCTCCACGGGTAGGTCTGTGATCTGAGCCATGTCTGATGAGTCTCAGATCTTGGCTATCACGAGCGCCTTGAGAAAGGAGATCTTAGAGACGGCCGTGACAAAAGAGATCTTGAAGAGGATTGTGAGAAAAGAGATCCTCAAGAGGGCCTTGGTGAAAGAAATTTTCAAGGTTGATCAAAGAAAGTAGAAAAAAATAAGTGTCCCCGTCGGTGGTAGGTATGGGAGGGACCAACAAACACCTTGTTGAATCCGTTGTTTGCTAGTGGGTTCCTTGATGTAATTGGTGCCTGAACTTCCGGGTTATCAGTCTCGAGACAGGTTTTGCGTTTTTCTGTTGTGTCTCGAGGCTCCAGGCCAGTCGTTATGGTGCAGCTGTCGGTCGAGGTCCTAAAGAATGTCCAGCTTGCCCTGACACACCTTTCTTTTAGTTGACTTGACTGCAGGCCAATGCTTCAGTACTGCAATAAATGATGATCAAAAGGAAACAAATGCATCCGTGAAAGTGAACAAAAGCAGGAGCACCACGTGCAAGTCCACTTGAATATGTACTAGTAGGCACCTACTTAAGTACTCGGGCAAGTGACAATTTCACGACAACTCTGAAATCGCGGAGTACCTAAGTACCCAGGAACCCAAGTACCCAGGCAGGCAGCAGCGATTGTGTAAAATGGTAACAAACAATCAATCATCTTCGATTTGATTTGCCGGGATATGATTGGCACAGAGTAGCAACTTTGACTTCAATCACCTTTCCACCGGTCACTGCAAACAGGTTCAAATTACCTAATATCAATGCTATAATGTTCATCGAAAAAGCAGCAAGTGTTCACTGATTGAAGACATCAAGGTGGGCAGAGAACTTCGAAGTGTGACCCCTCATTGCTGTTCCCAAGTGCTCTTTGCACTTTTCAACATCCCATGAGTTCAATTGTCGGAAGGGTGGGACATTTCAAGCCAATAACCCGGAGTTTCTGGACTGAACCCCCTTCCCAGGACCTGAGTAGCCTATTGCGGCTCACACTTTTCCATGGAACCTTCAGCTTTATCCACTACAGCCACCTTAAAAGTTGATAGATCAATGCAAACGTCATCAACCAAGCCCGGGGACACGAAAGCATGGGATCACGATGAGAACATTGCCATATAGAGTTGAGTCATTCTTTTCACCAAGGGGCTAGAACTTCATTTGGTGCCATTACCTCCATGTAGCCCTAAGTGCTATTCTTCAATGCCTGCCCTTCAATCCTTCCACAGGCCCCAGGGCAGGCACAACATCCACAGTGGTAGTAGTCTGCTTTGCAAGGGTGGCTTAAAAATGACAATCCCCATTTTATATGGCAGGAACCACTTCAAGATCACTCTCAAGAGGACTCCAGAGTAAGAGAGGGTCACAGGCAATAAACCGAGTCGTGGCGTGAATACATGGGTGTGGCACCGATCTCCCCGCATGTGGGATGTTTTCAACCAGAACGGGTCCAGTTGACTACAGTACATGGAACGCAGGACGGTTATTTACCAGCAGTTCTCTTGGTACAGTCTCCGCTTTCAGGGACAATAAGTTCGACAACCGCATAGGGTTTTGACTGAGCTTCACTACACTCGAGGAGGATGCTCACGAAGACTAAAGGGTGAACATTGATTCAGAAAGTTATTTGTGTGACAGCGACAATTACTCCGACGATGGCTTCAATGTGGACTGCGAATAGCATCATCAGGGTTGAAATTAGTCCGAATTAGTTTAGTCACAGACTTTAATTAAGACTAAAACTTTAGTTATTAACCCTAACTAAATTAAAGGTTTTTAGTAAAGGAGTTAATTAAATTAAATTAGTTTAGTTAGAGGGGTTAATAAAAATTAAAAAACTAAAATTAAAAATAATTTAAGTAGGGATTAAACTTATAAGTATTTAAAATTTAAAATTAAAAGTAGAATTACTATATTATAAGCTTACTCTCTTTAATCCTTTTATTTAGTTCAAGTTTATTCCTTAATTAATAAGTTTTAATTAGACTTTTTAACTAAGATTAAAAAACTAGACTAAGTTAAAAACTAATTAATCTAACTAAGAAACTAAGGAATAAATTTACAACCCTGAGCATCATGCTCAATTCGTCGTGCTTTTGACCGGTGATGACGACGAGTACGTCGGCTATCAAACCAGTGGTGGAAATCAGGAGCAGGGGCCTTGAGAAGGACCCTGACGCGGTTGGAGTATTCGAGATTTACCTAGGGAGCTCCAAATGGGGCAGACACAGCCGTTAAGTGGTCTTGAGTGCTTACCACCGTATGAAGGCGCCATGTATGTCCTCGGACGTATACGGAATAGAAGCGAAACCACATAAGCCAAGACAGCAGCTCAGTCTTTATACAGTCACTGGTCGGCTCTGGTCTTTCTCCCCCATTGCAAGGCTTACAAACATGCTCTAGCGCTGTGCCCGAAACTGCCCCGGCGAAGAGAACAACGCCGACTTTCTTTGCGAGGACTACCAGCGCTGGGTAACAGGCAGTCGAGGCGTTCACGAATATGATTCCAGCACTTTCTTCTATCCACATCAACAGGGGTGTTGAACTCGAATTGGGACTCTCTCAGTTTGCTGATCGGTAGAAAGAGAAAACACATGTGGTCAATTTTGCTAGAAGCATGCGCTCAAGAGCTTCCAAGGTTGCGGCTCAGTGAGGTGGAAATTCGAAGATGTGCATCGGATAGAACATGCTAAGAAAACTCTGTAGAGAAATTCTGTTCATTGCGTGCCCTTCTCATGTCACATGGTGATATGAACTGGTCTTCCTTCTATTCCGTATACGTCCGAACCCTGGGGGCCATGGTGATATGAAGGTGACAGGTCAATCAGTTGTTACACAAGCATGCAGCCAAGCGGACCCTTCTAATTAGCGCCAACGAGTTGATGTTGTTTCCCCTGACGATTGCAGGTAACCTTCCACCTTCGATAAAGCTTACCAAAACCTAGAAATCCAACATCGCATTCAGATCGCGTGTGCCTGTCTTATCAATCACGGGTAGTTGCAGACCCATGACGGATGACTTTTGAAGATGCGTCTCGCGCTCAGGTCCGGGCTTGGGAAGGGCATCGCGATTCGCAGCTCGCGTGTACTTCGAGCCCCTCCGGCTGGGTTGATATCGCGGCGTGTCAACTACCAACAGGCCAGGCATACTCTCTCTACGACATCTAAACGTCTGGTTCAATCTGAAAACAGCACGAGAGAACAAAGAAACCGCGCGAATACTTCATATCAGACACTGGTCGCCGGGTCACACGACTACCAAGCTCTGGCCATCCGCGAGGCCTTTAGGAACGCCCCACTGTTCAGCCCGGGTGCACTCAATTCTGTCGAGCCCATCGTTAGCAACCCACCTAGTGGGAATCACGGCTCGGAGCTCGTATCACAATATGGGGTTGTTGGCGTCCTTCGCGATGTCGGCGCCAACGACAACACGGAACAAGAGGAGGTTGATGCACAGGATAGGCTTGTCGTGGCCAACTTTGATTTCTCATGGTCTGCGTTGGTCTGTGGCTCTAGAGGATCAGGGAAGAGCCAGACCCTCGCCTGCCTCATCGAAAACGCCTTGAGAGGTTTGAAGGCAGATCCCGATGCCCAAACAGGCGATGGCATTGAACCGTCAGCAGGGAATATTCGAGGTCCTCCGGCAGCCATCATGTTCCACTTCAACACCAATCCAGAGTGGTTTTATTTTTAATCCCTATATATATAAAATATATATAGCGTCTTTATATAATAGTAAATACTTAAGATTTAATATTTAAAGAAATATAGTATTAATAATAATAGAAAGAGAATATAATATATAGGTATATAATTAAGTTTTATATTATATAGATAAGGTTAAAAGGTATTACTCTTAATAGTATTATATTAAAATTATTAATATAAGTAGCTTAAGGGTTAATTTATTATAATATTAGAGTTAAAGTTAATAAAGTAGTTATATAATAAGATTAAAATAGTTTTAAAATAACCCTATAAAAGAAGAATTTATAATATAAGATTTAATAAGTTAGTTTTTCTTATTAATATACTTAATAACTATTTAAATTTACCCTTATTGAATAAGCTAAATATATTATAGTTTTTATTTTAAATATATAGTTTATAAAATAATAATATTATAATAATAAATTTATTTAAGAAAGCTTTTTATATAAATTTTATAAAAGATTAAATTTTTTAAAAGTTAAGTATAGTTTATTTATTATATATTAAATAAATATTATATAAGGAAGTAGAAATTTAAGTATTTAAAAATTAATTTTTTTTTAAATATATTACTTTATTATTAAAGATTTATTTATTTTTATATAATAAATAAAAAATATAATAAAAAAAGGAGCTTTATAAAAAAAGTTAATAACTTTATATATAAATAAATTTAAAAGTATATATTAAATAATTATTAACTTTATACTTAAAGTATAAACTAATAGTTAATTTAAAAGTTAAGAAGATAATAAATATATAGTTAAATAAAAAATATAATATAGTTAAAGTTATATTAATCTAGAATAGGGAACGATTAAGCCCTGCTAGGCCGCCGACATGTGTCACACTAGCAAGATACCTGTTAAAGTAGTCATCTTGACCACCAACTTAAACCTTGCCGTGAACCACTCTTACAAAGAACTGGTGGATATATTCCTATATCGGCCACTCAGAACGCTACCACTTTACCTCTACAATCACCACCTGACCACAGAGCGCGTGATGAGATTGATGGCTGTAAACCCCTTCCGCTCGGAACGAGGCACAGATCCACCACACCTGGACCCAATCCGCAGCACATTAGATGATATAGCATTATCTAGGCTTCGGCTATATTATATTTTTTATTTAACTATTTATTTATTTATTATCTTTTTAATTTTTAAATTAGTTATTAGTTTATATTTTAAATATAAAGTTAATAATTATTTAATATATATCTTTAAACTTATTTATATATAGTAAAGTTATTAACTTTTTTTATAAAACTTCTTTTTTTATTATATTCTTT